AATATTATGTGGTACTTATACGCTTCCGTATGTAACTGATAAGTATGGTTATTTAGATCAAACTGTCATTGGAAAATATTTTTATGTTGATGCGCCGAATATTGGCTATCCGTTTTTTTCCGATTCATATTATTCTGGTAACACGAATCACCGAAATGCCCTGTAATCACCGAAATACCCCTAATAAACACCGAAATACCCATCAAAATACCGAAATTCCCATTAAAATGTTTTTCCATAATTTTTTTTTATTAAAAAAATGCTTAAATTTTTCATAAAAGCATAACTGATGGTAAAATTAATTATTTTCATGTGTTGCATCTCGAAGCGCATAGTAGTTCAAAGGGCGATAACTCGTATTAGTGATAAACTTCTAGGTTGTGAAAATTCTGCGATGGTGTATAAAATCCATGAATATAACAATATTATCCCTTGGAGAAAATCAGACAACAACTGATTGTGATTGTAATTGTTTCATGACCTCAAAATTAATTAATTAATGCTAAAATCCGTTCATAGTCTTTATTATTAATAGTGCACATATTATTAATACAATTAGCAATATTAAATTAACCAGTTGAAGCATTGGGAAAATTTGATTTGATTCAGACTTTTTTTAAAAAATGTTTTTGTCCTCTCATTGATTTTTTTAGCGACTTTTTGCCTAGCGACCCAAGTTGGACCGTTCATCTGTTCATACGCCTGCCGACGCCTGCTGGGGAGGGGGGGGGGGGATACGTCTGGCGATAAAATCTATACACCAGCCGTTATTAATAGAGTAAATTTATATATATATATATTTTTTTTAGATATATTTAGTTTTATAGACCATATAAGTAATGCTTTACCAAACATATAAGCAGAATTATGTGTTTTTATTCTAAAATTGATAGGTAAACCAACTCCCGTGATAATTTACGACCGAGATGAAAGAAATTCAAAATACATGTAATATATAACAAAATATAAAAATATTTTTTATTCTTTATAATTTATTACTCCATGTAATTATTATTATTTTATTTTATTGATTTTGTTACTTGGTTAGATACATTCTCGGTAAACTTAAATATGGAACATTTCCCGTGTAAACTGGTAAATCGGTAATATTTTCAAAGTACCAATTGTTTGATAATGCATACGTATTCAACCCATCCACCCATTAAAAAAAAATCATTTATTAAGTAAATATGTCAAATTTTACTGATTCTAACGATGTGGTTCATTATCTCAGACTTACTTGTACAACCTTTTTCCATTTACACACAAGGATCATAGTTTAAAATAAATAAATAAAAACCCAAATTACCAAAGGATCAAATATCCTATAGTGTACTTTCCTAATATCAAACAAATGGAATAGAATTCCTATAGAATATAATTCCTAAAAATTGCAGCAACCAAAAACGACATGGCTTTTTCATAAATGTTTGTACAATTGAAAAAAAGGTTTTTATTCTCTATTGTTATGAAACTGCTAGTATTATGTGGATGTGTCGAGCGTATCCAGGTGGCTTGTGTCCTTTGAATGAAGGGATGAATAAAAATGATTTGAACATAAAACGATACGTTGCACATAATGTATATATTTAAAATTGCATTTTCGTCACTTTGGCGAAAATGGCGAATCACAGCTCAAGCACTGATTTTATTTTACTCAGCTGTAAGACATTGAAAAATGTCTGAGTGTTTATATAAAAAATATACGATTTAGCCTGTCCTCCATTTTTTTTCTCATTCATACCATTATTTTATGAATTATATGTATTAATCTTTCTTCTTATTCTTTTCTGTCCTCTTTCTGAATAAGTATATCATATTAATGATATACTTGTACCTCTGACCTGAATTTATATACTGTAAATATTTTTCATTGTCCTCATGTACCATATATTTGGATGGTTTTGAGTGAATCTTGATCTTTGATCTTGTGTACAATTGAAATAAATAAATAAATATATTTTTTATGTTCGGTTGTAATGATGAGAAGCGGGAGATCCAATCAACTTTAACATCAGTAAAAAAATGTTGTTCCATCAATTATCCTCTTCTCATTAGCAAGAAAATAATTTTGGGTGCATTTGTTGATCGTAACTAATTTCTAATCATAATCTGGATTATAATTAGCTTTTATAATGACTGTAGCAAGCAAGAAATCTGGATAACAGCAACATAAAACCAGAAGTCTCTGATGAGACTGTAGCTCTACTGGTTGTACTTATAAAGGAAGATAAAAGTAGCACTTGGACTTGAAACTTTGCAACAGCAATAAATAGAATAATGATCCTTGGTTAATCTGTTTTTGTGGCAAGATTTATTGCAATCAGAATAAAAATGTACGAGGAGTAGCCTTTTAAAATAATTTTACAGAAATTTCGATTTAAGTAACCATGGCAACATCATTCAACAAAATCAAAAAAACAATAATGACAATTATGTTTATCAGTGTAGTCTACTTGTATGCCAAGTTATACTGAAATCAGACAAAACATGTGGGAGGAGTAGCATTTTGAAAGTATTTCAAAAAATTCTATTTTTAGTAACCATGGCAACACCGTTCATCAAAATCCAAAACTGGTATTCAGAATTATGTATTTTAGTGTAGTTTACTTGTGTGCTAAGTAATACTAAAATCAGACCAAAACTGTTGGAGGAGTAGCATTTTGAAAGTATTTCAAGGAAAGAACAAGTCTCAATAAGGCTTATCTGTGGTCCCCTTTTACTCGTTAAATTTCGAACATTTATTAAAATTTCTGAAAATTAAATTTTAGTATTAACTAATGTCTTTATTATTTGAATCATCATCTAAAAATGTCAAACAATGGTTATAGGCAGCATACGAAGCTGTGCGTTGAAGGTAGGGTCCTTTGATTTTCATGAATATCAAAAGAAATCAGTGACAGGTACACACTTCAAAGCTTTTGTAAACACCAAGCACAGGTTTGTTCAGAGTCGAGTTTGAAATATAATGTGTATATTATATTTGTAAAGGTTGAGTGAAAATATCTTTGTTGAACAACCTTGTGCTCTATGTTTTCTAATTAAAAGTATTGTGATTTTGAATCTCTTCGCCGACTTCATTTACATGCGATTAACCTCTTTAAGACCTGTTTAGAATCAGAACAAGCCACGTGGATTTGAATCGTTACGGGTAAATGCCCCCAGTAAACGTGCTAGTTCTCAGTTGAAACGTACTCAGTTAAGCTTGTTTGGTTCATCTTGTTATAGCTTTTATTGACAAAGTTTTGTAAGAGAAAATTATATTTGTAGTTGATTGTGAATCTTGAACATATAATTCGTTTTTAAAAGAAAAATATCATATCTAGATCTTCTTTTTATAGTATCTAATCTAAATGTCTCCGCCCATTTCCATGTAATAGAGAAACCGTAGTCTGATCGGGGGAAAATGTTCCGGCATTTTTTAGTGTGGTAGGTGTTAAAAATAGGCTTGTATTTTTGATATGTTTAATTATTCATTATAAATACACAATGTTTTAATTAGAGATACTTCGTTATACACAATGAAAACAAACAAAATACCGTATGCTAATATTTAACCGGTAAACCAAGGGTGTAAAAAGGGACCACACTACTATACTTAAGGTATGTCACTCGTGAAATTAGTTATATCAAGGATTTTTTGAGAAGTATATTGTAGATATAACGGAAAATATTCTCTGAGTAAAAGTATGTGGGGTTAAAGTTCCAAGATATTAAATTCAATAAATGTGTAGATTTGAAGTATTTTCTTCTAAATATCCTTCCACCACAAGAAATAGTCCCTCATAAATCTTGTTTCTTTATGAATTTGTGAGCAGTTTTTAAATTGAATGTTGTATAATTTGCGTTGTTTAATTCAAATATGTCATAAAAATTGAGTTATAATAAATAGTTTTGAAGTTAGAGGTTCTGACTGAACTTTTCTTAAAAGCTGACGAGTGACATACCTTAAGTAGAATACTCCTTTCTATTTTTAGTAATCATGGCAACACCGTTCATTGAAATTAAAAACCGATACACAGAATTATGTATCTTAGTATAGTCCACTTGTGTGCCAAGTTATAATGAAATCAAAACTGCAGGAGGAGTAGCGTTTTGAAAGTTTTCACAGAAATGTCTATTTTAGGTAACAATGGCAACACCGTTCATTGAAATCAAAAACAGATACACAGAATTATGTATCTTAGTATAGTCCACTTCTGTGCCAAGTTATACTGATATCAGACCAAACCTGTAGGAGGAGTAGCATTTTGAAAGTATTTCACAGACATTTCTATGTTGAGTAACCATGGCAACACCGTTCATTGAAATCAAAAACCGATATACAGAATTATGTATCTTAGTGTAGTCTTCTTGTGTACCAAGTTATATTGAAATCAGACAAAAACTGTAGGAGGAGTAGACTTTTGAAAAATTGTTTACAGACGGACGTACAGCTAGACAGCTTGACAGACGGACGGACGACGGACACCTTACTATCGCATAAGCTCTTCTGGTCTCTGACCAGTAGAGCTAAACACATCGTCGCAAGCCACGGGTTTTGTGTCCATTCTATTTCCACAAACCCGGTTTGTGGAAATAGAATGGGCACAAAACCCGTGGCTTGTGCATTAACCAGAGTTGAGGTGTCCTTAAATCAGTGAGAGTTATCTTTCTTTGATGTAAACATGCACATGTCTTCACATAAAATACTTACAGTAAGATTATGAAAAATTTACTAAGTATCTAGGATCTAAAACAGTTAAATTCATCAATATTTATTAATTTTTTGTATATTCATAGCAAAATGGGGGCATTTCGATGATTTCTTGAGGCATTTCGGTGATTACGGGGGCATTTCGGTGATTCGTAGTACCGGATTGTTTTGATCTTTTCAACGTTTTCTGAAACGAAACTATTGCATTGTTTTGGTAAATCTTTGAGAGCAACTGGAACTGCCAATGGGGAGTCTGATACAAATTATTAGGTGCCAAAAGTTTTTGCAAAAAACAATAAGGATGGTCTGTAAAGCCGATTAGTGCCTTTACCTGATTATCTCATATGGTAGTCTGTGTAACGTAGCATAGAGTGTATGTTTAACGTGTTCCTGGCATAGAGTTTTTCGCGGCTCCCTAGGGAGGAGAAGTTCCTCTCCTGAACCATGGATAAGGAACTTATGTGTGCAATATGTTTAGAATTTTTCGACGAACCTTTGATGTTGCCATGCAGTCACAATTTTTGTAGAAAGTGTCTACAGGGCATAATCACTGCTAGGGACCAATTCACGAGTTACAGACCCCAGCGATATGTTGACTGTCCCTTGTGTCAGAGGAAGATTCCATTAGAAAGAACAGGAGTTGACCAGTTTCCAGTGAACCGTGCACTCGGCAATGTCATTAGTGTCTACAAAGCAGAGGCAGAAGTTACTTTCAATGATGCAAGTTGGAGTAAAGATGTATCGGATTCAGCTGGACAATGTCGACTGCACAAGGAAGACTTGTGTTTTTATTGTTTGTCTTGTAACCAAGCTGTTTGTAAAGAGTGTAAATGCATTAGTCAGAGAGATGCAGGTGCATCTCATCGATTCAGTCCCATCAAAGAACAACTCCATCGCTCTCAGGTATACACTGTGTATAAACACACCACCTGATACAATATATATCTTAATACACTTATTAGAATAGATAAATGTACCCTGATATTAAATAAACTAAATCTAAAATTGTTTAGGAATATTTTTATCAGCCTATGAACTAAGTTTTCAGAGATAGCAGGAAACCAAACTGCTCTGAAGTTATCAAGCAGTAACCTCAGGACCCACAATCCTTTGTGAATTGCATCTTGCTGCAAACTACGTTCTCTTCATAATAACAAAAGTTCAACAAAAAATAAACTCACCTTGATTTAATGGATATTGAAGCTAATAGTAGCTTAATTAAATGTCCTTTATTCTGATTAGCACTGTTTAGGATTCTGTTTGGTATGGCCTTACATACAACATCATGTGACATCAGAGTCTAGACGTACCAAATATCACGTGCGGTTTGAAGAGACTGATCTAAGTAAAAACTGATTAGGTATTTGCGCTTGCCCTTAATGGTCGCACCATCAACATTAGTTAATTTTCATGGTAGAAATGTGTATAGTTTTGTATGATATTATAGTCTGTGTACATAGTACACTGTAGCAAGTATCTCTGAGGAAAATGTTATGATGTTCAGTATAAATTCCACCCATACAGTATTTATCAAGAAAAAAAAAATGTAAAACCAAATAACATGTACTTTACATTGTATAGTACACTTTAAAGTTGATTAAGTTTTTAGTCAAATAAGATTTAAACGTATGAAAATTTCTACTTTTGCTCTGTCTAGTATAAACTATGAAAAGTAGCAAGTAGGAAAGTTCAAGTACATGTAAAAACATATATACCAGTGAATGATTATCAGTTAATGATAGTGACTTTGCAAACACATTCTATCATTTATGGCTCTTACATAATCTAATAGTTATTCTTTAATTATTTGTAGACATCAATATTGGCATCCCTGTCAGAAATTAGGAAGAAGAGTGTTATGTTAAATGACAGAATTCAACTTTTGAATGAAATCCTTGAAGGGATTGATGTATGTATGATTCAACAAGTACCAAATAATGAATGAAGAAAATCAGTCATTGGTAATTAGTAGTAAAGGAAGGAAATGGCATGAATATATAGATACTATTTAATATTTATAAAATTAAGAAATCAAAATGTTCAATGTTGAATGTGATTAACTGAGCTTGATTTTATTAGGAAAATGAGAAGCATGTGCAGAAAAGTATTGAGGAGGAGTTTGAGGCACTGAGGTCACAGCTGAAGAGTCGGCAGGAGGAGATGAAAAGGCGTCTACACAATGATATTGAAGCTATTAAACGTCCAATTCTAGATCAGCTGAGAAAGAACAAGTCTATCAACTCCAGTATAGATGACCATCAGAGGAAACTAAGTCTAGTCAAAGCCACACAAGATCCAAGTTTACGAATTAAGGTTTCCTTTTACCAATATTTTACATCAAATTTGAAAAAGATAGATGATTGGTCTTGTATAAGTGGTTCCAAACAGAATCAAACTTCAACCTCATTAATGCCTGTAATCTTGTTACCAGTATGAATTACATGTATGTACAGTATTTATTACCATTTTGCTAAGATTTACAATTGTGAAATATGTAATTACTGTATACAGGGTTATTTTCGCCCTTTCACACTTGCAAACAATTTTGTCCCGTTTTAATTTCGCCCAGTCACAGTTTTGTTTAAGAAATTATACTGTTTTCTTTGAATTCTTTCAGTCTTAAATTTGCCCACTTGCGTCTAGGGCGAAAGGGGCGAAAATAAAACGGGGAAGAAAATTTCCCTGTATACAGTAATCCATTTAATGAATAAAATTTATATTTATTATTTATGCCCCCGCCATAAAATGGCCAGGGGCATATAGTGTTACCCTGCTCCGTCATTCTGTCAATCTGTGATTCTGTCATTCCATCATCATTGACTTTTGTTCATTATCTCAGCAACAGTTGCACTGTTGCAAAAATAAGAAAAATTCACTTTCTGCTCTCTTACTTTTGTTGGGATGTATGTATAAGGTTAAAATTATATATGCAGCTATTTTACCAAAAAATACAGGTCAAGTTTGAATTGGGTCCTGGTCCGATGATTTTTGACAGTTATCCCCCTTGAACTTCGAAACGATTTAAAAGTTCACAATTTCTAATCATTATCTCATCTATAAATGTGCAATTTATAAATGTGCAATTTACAATATGCAATTTGAAATTTTGGCTGTCTGTAGGGGCTTTGTGGCGTTACAACACATCTAGTTTCAAGGATGTATTATTTTCAATCTGTGAAAATAACAAATGTGACAAAGGAAAACTGAAGAAAAATTCAATTATGTTGGGTATGGAATTTGACCTGTGCTTAGCTTCCATTAAAAAACATATAACTCCTGTCCCACATTTGATGTAAATTCATATCCAACCAAAAATATTGAATATCCCCTATATTTATTTCAGGAGTATCCCAAATTTAATTATTCATGAATTGGTTAGAATATCAATGTCATTTTTGCCAGTTATCTTAGGATGACCATGTGATGTTTCATTTTGCATGTTGAAATATCTTTTAACAGCTGTTACAAGAGTCTGAGCGACAGCTAAACAGCCTGCTTTGTTTTGACCTGGCCTGGTTTTCCTCAAGTGACACACCCACTGTCAACATGCCAACATGGGAACTTCAAAAACGGGCAGTGGAGAATGCCATTCCACACATTCAACTCAAACGATCAGGTAAAAAACATGATGAAGAAAATCCTTACAAAGCTTATCTACTAGATGTTGGAGAAAATCCATGTACTAGATTTTGGAGAAAATCCTTACAAAGCTTGTCATGCACTAGATTTTGGAGAAACTCAGTCTATCCAGAATAATGCTGAACCTGGTACAAAACAGCAACAGTGACAACAACGTTTGAGATATAATTTTTAATCAAATTCATGGCAAAATACCTAAGCAAGAATAACTTAAACATCAAGTAACAAGTAGATTTTTAGCTCTATTGGTCAGAGACCAGAAAAGCTTATGCAATAGTAAAGTGTCCATCGTCTATTTGTCTGTCTGCCTGTAAACAATTCTTCAAAATGCTACTCCTCCTACAGTTTTGGTCTGATTTTAATATAAATTGGTACATAAATAGACTACACTAAGATTCACAGTTCTGTTTGTCGGTTTTTGATTTCTATGAACAGTGTTGCCATGTTAAAATAGAAATTTCTGTGAAATACTTTCAAATTGCTACTCCTCCTACAGTTTATCTTGACAAAGTAGGGACTGCATAGGATCCTTGTCTTGAATCTATAATTTAAGACATGTACCAGGTTTTATCATACATTAGAATCTATGATCTCCTTCTGGATGAAAATTTGGAAAAGAAATTGCATTATCAATGAATGGCTTCATGGATCTTATTTTCCAAATGGATGGCTACAAATTTAGCATAAAGAAATTAATGGATTCCAGTAATCATATATTAATTAACTGCTTATATTATTTCCAGGCCATGAACTCTTGACGCCAGATTCAGCTGCTTCTACAGAGGCTGGTATAACAGCAGGATTAAGTGGTGTGAGCTTCAGTGATAAGAATCCCAAACATAGTCATGAGATGGCAAAGCAGCCAGTCCGGGATGATCCAGCATCCTACCTGAGAAGTTCCTCCAGCACCACACTGGGGGTACAAACTGAACCAATATCTAATACCTCAACAGAAGGTGCAGTGATGCATCGTAATGCATTGTCCATTCATAAGCATCCTCTTCCACTGGACCCAAACCGACCTACAGAGAATAAGGATGTCCGAACTACGACTTCCTTGTATTTTACTAGTCAGTCAGGCAAACCACAAGGACAACAGAGGACAAATATGAGTGTGACTCTGCCACCAAGATCTGACATTGAAATCTCATCCCACACATCAAATGTTCACCCTCGACTATCCCTGCCAACCACTGCAAGTACAATTGCCATTTCTTTACGCAGAAACTCAGAAGGAGGTCTTCAGACCCTTGGTGGAGGAGAGGCTGGAACTCCCACTTCTGCTACCCTCCCAATCACCACGCCCATTACTAACTCCTTACTTGCCAACATAAACAGTGTCCCTCCCATAACTTCATCATCAGTGAGTCTGACCAGTGAGGCAGGAGCTGCTTCTTTCCCCAGTTTTACTGAACCAGACAGAGTTCCTTCATCCATGGAGACAGAGAATGGGGTCAATGCCAGCTCCCCTAATGGGTCAGAGGGGTCAAATAGATCAAACAATCAGACAAATAACTTCAGTGACGCTAACTTGCCGAGGATAACTGCAAGGGATTTCTCACCAGGTAGGGGTGTGACGTATCCTGGAGGTCGTCGAATTGTGAAAGCCAAAAAAATAATCAAAAAGTAAACATCTGTCACATTTCACTCCATTTGTAATCAAAATCAGAAACATTTTTTTGCTCTTATCTCTGTCCTTTCTGTGGTGTTAACTCAAAAAAACCCTTAAAATTACTAAATGTACTTATCTAGTATCAAACTTGATAAAACTGCTGTTGTAAGTGCATTGTACATCTAACCTCCGAGAAAGCCTTGCTTGTATTTTTTATTTATTCTGTAACAGCTGAACTTGCAATTTATAGGGATGCCTTCATTGTAAGTTGAATTATACAACAACTGCATTTACATGCATATATCAATATTGTTTTATACTAAATGCCTAAAATTTACATTCACACTTAAGAATGGAATAATGTCAATGCTATACAAGGTTGAACCGGTGATATGTTTGGTAAACTTTTATGCTACATGTATTTTGTTGTATGGAACAAATTTTTATGCCCCCGTAATCGTAGATTCGGGGTATATAGTTTTTGCCCTGTCTGTCCATCTGTCTGTCCAGCTGTTTATCTGTTTGACCACAAAAACTTTAACATTGCCCATAACTTTTGATTGGTTGGAGCTATGGCTTTCGTATCTCACAAGTGTATTCCTTGTGACAAGACCTTCCTTTTGGTACCAACATATTTGACCTCTTGACCTTGACCTTGGAGTTTGACCCACTTTTGTAGAAAATTACCCAACTTTAGCTTTGACCATAACTTTTGAAAAGTTGGTGCTAGGGCTTTCATATTTCATATATATATATTCATTGTGAAAAGACCTTTCCATGGGTGTAAATATTTTTTACCTTTTGACCTTGACCTTATAGTTTGACCCACTTTTAAAAAACTTAAACCTTGGCCATACTTTTAAATAGTTAGTACAAGGGCTTTCAAATTTTCACAGGTATATTCCTTGTGACAAGACCTTCCTTTGGATACCAACAATTTTGACCTTTTGACCTTGACCTTAGAGTTTGACCTACTTTTGAAAAACTTCAACCTTCGCCATAATGTTTGAACAGTTAGTGCTACAACTTTTATATTTTGCTTGTGTATTTCTTATTACAAGTCTTCCCCTATGTACCATTAATTTTTACCCTTTGACCTTGGTGTGTTACCCATTTTTAGAAAACATTGTCTTTGACCATAACTTTTGAATGGTTGGTGCTTGGGCTTTCATTTTTTTTCCAGGTATATCCATTGACACAAGTCCTTTCTTTAGGTAACAACATTTTTGATCTCTTGACCTTGGAGTTTGACTTGCATTTGAGAAACTTTAACCTTTGCCATAAGCTGCCATACGGGGCATCAGTGTTTCACAAACACATCTTGTTGTACATGTATTTGGCTTTGAAATTTTACTAGTGACCAACTGTTGAATATGTCATCCTTTTTGACAACTGGATTAGTAAAGAACCATTAAGTAAACATTGTCTTAATGTCTTTATTTAATCGCAATCTTATACATCTTCATACAAAATACGATGTAGTATAAAAACATCAAAAATGTTGTCTACTTCGCTATGTAAATGGGGCAGAGAGTTACTTGTTTTTTAGTCATGAATCTCAAAGTATTTATAATAAGTATCTTCTTGGTGGAAAAAGTGAATGGGATGTATTGCAATATTTAACAGACTTATTTTGGTGACCACAGTGAAAGTTTGAAAATATGTACTCAAGGTAATGTATTTATTGTTACTTGTATTAACATTTTGTAAAATGTTATTTTAGTGTGATAGCATTGTTGCGCATGTTATTATGTTATCTATAGTATTTATAAATAAAATTCACACAGATTATTTTGTTGTTATTACTGTACACCTATTACAGTTTGGCATTCATACAAATTATTAGCTCTTCTGAGCCAAAAGCTTAAAGAGCTAATGCTAAGGCTATATTTGTGCAGTGTGTATTTTTTTTTAAATGGTCCACCTGTGACACAGTGACAGAACATATTGTTGCTATGTACAAATTGTTGTCGGTAACAATACCAAAAAAATATTGTTGGTCAGAAAATTGTGTTTAGGATCGTTGTACACCAGTATTTTTTTTTTCTCATTACCAGGTATATATATTTGGAGATGTTAATTTTTCTGTTCAGTAGTGATAATTCTCGGGATAACCGGTATATTTTTGCGTGATTCTTAAACAAGTACCGATATTATTGGAGTTGGGCGTCAATATTTTTAAAAGTTCATTAAATCTGCTTCTAGAGAATATATATTTATTTTTAAATGCTTCTTTAGTCATATTGTGAAATTGATTAAAACGTTTAGTGCACTGGATATCAGTGAACTGTAAGTGATTAAAGTTTTTTTTTTAACAGAAAGTTGCTGTTTCATTGAAGTTTGAAAGAGAGATTTTCCTGGTTTTGTAATTGATTTATATTAATCCTGTTGTTGGCACTATTCTCCTCTTCAAAGTATTACTTGTACTCTGTATATTAACCATAGCAGTCATTGCATCTGCTTCAATGGAGTTGAAGACAAAGTGATTTCATGAAAATTGAATGTATTTTTTCGATATCGTTGTCAACTTCATCATCATCCATATCACTGTAACTCAGTGGTGTGACAATTTGAGTAATGAGGGTTGGCACACATTGTCGCAGGCAACAATATGCACATGCATAGTTTTGCAGCCTGCAACAATATATACTGATGAACAACAATATGTGCACTAACAGTAGGTAGACGTTGCTGGCGACAATATATACAGAACGACAATATGTACTGTCACAATCATGCTGTGTAAAATAGCCTACTAGACGCATCTGTGTGATTTACAAATCAAGTACATTCACAAGACTACAAAAAAAAAAAAATTCCTCAAGTAACTCTAACTTTGGGGTGACAATATGTGCAGTGAGGGTAGACTACATAATTTCGCCAGCAACTACATGTGTAATTTTGCAGCTGACAACAGTGTGTGTCGATGACAATATATGGAGTGAGGATGGGTGCATATAGTCACCACCGACATGTACTTAATGACATGTACCATCAAACCATATCTCAGGAACCCTTGGCAAATTTTTGTCAAATTTGTCATGGGTATCCTTGGCCCAAAGGCATTCATTTATGCTAAAAATAGGGATGTGACCCTTAAACAAGGGGAGATAATTAGGGAAATTAAAACAAAGGTAGTGGTTGCTTAAAATTCTTCTTCTCAAGAACCACTAGGCATATTACTACCAAAGATATGCATAAGGATGTGGATGTGTTGTTGATTAAAAATTGTTCAATGCCTTACCCTGGGGCAAAGGGCATGGTCTCAAGGTCACTTTAAAGTTGACCTAAAATGATGTTTTGTTAAAACTTTGATATTTTGCCCACTATAAGGACTAGGATCATTAAACCTTGTCAGTTGATGCATCTTAGGACCTCATGTCATGCTGACCCAAAAGAAGGTCATGGTGACCTATTTTTTGAATTTTTGAAGGTACATGTATTCATTTTCAAATTGATTTTGATGCATGTCTTGGACACTTTGAAGCTTATAATCATCAAAATCATCAGTTTATGCATCATGGGACCATGAAATGTATCAACCAAAAAGTAGATCACTATGACCTTCTTTCAGAATTTTGATGGCTAATCATTTTCAAAATATTTTAGTTCATTATTTCAGATACTGAGAGGTTTAGAATCATCAAACCTTGTAAGTTGATGTGTCATGGGATTTTGAAACATGTATGAAAAAGTAGGTATTTTGATATTTCAGAGCTACCGGGTATATCTAAATATTTTGGACAATACATTGTATGAGGCTTAGAATAATCATATTTGATCAGTTGATGCATCTTGGGTTCACAAAGTACGTCAACCAAAAGTAGATCACAGTGACCAACTTTTGAAAATTCATGGTGAATTTCACAATTATATCTCAATTTTTAGGATAATAAGAGGCTTAAATTAGTTAAATTTAGTTAGTTCATGCATCTTAGGTCAACAGAGTTTGTCAACTAAAGAGTTGGTCACAGTGACCTACTTTTGGAATTTCATAGTTGTATCTCAGTATTTAGGATACTAAGAGATGCATCTTGGGTTTTCAAAGTATGTCAACCAAAAAATATAGGTCATAGTTATCTACTTTTGGAATTGCAATGGTATATATATCTAAATATTTCAGAAAAGAGGCTTAGAATCATCTATGTTTGTTAGTTGATGCAACCTGGGTTCTCAGAGAGTGTTAACAAAAAGTAGGTCATGGTTAGTAGTAGGTCAGTTACTGGGCAAAAGTAGTGTTTACTTTTTTGCTACAAACAAAACTTGGACATATTTTTTATGCCCTTCTTGAAAAGGGGGACAGATTGCTTAGCACCTGTCAATCGGTTGGTAGACCAAGTGTTGTCCGCTCAATATCTTGAAAATCCATTGCTTGACAGAAACCAGAAGTCTCTGTCGAGACTGTAGCTCTACTGGTTTGTACTTATAACAAAGGAAGAGAAAAGTATCACTTGGACTTGAAACTTTGCAACAGAAATAAATAAATAATAATCCTTGTTTCACTCTCTTTTTGTTGCAAGATGAATTGCAATCAGACTAAAACTGTAGAAAGAGTAGCCTTTTAAAAGATTTTTAGAGAAATTTTGATTCTACTTACCATGGCAACATCATTCATCAAAATCAAAAATAAAATAAGGACTATTATGTATCTCAGTGTAGTCTACTTGCATGCCATGTTATATTAAAATCAGACCAAACTGTAGGCGAAGTAATATTTTTAGCTCACCTGAGCCAAAGGCTCAAGTGAGCTTTTCTGATCAAAATTTTTCCGTTGTCTGTCGTCGTTGTTGTCGTTGGCGTTGTCGTTGTTGTAAACTTTTCACATTTTCATCTTCTTCTCAAGAACCACTGGGCCAAATTCAACCAAACTTGCCACAAAGCATCCTTGGGTAAAGGGGATTCAAGTTTGTTCAAATGAAGGGCCAAGCCCTCTTCCAAGGGGAGATAATTAGGAATTAGTGAAAAAATAATGGCATCATTTAAAAATCTTCTTCTCAAGAACCACTGGGCCAGGATAGATGAAACTTATGTGGAAACATCCTCAGGTAGTGTAGGTTCAAGTTTGTTCAAATCATTACCCCCGGGGGAAGGGTGGGGCCACAATGGGGGATCCAAGTTTTACATAGAAATATATAGGAAAATATCTTTAAAAATCTTCTTAAGAACAGTAAAGCCAAGATTGGTCATATTTATATGGAAACATCCTCATGTAGTGTAGATTCAAGTTTGTTCAAATCATGACCCCAGGGGGTAGGGTGGGGCCACAATGGGGGATCAAAGTTTTACATAGAAATATATAGGAAAATATCTTTAACAAGAGGCCCATGGGCCTTGAATCGCTCTTCTGATAAACTGTACAACCTATCACTTCTATTTGAAGCCTCAAAGTATCCTGTATATTTACATAAACCTTTGAAATTCCAATTCACACTCTGAGAACCCAAGATGATTCTAAGCCAATTAGTACCTGAGAGTTGGTCATGGTGACCTACTTATCACTGGTCATTCTCTGAGGACCCATCAACTAAGTTTGATGATTCTAAGCCAATCAATACCTTAAATATTTTTTAAAATTATAATCATAAAATTTTATAAGTAGGTCAAAGTGACCTACTTTTCAATTGTTTTACTCCAAGGACCCAAGATGCATCAACTGACAAAGTTTGATGATTCTAAGCCAATTAATACCTGTAATATTTAATTAAAGCCATAAATTTTCAAAAGTAGGTCACTGTGACCTACTTTTCAGTTGCTGCACTCCGAGGACCAAAGATACATCGACTGACAAAGTTTGATGATTCTAGCCAATAAGTACCCAAAATATTTAATTACAGCCATAAATTTTCAAAAGTAGGTCACAGTGACCTACTTTTCAGTCAACCTACTCCGAGGACCAAAGATGCATCAACTGACAAATTTTGACGATTCTAAGCCAAATAATTCCTGAAAATATTAAATACAGCCATAAAATTTCAAAAGTAGGTCACCGTGACCTACTTTTCAGTTGTTGTACTCCGAGGACCCAAGACGCATCAACTGACAAAGTTTAATGATTCTAAGCCAATTAGTACCCGAAAATATTTGATTAAAGCCATAAATTTTCAAAAGTAGGTCACCGTGACCTACTTTTCAGTTGTTGTACTCCGAGGACCCATGACGCCTAAACTGACAAAGTTTTATGATTCTAAGCCAATTAGTACCCGAAATATTTTATTAAAGCCATAAATTTTCCGAAAGTAGGTCACGGTGACCTACTTTTTAGTCGACCTACTCCGAAGACCCATGACGCATCAACTGACAAAGTTTGATGATTCTAAGCCAATTAGTACCCGAAATATTTAATTAAAGCCATAAATTTTCAAAAGTAGGTCTCGGTGACCTACTTTTTAGTCGATCTACTCTGAAGACCCAAGATGCATCAACTGACAAAGTTTGATGATTCTAAGCCAATTAGTACCCGAAATATTTAATTATCGCCATAAATTTTCAAAAGTAGGTCACTGTGACCTACTTTTTAGTGGACCTACTCCGAAGACCCAAGATGCATCAACTGACAAAGTTTGATGATTCTAAGCCAATTAGTAACCGAAATATTTAATTAACGCCATAAATTTTCAAAAGTAGGTCACTGTGACCTACTTTTTAGTCGACCTACTCCGAAGACCCAAGATGCATCAACTGACAAAGTTTGATGATTCTAAGCCAATTAGTACCTGAAATATTTAATTATAGTCATATAAATTGAAAAGTAGGTCACGGTGACCTACTTTTCAGTTGACCTTTTTTGAGGACCCAAGATGCATCAACTTACAAAGTTTTATGATCATAGGACTTAAAATGTCCAAATTATGCCTCTAAAACGCTTTGAAATCGAATGCCTGCAAAGTTCAAAAAGTAGGTCACTGTGACCTACTTTTTAATAAATATGTTTTATGGCCCCAAGATGCATCATCTTACAAGATTTAATGATTCTAAGCCTCCCCGTATTCGTATTAATGACCTTAATTGTTTTAAAAAAGATTAGCCATAAAATTCAAAAAGTAGGTCAAGGTGACCTACTTTTTAGTTGACGTACTTTGAGGACCCAAGATGCATCAACTGACAAAGTTTGATGATCATAGGCCTTAAATTGTTCAAAATATGCCTCTAAATCATTTTGAAAAAGAATTGCCGCAAAATTTAAAAAGTAGGTCACCGTGACCTACTTTTGAGTCAACATGATATGAGGTCCTTAGATGCACCAACTGACAAGATTTGATGATCCTAGTCCTTATAGTAAGCAAAATATCAACATTTTAATAAAATGTAATTTTTGGTCAACTTTGAAGTGACCTTGAGACCACGCCCTTTGCCCCAGGGTAAATCCCCGTGCAAATTTTAATCTACAACATATCCTCATCCTTTTGTGTAAGTTTGGTGATAATCTGCCCAGTGGTTCTTGAGAAGAAGATTTGTTAGCAACCAGTACTTTTTTTTCTATTTTCCTAATTATCTCCCCTTGTTAAAGGGTCACAACCCCTGTTTTAGTATTAAAGGGAGCCCTTGGGCCAAGGATACCCTGTGACAAATTTGACAATAATTGGCCAAGGGGTTCTTGAGTTATGGCCCATATTCTAAAAAGTTTACGCACACCGCACACCGCACAAATGGCCATAGCATTAGCTCTTTGAGCCTTTGGCTCAGAAGAGCTAAAAATCTTCTTCCTAAGAACAGCAAATCCAGGATTGGTCATATTTTTATGGAAGCATCCTCAGGTAGTGTAGATTCAAGTTTGTTCAAATCATGACCCCCGGGGGAAGGGTGGGGCCACAATGGGGGATCCAAGTTTTACATAGAAATATATAGGAAAATATCTTTAAAAATCTTCTTCTTAAGAACAGTAATGCCAAGTTTGGTCATATTTATATGGAAGCATCCTCAGGTAGTGTAGATTCAAGTTTGCTCAAATCATGACCCCCGGGGGTAGGGTGGGGCCACAATGGGGGGTCCAAGTTTTACATAGAAATATATAGAAAAAGACCTTTAAAAATCTTCTTCTTAAGAACAGCAAAGCCATGATTGGTCATATTTTTGTGGAAGCATCCTCAGGTAGTGTAGATTCAAGTTTGCTCAAATCATGACCCCGGGGGTAGGGTGGGGCCACAATAGGGGATCCAAGTTTTACATAGATATATATAGGAAAATATCTTTAAAAATCTTCTTCTTAAGAACAGCAAAGCCAGGATTGGTCATATTTATATGGAAGCATCCTCAGGTAGTGTAGATTGTAGTTTGTTCAAATCATGACCCCCGGGGGTAGGGTGGGGCCACAATGGTGGATCCAAGTTTTACATAGAAATATATAGGAAAATATCTTTAAAAATCTTCTTCTTAAGAACAGTAATGCCAAGATTAGTCATATTTATATGGAAGCATCCTCAGGTAGTGAAGATTCAAATTTGTTCAAATCATAACCCCCGGGGGTAGGGTGGGGCCACAATGGGGGATCAAAGTTTTACATAGAAATATATAGGAAAACATCTCTAAAAACAGTAAAGCCATGATTGGTCATATTTATATGGAAGCATCCTCAGGTAGTGAAGATTCAAATTTGTTCAAATAATAACCCCCGGGGGTAGGGTGGGGCCACAATGGGGGATCCAAGTTTTACATAGAAATATATAGGAAAATATCTTTAAAAATCTTCTTCTTAAGAACAGTAAAGCCATGATTGGTCATATTTATATGGAAGCATCCTCAGATAGTGAAGATTCAAGTTTGTTTAAATCATTACCCCGGAGATAGGTTGGGGCCACAATGGGTGATCAAAGTTTACAGAGGAATATATAGGAAAAAGTCTTTTTCTCAAGAACAGAAAAGCCATGATTAGTCAAATTGATATGGAGGCATCTTTCGGTAGTGTAGAATGAAATTTGTTCAAATGAGGGCCCCTGGGGGTAGGGTGGGGCCACAATGGGGGATCAAATTTTTACAAATGAATATATGGGAAAAAAATCTGCTGCTCAAGAACAACAAAGCCATTTGTTATATTGTTATGAAAGCATCATCAGGTAGTTTAAAATTCAACACCCCCCTCCCTGTAAACTTTTCAATACTGTACTGATTTTTGCTTTTTTTCCTAGCCAATGTGCTCAGGTGAGCGATGTGGCCCATGGGCCTCTTGTGTTTGTTTGTTATTTAACATCCCTCTCGAGAATTTTTCACTCATATGGAGACGCCACCACTTACCGGTGGAGAGCTGCAAATTTTGACCTATGCTCGGCACTCAGGGCCATTGAGCAGTAAGAGATCTTTTTTGTGCCAGCATCTACTGCGACATGGGATCTTGGTTTATACGGTCTCATCCGAAGGACTAGTCTCCATGTCAAACAGTAAGATTCAATTTACCTGCAACGTAAGGATCAACTCCTTACTCTGCGACTCTAGAGCAAACGTTCTACCACTGCGCCACGTGGGTGACAAGTTATGTTTTGAAAGTATGTCAAAGAAATTTCAGCTTTTATATAACCATGGCAACACCTCACCAAAATCAAAAAGTGGATATACAGAATCATGTATCTCAGTGTAATCTACTTGTGTGCCAAATTATATTGAAATCAGACCAAAGCTGTAGGAGGAGTAGCATTTTTAAAGTATTTCACAGAAATTTCTATTTTTAGTAACCATGGCAACACCATGAATTGAAATCAAAAACCGGTATACAGAATTATGTATCTTAGTGTAGTGTACTTGTGTGCCAAGTTATATTGAAATCAGACCAAAACTGTAGGAGGAGAAGCATTTTGAAAGTATTTCACAGAAATTTCTATTTTTAGTAACCATGGCAACATCATGAATTGAAATCAAAAACCGATAAACAGAATTATGAATCTTAGTGTAGTGTACTTGTGTGCCAAGTTATATTGAAATCAGACCAAAACTGTAGGAGGAGTAGCATTTTGAAAAATTGTTTACAGACAGACAGACGGACGTACAACTTACTATTGCATAAGCTCTTCTGGTCTCTGACCAGTAGAGCTAAAAACTTGGTATACTGGTACCCCCTGAAGAGTTGATGACCCCTTTTGATTTTGAGGTCAATTGTCAAACTACAGTAGACATAGGAAGTTATTGTCCATTCAGTATCTTGAGAACCTTTTGCTCCTGGTACATTAGTTCCCTTTAAGGGGAACATTCCCCTTAAGAAGTATATTAACCTGATTGATTTTTGACACCACAAGATCAAGGGTCAAACAGGAAGATGTTAAATGCTCAGTATTTTTAGAATCCTTTCTGAGAGACATCAAACTTGGTACACCGATACCCCTGATGAATAGATGATCACTTTAGATTTTGATGTCTCAAGGTCAAACTACTCTAGACAAAAGAAGATATCGTCCATTCATTATCTTGAGAACCTTTTGCTTGACAGACAACAAACTCGGTACATTGGTTCCCCAAAAGTAGATTACCCCCATTGATTTTGAGGTCACAGTATCAAAGGTCAAGGGTTAATCTGGACAAAGAAATATACCAACCACTCGATCAGTATCTGAGAACCTTTTGCTTGATAGACATCAAACTTTGTACACTGGTTCCCTCTAAGGAGTAAATGACCCCTAATGGTTTTCAGGTGACAGGTCAAAGGTATCTGGACATAAGAAGAAACTGACCACTTGATATTTTGAGAATGCTTTGCTTAACAGACATGAAGTTGGTTAAATAGGATTAAAAACCTATTTCATGACACAAAAGTACACTGTATTTCAAAAAGTTTTACCAATTCATCTAAATACAGTTGGACATTCAAGGTCTTTTGATTATATTCTTGAAATATTTATTTACTAACATGCTCCTGTAATAAACAGATAAAAGTACTGTAGATCACTTTTCATTCGCGAGAACTTTATTTTCGCATAATTACGTGAGACTGCATGCTCATGAAAATTTAATTCTCATGAATATTTGTAGTACAAAGTAGCGAAATTGAAGTGTCACAAAAATTTGGCGATCTACATTAAATTGACATTCTTGTGAAAATAAATGTTTTTCTTTAGAGGGCAATTTTCCTTAAAGAACCTTCCATGGGATATGGTGTATTGAAACCCCTGATTAGTAACTCATAATCTGGTTTAGAAAGATTATATAAGAGGCCTTTTCTTCACAATGAAATCTTATCATGCAGAGTATCCCCTCTGTACCAAAATAAGACAATGAACAATAGCAATTCCACAAAATTTAATATATATAGACTACACTTAATTTACTATATAAATACAAATAAACATATAAATCACCTTTAATAAATTAATATTAAGAATTTGTTGACTTCAAACCAATATCTTTATTGTCAACGTTCAAATCAGACTTCCAAAGAAGGTGTGCCTGGCCTTAACTCCATGTAGTGATTGTAAAAAAAGTTAATAACTTGGGATAAAAATAAAGAAAATTGAAAATCTTTAAAAGAGTATAATAGAGTTAAAAACAAGCACACATCACATCATAAATACTGGTACTGTTATATATGTACACAACTTACAAAAAAAACTTCTAAACAGTGACTCTACAACAATATACTCTCCTGGTTTGAAGCAATGATAAGATATATATAGCAAAAATATGAAAAGATGGACGGAAAATATGAACTGAAGGTAGTTCAGTCTTTATCACAGTGGAGATTGAAAGTTTCACAAGCACCAACCAAAACATAAACAAAATTAATGACTAATCCCCCACGACAACACACCCAAAGAAATGGAATTTGGCCACAAGTAGATTTTCACTGAGTGTTACAATAGTAACATTTGTGTTAATGTGTTAGAATTTTAGATAAAACGAGTGATTACAAGCTACAGTGACTGAAAACATTACATTGTGTCTTTTTTAAACTTCTCAATTTATTTTACAATTGCTATTTTGAGGTTAGAAATAACACTGGAGTAAATAGTTTTTAGAAAATATAATTTTTTGAATATTTTACATAACTTAACACAGAGATGAAAGCAGCAAAATGAATCAAATTCACTAGGATTTATTATTTACCCAATAAAATAAAAAAAAGATTAAAAATTATAAATAAAAAAAAACAACAAAAAACAAACCAAAAAAAAAAACCTATACAAAAAAAAAATCCTTTTGTATTTTCTGCTCTAATAACCCTGATAATTAACAAAAGAATGCCCAGCAGTGACAAAGATGGGCAAGATTCAGTGATAATTAACAAAAGAATGCCCAGCAGTGACAAAGATGGGCAAGATTCAGTGATAATTAACAAAAGAATGCCCAGCAGTGACAAAGATGGGCAAGATTCAGTGATAATTAACAAAAGAATGCCCAGCAGTGACAAAGATGGGCAAGATTCAGTGATAATTAACAAAAGAATGCCCAGCAGTGACAAAGATGGGCAAGATTCAGTGATAATTAACAAAAGAATGCCCAGCAGTGACAAAGATGGGCAAGATTCAGTGATAATTAACAAAAGAATGCCCAGCAGTGACAAAGATGGGCATGATTCAGTGATAATTAACAAAAGAATGCCCAGCAGTGTCAAAGATGGGCAAGATTCAGTGATAATTAACAAAAGAATGCCCAGCAGTGACAAAGATGGGCAAGATTCAGTGATAATTAACAAAAGAATGCCCAGCAGTGACAAAGATGGGCAAGATTCAGAGTAGGTAAATGGAACATAAACCTCACAACCATAACCTTCAACAACTGAAACAGAAATGTATCGACAACAGTATCATACCTAGGGTTAATAGTCACACAAAATCAGTAAAACAAACTTAACAATATTCACAGATTCAAATTTTTCTTTTTTTTGAAAAAGGAAATGAATCTTTTGTAAATACACTTTAATTTTTTTCTTAACTTGATAAAGCATGATCCAAAAATAATGTACTAAGACATGTAAAAATGAAGTGAGTCTAACTAGTAAATTTAGAAAATAACACCTAAATATGTCCTTGTACACTCTCCAGTACAGGTGTACCGTAAAAGCGTCAATGTACACCATCAAGTATAGATGTACCAACAGTGTGCCCGCTACCAAGCACCAGAGCTAAATGGGCTCCGACTTCTACTGGGGCTGACAGATCGGCTGCGGAGTCGACGAGAAGGACTCAAAGAACGGGATCTAGAGCGGGCACGGGGGGAGGGGCTGGTAGACCTGGTAGGACTTCTGCTTCTGCGTGAGGCTCCCTGAAAATTCATTCATTATGCTGTAGATACATGGTTCAGGAGGAAATCTTAACATTTCATATCAATTATATCTTAATTTTAAAAATATGGTTGGAATGAAGTCACCACCATCTTCAGATCTTTGAACTCACATTCCTACATATTAAGTTCATAAAGATCATACTTAACACATGTATGAGATATATCTGCATTTTAATCATTATTAGATAAGCAAATCATGATATAAAAAAAAATCATAATGAGTTAAATAAAGTTAAGGAGTTTAATATAACTTAAAGAAAAAGAAAAACTTTCCAAAAATCTTTTTAATTAAAGAAGTCATATATGTATAGAAATTTTACAAAATATTTATGGAAACCCAGCACCAGCTCATTTACAGATAAAAAAGTCTTTGTCTTTGTTTTATAAGCTGTCTATGTTGTCACCTTTTATTGCAACTACCCTTAAGAACAAATCCTCAACCTATCTCATAGCTACGTGTACATTACCGAACCTCTATAACTTCAATCTAAAGAAATTGTTTTTGATGTGAAATCTTCTGATTAAAAATTATTCTTCGACTTTCTTTGAAACTTATTCTGAATTTGTTTCCACTATTACATTAACAAATGTACAAACTCTGTACATTCAATTTACTTTTGCATTCTTAGTCATTTTAAATTAAATTTCATTTTCTAGACTGTTGTATTTCCAGCCTTACCAGGGAAGCTCCCCTTCGGGTACAAGCCTCTCCCTTCATCAAGACTTTGGCTCCCTGCATTAAAGCTGGCCAGATATGGTGGTTCACAAGCGGTGCTGTGTATTCAGAATCATAGCTGCGGCGGTATCTACAAGAGACCATTACATAGCAGGTCATGAAAGAGCATTCATAAACACCTTTACAAGGGCGGTAATTCATTTAAAGTCTACATATCAATGAATATTCTCACTTGTTGTTGTCAAAGAGCTCAGCATCTGTTGCAACAGCAATGTCCAGAGGATGAGCAAGAGCACTCATGTTCCATGCGAGTTTGCAGGCCTCGCGGATAAACGGCTGGATGATGGAGAAGGTTGCGTCGGGAGGAAGGAAGACCTTCGGGCTGCGGTTTAGAGCACGGATCACATCCTAAAACATCAGAATATCAGTAAATAAAATTTTAATCTCATGTCAACTACACTAGTCTTGTATATTCATTGCAGCTTAATTCATTGTAACAGGGTGCGCTCCTTCATGAAAGTACTTAACAGAAATAAATGTACGATTTACTACAACCTTCAAAATTTTCTCTGTGATTTGCAAAATAATTCTTAATATTAGAACTCCTGTTCAGGTAGACTTACCGCGACCATTCCAGTGAGGTCACACAGGTCAGTGTTACGGTTGACATAATCCTGAACGGCTTCCTCCAGTGTCTCAGGACCAATGTGTGTTGCTGCCAAATTAGCTCTGACCTTCATCTTAAACTGACGGAATGCCAGCTTAGCTACACTGAAGGCTTCCTACAGAAATATACAGAGAAGTAAGATTTCTGATGTTTACATAGAAAATAGAATTAATCTGTCCTTGAAGAAATCATGATTACAATTAGAAATGTGTATTCTTCTGAATAAAGATGACATTTAAAAATATCCAACTAAACCTGAATGGCCAGGAAGAGGATTCTCTGATTGTTTTCATAATCATCTGAGTATCTACGAAGTGTATCCATAGCATCCAGGCGATCCTGAGAAAACATGTCATTCCAGCGGGAGATGTAATTCTGCTGCCTGACGCGCTGTACAGGGTCATCTATAGAGAGAGGGGAGCCCACACGGGGAGTGTAGCGGTAGGAACTCAGGGAGCTGTATACATCACTGAAAATCACATCATGCAATTTGTTATTCTTGAAGCTTCTCATTTTTATGAAAGCATTTTCATATTTTTACAAATTTGTGACCAAATTAAGAGTGGTCAGTGTTTGAATAAGTTAAAACATCAAAATACATGTATTGTACAAGTGACTTAAATGGTTGTGAGTGTCATGCAAAACAGCTGTGATTATTCAATCATTAACTGCATAGTGTGGTATCATTATCATATTGTGATTTGTGTTACTTTAAAACATACACTGCCACATAAACATGGAGACTCTAGCATGGAGCCATACTGGGAGCAACATGCAGTGGAGTGGTCATAGAAGTCTACTGTACCTTGCCTTGTTACTCCTACACTTCAGCACTAATGCTACCAGGGGTAAAAGAGAAGCCAAGATGTCTAAAGATCTAACACCAACTTACTTTACTTTTGGTTAACATTTTCAGCTAATGAGGATGTAATTAATTTCCCAGAATTAAACAGAAACTACAAAAGTCTTACAATCAGTTGAGAACAAAATCATCTTTAAAGTTTTCTATAGAAATCTCAAAGAGTTTCCAGTAAATATCTATTAAAAGAAAGAAAAAAGCCCATAGGCCACAATTCTCACCTGATTTACTTTAGCCATGCTGTTATTCAGAAGACTTTTATATTCCCTTGAAAAATTGTGACTCCATATTACGGCCCCGCCCTAACTCTAAGGGGTCTTTGAATCCACACATCATGGTGATGCTTCAATATCAAAATGACGAAAATGGCCTTACAGTTATGGACAAGGAAATTCTTTTCCTGTATACATGCGTTAATATAATTTAGCCAACTTTAACCCAGGGTCCATAGTATAAAAAGAAAATCTTGACAATCCAAACTACCTCAGGAAGTCTTCACATAAGTTTCGTTTTTTCTAGTCCATTAAGTTCTTGAGAATAAGAATTTTTAAGGATTTTTCTTCTATATTTCGATGGAAAACTTTGATCCTTTATTGTGGCCCCACCCTACTTGGGGGTCATAATTTGAACAATTTAGAATCTGCACTTCCTCAGAGAGCCTTCACATAAGTTTCATCTTTTCTAGTCCAGTGTTCTTGAGAAGATGATTTTTAAAGGTTCTTCCTAAACATTTCAATGCAAAACTGATATTTATTGTGCCCCCATCCTACTCCAAGGGTGCATGTTTTGAACTACTTACAATCTACATTACCGTATGTCTGAGAGCTTTCACATAAGTTTCACCTTTTCCAGTTCATTGGTTCTTGAGAAAAAGATTTTTAAAGATTTCTCTTACATATTTCAATGTAAAACTTAGTTCCCTTATTTTGGTCCACCATACCACCAAGGGTCATGATTTTAACAATTTAGAATCTACACAATCTCAGGAACCTTCCACATAAGTTTTGCCTTTTCTGGCCACGTGATTCTTGAGAGGATTTTTAAAGATTTTTCCTATATATATAATTTAAGTAAACTTTCATCCCCTATTGCAGCCTCACCCTAACCCTGGTTGTCATAATTTGAACAATTTAGAATCTACACCTCCTAAAGAACCTTCCCCATAAGTTTCACCTTTTCTGGCCACATGCTTCTTGAAAAGGAGACTTTTAAAGATTTTTCCTCTATATTTCAATGTAAAACTTTTATCACCTTTTGTGGCCCCACCCTAACTCCTGGGGGACATGACTTCAATAACTTAGAATCTACACTTCCTATGGAACCTTACACATGTTTCACATTTTCTGGCCACAGTGTTCTTGAGAAGAATATTTGAAGATTTTTCTTATAAATTTCAATGTAAAACTTTCAACCCCTATTGTGAACCCACCCTAACCCTGGGGGTCATGACTTGAATAATTTGGAATCTACACTTCCAACAGATCTTGTTTCTTGAGAATTTTTTTTTTTTAATGAATCCAGCCTTATTTTGCCTTTTCTTAATTATTTCCCCTTGGAAGCAGGCTTGGCCCTTCAACATGAAAATTTAGAATCCCCTTTACCCAAGAATACTTTGTGCCAACTTTCATAAAATTAGCTCTGTGATTCTTGAGAAGTTGAAAATTGAAAAAGTTTACAGATGGATAGATGCCAGACAACAGGTGATCAGAAAAGCTCACTTCAGCTTTCAGCTCAGGTGAGTTAAAAAAAAAAAGAATTCCAAAAAATGTTACTCCCCACCTCTTCAAATACTGTGAGAGGCTAGTGGATATATGAAATGATATTTTATATCAATTTATTCATGGTCATAAGGATTGATGCTTTTGAATGTCCTTGTCAGAGAAGTTTCAGTCGTAGGCTATGACTATTCACCTCTAGAGACATCTGCTGTCTGCTTACCTTTATACTCAAGTCCCAGGTCTGGTATGAAAGCTAGCTGACTTAAACGATTTGTGAATTGATTTGTGCAATATCCATTTACAAAAATCATTATTCTTAATTACGCTATTGAATTTTAAACTTGATGACTTTGTTCCTAGCAGAGAACCTACCTGTCCAGGTAACTCTTTTTGGTAGAAGCCAGAGACAGCTCATCCTTGAGGTTTCTGACTTGTCGCTCATAATCATCTACCAGGCCTGCCTTAGAACGAAGTTTGACAATTTCATCCTGAGCATCAGCTAGCCTGGAGAAGAACAGTGACATGTAGGAGGGTATAATGATAGAGGGATAAAGGACTCTGGGGGGTGGGGACAGGTGATACTCCTCCTCCACAGTGACCTGGTTTAGAGTGAAGACTAGAACTACACTGTACAAGGTATGTGAAAATGTCCCCGATCCTGCATGCATGAACTGTACTTACATCATGATATCTGAATTTAGTTTTTACTTATCAAAAAATTTAATTAATTATAAGAACAAAACAATCTTTTAAAAATTCTGACAGAGCTAAATAAAGCATTTTTTCATACCAGGAGGATAATAAAAAATCCTTTTTTACAACAGAAATACTGTCTAGTTAAACACGTATTAGGAAACTTTATCAAGTGATAAGAGAAAGAAATCTGCTTAGTAGTGTACAGCTATATTCTTTTTTTTTTTAAGTTCACTACTTAGAAGAAAAGAATAAAATTCTGTGTATATAAAAAAAAACACCCACATTTTGCTAAATCAATCCCCTTCCTTTGAATTCACCATGTTATTGTAAAATGTTTCAAATTGCCCAGTACCAGACATAATGTAAATCACATACTGTATATATGTTTTGCACTGTTTCATTTTTGAAAGACAATATCAGTGATATAAACTTTTTATGCATCACTTCTAAGGTAAATTATCTCTTCAAAACAACTTTATGTTAAGACTGAGACAATCTCACGAAACAGCATGAAAGTAAAGGTCTCATGAAATAAAAACTGATTGATTTTCAGTATTATAGTACATTAAGCCTCTATCTTTCATAATGTTTCAGCTACTATGAAAATCAGGAAATCCCACACCCTGGATTTACCTAGTAAATCAAACACCTATACACTTTTAAGATTATTTATTTGAACAATAAGCTTCAACAAAGTTTCACAACTCCTACTTTGGTAATATATTTAAATAAAGGATAGCTGAATTGTGTTATTTTTTATTTGCTTTATCCAGCATCTTGAAATGATGTTGTCTTTCCAAACAAATATACACCACTTCAATGACCTGAATAAAGCAAACATAGAATCACATAATTTATATGTTCTATTTATCTTGTACAAAATTCATCTTCAATAAAATTTTGGAACAGCCCCTCAAAAACATCCCAAACAGATTAATTTCCTGTCTGAATTGATGACGGTAGGCATTTTGTGCATTTACTTCTGCTCCCCCCCCCTCCCCCCAATAAAAAATACCGGCAGATTATTTCTAGAACATTAAGTACATGTATTATAAAGTATCACTGAAATGCAGCTTAAAATTTTTTTAAAAAATAATTTTTTCTTTAATTTGGAATTTTCTTTTCATTAAAACTAATGTCAGTATAATTTGACAACACAATGTAGCCTTGTTGACAGGCTGGAAGTTATTTGTTGATACAAAATATGAATCAATTGTGTCTTTTAAAATATGTGAGATTTATTTGAGACAAATTTAGTGACTCAAAGTTGGTAATACATGTATTCTTGGATTAGGAATTTTCATGCATTGTAAGTACACTGGGTCTTTGTTACATGTTTGATAAGTTAAATACTTATTTTAATAGAAACATGCAAGATAGCATTGGGAAAAGTGACCAAATTTTTTGAAAATTAATTACTGCTATGCAGACCATTTTTTTCAAAGGGGGATGGGGGTTAGGCATTGCAAATCAATAATTTAAAATTGCAGTAAGAAAGAGGACAAGCATTGCAGACTGATATGCATATAAAGGTAAAATTTCAGTAAAATACTTTGTTTCTTACCTTTAACCTAACCATTCTTTCTTCTTATAATCTTTTCATAACACAAGAACATTTTCAAACAGGAGTCTCAAAGACTAAACAACTTTTAAGTATTAAAGTGGGACAATGTGTCAATATATATTCATAATCATTGTTCAAATGAAGTGAAACATGCCTATCTATTTTCAATGGGGAAAAATAACGTGGGGCACATTCACATAAAAGTTATTCTTCAATTCGACAAAACTCCCAAGACAAGCAATTACGAGTCTAGAGTATGAATTATTATCCAAAGTAGAGTTGTCTGACTTTGTTGAATTTGAATTACTGTTACTAACTTCACAGAGGGACAAATTCTTGTGTTTTTCATAAAATCAGTTTCTACATGAAAATATATCAATCAAATCTTAATAAGTATTACATCCAAATTAAAATCAGCCCTTTTCCCACAATAATGGCATTAAAAAGATTAAGAAAACTCTACAAAACCTTCCTGGATGCAACTATTTTTGTTGAATAAAAAATAAAAAAAACAAGTTCAAAATGAAATAAAACAGAGAGAATGACAAATTAAAGAACAGCTCATGCAGACGATGGTTAGAGAGACATTTTCCCATCACCAGATGTTAGACTACATGTGTAAAGCTACAGGAGTCAGTGAAGCTAAGCCAAGCGCTGTGCTGTACCGACACCTTACCCAGGTTTTTTTTCCTCCCGTAATGTGGAGGACAAAATACTGTCATCCTTAGCAATGCTGGAAGTTGACCGATATAGAGAGTCTCTGCGAGCGGTCAGTAGGGCAATATCGTCACGGAGATGACGAATCTGGGTCTCGTAATCGGTCAGCATTCCTGCTTTTGATCGTAAGGTGCGCACTTCATCTTCTGCTAACGCTAATCTACATAAGGAATATCAATAAAACCACACATGTTAATTTAAACCTTAATATTCCAAGTGAATATACTATTTGCCACAGAGGAAACAATCCTGCTGGATGCTGAAAAAAACTGCATTTCTTTTCACTATGAAATTCATAACTTTAGTCAATTTACTTTTTTAAAAAAACCCTTTTTGCTACACTTGAAAAATAATGAGTTTTTTGAGAAATGTTGTATGATGCATTCATTCGGCAGTCAAAATAACATTATAAATCTAAGAATTTCATTTAAAACCAAAATTAGAAAAAAAAGTGTCAACCAACAATAAAATTCAGTTTAATGAGAATAAATTAATTTATAAACCATGATAAAAAACGCAAACATACAAAAAATTTCCTTACACACAGCAAGCAAACTTTAATCTGTAAAGTTGGAAGCAAAGTTGATTCTTGAGTATACATATGCAGGGAGATTAAGCCATGTCTGTGTATTAAGTGGACCACAAAGATAGTGCAAAAGTACAAGTACTGTATGACATGAACCACCACCAACTGTTTGCAAATTACCAATAATAAATATTTCTATTTAAAGCAGAGGGAAAAATAAATGGAGGAATTAAGCTTTTAGTATATGTACTTAATAACACAATAAAACAAAACAAACATGATGTTGATTTTTATATATTAATAAAAATCTGTTTAATATTTACTGATACATGACATGATTGAGATGCCCAGGAGGGTGACTACAGAAAGCCATACGAGAGAGGGCTCTTACTTTCTGCGTAGTTCTCGAACTTCAACCTCCCCCAACATTTTATTGCTAGTAGACTCCCTAAGACTTCTATTTAGCTCATCTTTTGCTTCCATTAATCTGTGTAAAGACAAATAAAAATTAAGTCTCTTACTTTCTGCGAAGTTCTCGATTCTCATTCTCCAGGAATATCTTGTCACTATTCAATGTACGCATGCTGCGGTCTAATTCATTCTTTGTGTCATAAACTCTGTAATGGATATGAAGGTTTGAAAACATTGTCCATATCAATTTCTTCAGCACAAAAAAACTTAATGCAACATCCACAGACTGCACTTAGACATCAATTCAGTGATCAAAAATGTCATAAAATTTAGTAATTCATATCTGAGTATTAGTATTAACTGCAAATCACATTATATTTACAAGACTTAGTTTTTTGTGTAATTATGAGAAACTGTCAGCTAGTAAAAACTTCATTTTCCATATATAAACTATATACAACAATGACCAAAATTCATGAAAATTCTGTTTTGCTTATAAATACCAAATAATTATTCTGAAAAAATAAGGTGTCCTTAAAATTTGGCAATCTTCAGATTACAGATCTTCATTAAGTATCCAGCATTTCTGAAGGACTGTGATCATCAATAGATCTTAAATTACTAAGTTCCTTCATAATACACTATCTGTGCATTACTCTCCAAAAGTAAACATTCCCTCCACAGTGAATATAACTTCCTTCCCTCTCCCAAAGGTTAATTTTTCTGTCAACACCTACTCCTCTTTAAGTTCCTGAATCTCAGCATCCTTCTCTTTGAGGTCTACATCCAGTTCATTGAGTGAGGTCTCGTACATGTCCTGTAAGTCGTCGATTTCCTTGTTCTTAGCAGCAGCCTCTGCGAGGACACTGAGGCTTGTATCGGCAGTGACAGATCCCCCTGAGGTAAAAAAGTTCTGTCCCAGGAATGGCAAGAGACGGGATTTGATGATGCTGGCTCCTCCATACATGCCACCTGTGGATGATAAGGCAAGATTATCCACTGCTAATTAACTATTTTCTTCTAAAAGAACGGTTATTATCAAGCAGGTATATCTTTCCTACAACACTTTTATCAGTGTAAATTTGCATCAGACACTAGATAGGTGGTAGGAATTGAACAATACAGAAATGATTTGAGATGATGCATATTACGATACAGTGGCTGCATTATGATACATTTCATAGTAATAAATACAGGTTTTTTTGCAAATGCGATAAGCCTGATGTCACAGTAGCTGTATCAGCACCCATGCATTGCGGATTTGTAATGCATGCCTCAGCCATGTATTATGGATCCATAACGCTCCTCTTGCGGAACCCCTCTATTCCTATTGGAACTTTTCCTAGTTTTTCCACCTGAGTAAATTATGTTAACAACACACTAAACTAACAATCATAAAATGTTAAATGAATATATATTCATTTATTTCCATAATCCATAATTTGATAGATAATATTACTTCTGTTTTAGTGTCCTATTCTCAATGTAATTTAAAAACACATTTAATTACCTTCTGCACAGTGAAAATGAAATATTGCTTAAATTTAATATTCAGACTATGATCAAAAATTGATAAAATATGTTGACTTATGTTTTAGCTTTACTTTTGATGGGAAGAACTATAGTGTTAATTTTCTTTCTTTTTTTTCTATTAAATTTGTTCCAAGAAGTGATGTTAAAAGTGGTTTACAAATAAAGTTATACCATACAGAAATTATTAATAGTATTTGTATGTTATTACTATGTAATAAATATAATAAAACATGTCCTTTTGCATATCACATCGCATATCACCCTCCATAAATATCAGCACAAGGACCAGAGGCCCAAGGGCTGATATTTATGTCTTGGACTGATATGGGGTATGATATGGAAAAGGGTATGTGTTATTCTCTATTTATTAAATATTAATAATTCTTTTATAGTGTCACTTTTAAGTTTTTAAACTTTGGGCCAAAAAATTTGATTTTTAACTACTGGGTAAATAGAGAATATTTTTAAGATACTTTATTTAAAGTAACTTGAAGTTCACTATATTCATTTCCTTCTTTTATAAGAAATAATACCTAGTAATTACTAACAGGTAAAATAGATATCTGGTCAAATAGCATTTAAAACTTTCTTATTTGAATAACATATAACTATAAATTATAACATGATTGATATGTGACTGTGTTTTGATACATATTTGATATCTGACTTAAATTTGTATTGAATTACATATCATAGAACCTCATATCATGATACACATAGAGCATTGTCCAAGCCCTAATATATGCTGTACCTATTGTAACAATACATTATATCAATGTTACGAAGGATCTGACTGATCTGGTTTAAATGTAAAAGAAAAAATATGTAATTAAACATTTCAAATTAAAGCCAAAAAAAAAAAAACTAAAAAAAACAAGAGGCCCATGGGCCACAACGCTCACCTGAGTAACTTTGGCCTTGCTGTTTTTCACCCGATTTCCCCCTTGTAATACCTATTGTGGCCCCGCCCTACCCCAGGGGTCATGATTTGAACAATTTAGAATCTACACTACCCCAGGATGCTTCCACATAAGTTTCAGCTTTTCTGGCCCAGTGATTCTTGAGAAGAAGATTTTTAAAGATATTTTCTACATATTTCAATGTAAAACTTGGATTCCCTATTGTGGCCCCGCCCTACCACTGGGGGTCATGGTTTTTACAATTTAGAATCTACACTACCCCAGGATGCTTCCACATAAGTTTCAGCTTTTCTGGCCCAGTGGTTCTTGAGAAGAAGATTTTTAAAGATTTTTTCTACATATTTCAATGTAAAACTTGGATTCCCTATTGTGGCCCCGCCCTACCCCAGGGGTCATGATTTGAACAATTTAGAATCTACACTACCCCAGGATGCTTCCACATAAGTTTCAGCTTTTCTGGCCCAGTGGTTCTTGAGAAGAAGATTTTTAAAGATTTTTTCTACATATTTCAATGTAAAACTTGGATTCCCTATTGTGGCCCCGCCCTACCCCCGGGGGTCATGATTTGAACAATTTAGAATCTACACTACCCCAGGATGCTTCCACATAAGTTTCAGCTTTTCTGGCCCAGTGGTTCTTGAGAAGAAGATTTTTTCTACATATTTCAATGTAAAACTTGGATTCCCTATTCTGGCCCCGCCCTACCCCCGGGGGTCATGATTTGAACAATTTAGAATCTACACTACCCCAGAATGCTTCCACATAAGTTTCAGCTTTTCTGGCCCAGTGGTTCTTGAGAAGAAGATTTTTAAAGATTTTTTTCTACATTTTTCAATGTAAAACTTGGATTCCCTATTGTGGCCCCGCCCTACCCCCGGGGGGTCATGATTTGAACAATTTAGAATCTACACTACCCCAGGATGCTTCCACATAAGTTTCAGCTTTTCTGGCCCAGTGGTTCTTGAGAAGAAGATTTTTAAAGATTTTTTCTACATATTTCAATGTAAAACTTGGATTCCCTATTGTGGCCCCGCCCTACCCCCGGGGGTCATGATTTGAACAATTTAGAATCTACACTACCCCAGGATGCTTCCACATAAGTTTCAGCTTTTCTGGCCCAGTGGTTCTTGAGAAGAAGATTTTTTCTACATATTTCAATGTAAAACTTGGATTCCCTATTCTGGCCCCGCCCTACCCCCGGGGGTCATGATTTGAACAATTTAGAATCTACACTACCCCAGAATGCTTCCACATAAGTTTCAGCTTTTCTGGCCCAGTGGTTCTTGAGAAGAAGATTTTTAAAGATTTTTTTCTACATTTTTCAATGTAAAACTTGGATTCCCTATTGTGGCCCCGCCCTACCTCCGGGGGTCATGATTTGAACAATTTAGAATCTACACTACCCCAGGATGCTTCCACATAAGTTTCAGCTTTTCTGGCCCAGTGGTTCTTGAGAAGAAGATTTTTAAAGATTTTTTCTACATTTTTCAATGTAAAACTTGGATTCCCTATTGTGGCCCCGCCCTACCCCCGGGGGTCATGATTTTAACAATTTAGAATCTACACTACCCTAGGATGCTTTCACATAAGTTTCAGCTTTTCTGGCCCAGTGGTTCTTGAGAAGAAGATTTTTTAATGACCCCACCCTATTTTTGTCTTTTCTTGATTATCTCCCCTTGGAAGGGGGCTTGGCCCTTTATTTTAACAATTTAAACTCCCCTTCACCCAAGGATGCTTTGTACCAAGTTTGGTTAAAATTGGCCCAGTGGTTCTTGAGAAGAAGTTGAAAATGTTAAAAGTTTACAGACGGACGGACGGACGGACAGACAGACGGACGGATGGACGGACGACGGACAACGGGTAATCAGAAAAGCTCACTTGAGCTTTCAGCTCAGGTGAGCTAAAAACTAAAGAAAAAAAATAAAGAAAAAAGTGAGAGGCACGATCTTGTGAACAAGAGTTTGAAAATTATGAACACTGAATTTCAGATGTTGACAAAATAAAAATAGGTCCACAAAAGATAAGGCTTATCTGGAGTATTAGACATATCATCTGGAAGTATAATGTAAATTTTTTATAAGAAATATAAAATCAAAATATTTTTATCATTGAATCTAGCTATTATTCATGTATACTTCAAATTTTGTTGTGCAAATGCTTCCATAATTTTACTCTTATGGCTAAGAAAATGTACCATAAATTCATATTGCTTGAACAATTTTGCAAAGAGCAATTCAAGTTTTATTGATATAAAGGATCAAAATCTTTCACTGCATTGTGCATTGACAATGTCTACTGTCACAATAGGTTTTACTGCATGATGGGCAAAACACAAAAGAATAGAATGTTCATGTATTAAAAGTCCTCAGGTGGAGCCATTATTTTATACACTGAGGTGACAATGAACAAGTGGGGTGTGTATTTAAGGCAGCTAATCTGCAGATTATGCCATAGTTAATTAATTCTGGTCCTTGTCCAACATATTCAAATCTATTTACATAAGTTAAGTGTATAGTTTTTACTTTTACAAACTGTGATTTATGCACAACCATGCAGATTATTCAGAGATCCAGCAAAGCTCTCAACTCAGAATGTACACTTTTTTAAGGGCTGCTTAATTTTCTTTGAAAGAATTTCAAAGCATAAATTATCAAGAACTTTCCACCTCATCTCACGTCTAAGATTTGTTACTAGGGAACTTATTTGCTTAACCCATGGAATCTACTTCATCTACATTTAGTATATGACACTATAGATCAATCCAGTGTTCAAGATATGAAACTGTTCAGTTGGAAAACCCATGCAATTATAAAATTTGTCATCACACCAAAAAGTATATAATTTATTACATCATCTAAAATGAAACATATATCTTTGTGATGTAAATGTTCATGCAACTGAAATATTACCTGATGCATATATATTTGATTTGAAACTTTGACCTTTTGTAGACAAAGTGACATTTATACCTGACTCTGCTGTGACCTGGAGGAGTTTGAACAGCTGTCCTTGAACTTTGGCATTGAGTTCTATGATTTCACAACACCTGGCTACATTTTGGTCACAGGTATTTATCTACAAAATAAACAGTCATTTTCATAACAGCTTTAAACTTAATAAATGCATGCTTATTTACCGGTACTAGTAATTTAAGTCACTGGAATAGATACATACAGTAACATAGCTGATACCTGGAATGTAAATACTGCATCTAATTAAAATCTATGGATTCTTACATAGCATAAAATGTTTTCTTTCCCTATATATGTTGGTGATCACCTAACTTTGTTGAGAGTGAATGTTACGAAAAAGCACAAATCCCCCCCCCCCCCCCCCCAGTGCTTACATCAGTCACTCTACTTATTTTTTTTTTTATTATATACTTAAATAGTCAACCTTTTGTCATGTAATTATAAAATTCACTGTATACTAGCAGGTCATTAATCATTTATAAATGATTATGACATTATTACATCTATCCGTCTAACCATGTTAAACATATAATTAATCTGGGAAAAACATTAATTAATACCAGGTTTTTTTTTTTTAACTTACAGTATATTTCACTCAAAAATGACCTTTCCTGAGTGATTTGCTCTCAATTTTGGGATTCACACATGATGAAAACAAAGATTTTCCAAACTGTTTAGTGTACATCCTTATTTTAAAAACTTCAGAAACCTTTTATTTTTAATATTTGAGTCTCACCTATAAAATAAGGTACGTTAGGGAGATCTGAATTTATTATTTCTACCTCATCTCTTTGTCAGAAAGTAAAACACTCAGCACCACTGGTTAAAGGCAACATACATGTATCACTATGTACAAAATACTATACTTCAAAATAACTTTGTGTGAAAAGTTTATATTTCTTTAAAAGGCAGATATTGGCAGATAACAAAATGTATGTGATTGTCTTTAAAATTGTTTATAAAGTTACATGTAACAGGTACTTTGGAAATTATTAAATAAATATAGATTAAAATTTTTTTTTAACACTCTAAAATACACCTTCTACACAACAAAAAGCATCAAGTAACAGTACTCCATTAAATGAATGCCAGATCCCTCTTTTATTCTGCACCATGACAACCAGTTGAACCTGGTGCTTTTTGAATGAATAGAGAACATTGAAAAATAAATGAGTTTGACATGTTTTGTTGTAAATTATCCTGATAAATAATTAATGTCTTCCTGATATATCTATATATATATATAAAGGAAAGCTAATAAATAATTAATGTCTTCCTGATATATCTATATATAGGACAGTGATAATTTATCCTAGGGTTGTAGAACTACATAATTGTATGTACTGGTGGTAAAATAAGTACAGTAAAGCATATATTAGTACATATACTCTTATTATACATTGTATTGTAAAAGATTGAAGTTTTTTGACATTAATTTAGCATAAAGTATGACTAATTACATTTTCTCCAAATATCTCAATAATGTTAGTTCTAGAGAGGATTTTTTTAAGTTAAATTAGTAAAAAAAAATTGAAAAAAAAATCTGCATTATCACTTACAAAACATAAAATTATTTAGTATGAAAAGATTCAATTTGCATAAAAAACATTTAAATCACATCTTATTTTTAGCTGACATTGTTTGACATAATAGGTCATCAACTACATATTCAGAGATATGGCATATTGTAACAATCCGAAAGGTCTTGTCAAAAGTAATGCAGTGAAAAAAATATGAAAGCCCTGTCTGTTCTTGAGAAAATGTTACAGCCACAAAATTTCAGTTAGGTAGGTCCCACTTCCAGGTCAAGGACATGAAGTCAAAATTGACAGTTCTTTCTGAAGGTGTTGTCAAAGGTAATGTACATGTAAAATACAAAAGCCTGATCTTCTCTCAGTCAAAAGTTATTACTGATGTCAACATTTTTTGAAAAGTAGGTCAAACTTCAAGGTTAAGGTCAAAAACCATAGTATACTCGGAAAGGTCTTGAAACGGGTAATGCACATGTCAAATATGAATGCCCTATCTACTCTCATTCAAAAGTTACCATCAATGTTAATTTTTTTGAAAAAAAAGGACAAACTTCTAGGTCAAGGTCATAAAGTAAAAAAAATAAAAAGATAACTCTTTCTGAAAGTTGTTGTCACTTGTAATGCACATGTCAAATATAAATCCCCTATCTCCTCTAATTGAAAAGTTATCAAAAAATGTTAAAATTTTGGAAAAGTATGTCAAACTTAAAGGTCAAGGTAATACGGTCAAAAATCACAGTATAATTTGAGAGATCCTGTCACAGGTAATGCACATGTCAAATATGAATGCCCTATCTACTTTCATTCAAAAGTTATCACCAAAGTTAATTTTTTTTGAAAAAGTAGGTTAATCTAAATAAGTAAATAAGAAAATAAGTAAACCAGAAAAGAAGGTAAAAAAAAAGTACAGTGTCAAAAATCATAGTACATTTGGAAAGGTCTTGTCACAGGTAATGTGCATGTGAAATACAAAAGCCCAGTCTTTTCTCATTTAAAAGTAATGACCCAGGTTAAAGTTTTGTGACAGACAGACTGACAGGCAAGAGATTTAATGTCCCCTCACTTTTGTGAGAGGTGGAAGGAATAAAACTATGTTTCAAAAGATCTATAGATACAGAAATAAATGTCCCATACCTAGATTTCTAAAACTATTGATGGATGCAATCAATAGCTTTTAGTACTTTTATTGATCTGTTGTTTCAGACTTTATGAAAGTTTTTTCATGATTAGAATTACATGGGCTTGGTAAAAATTTAAAGGAACTTTTACCTGGTAAGCTTGTTTAGACCCGAGTCAAAATTTAAATGTCTGCAGAGAAGCCGGAACTTGCTGAGGCTTGCAAATTCCAATCTAGTGGCGGGAATACACACCTAATTCAGTGTACACTATCAAAGGCATGCTGATTACGTTTATTCATTGAGATTTACATACAAGCAAAGGAATCTGGTTATTGACATCTAGATTAGTCAAAAGTGTTTAAATTCCTGCTAGTTTAACGTCACAAATTTGGGGAAGAGTAAATACACACTGTGCCCAGTACCATTATAAACACAAAGGTTTTCTAATGTTGCCTTCTTTACAAATTGTTTTATTACGATAAGATAGATGTAAATGACATGTATCATGTGTATTAAATGTTGCAGGAAATAACATGTAACACTACTGCATCAGGTACTTCACAAGAGAACAAACTAGTATATAGGAAATAATGAAAAGGTTTTTTTTTTCTTTTTGCTATACGAATTCATCCTGCTTTCTTTATATAGGTATACGAGTAGAAAGGGTTCATATCTCCAACTCTAATACACTTGTCCAAAATGTAAGATTTTCTCAATGAAAAAATAAAAAAATACCACAAACATGATATATTATATATCAAAAACCCTACAAACTGCTGTATATTTGCTAGTATAACAATTATGGAAGTCTAACATGAAAGTATGAACCAGTATTGGGCATTTAAATGGGCAATAAAAGAGGACTGGAACAAGATGTTTGCTTACAAAGACCCCTTTTGATAATTTTATCAAGTTTGTATATGTTATTTTATGACATGATTTAAACAATTGCCTTATTTAGTAGCCAGTGACACTGATACATTAGGAACTTGGAGTGGGGTAATAGTCGACAACTGCTGACAACTGATTGCATTGTAGTCATGTAATCAAGATATCTCAAGTCATGTCTCACACTTACACAAAGTGCACTACATGAACATACTGAATTAATTTTTTTAAAGCATTTTAAACAATACATTTGACACATTTGAAATTAAAACACTCAACCAGCCCCCCCTTTCCAGTCTAACTCCCCCCCCCCCCATTAAATAAAAAAATTTAAAAAAATAAAACTAATTTTTTCAATGTGTATAAATCAAAATTTAAAAAATAAGATTTTCTTTACGAAACATATTCTTTAGTAAGCATTATTTTAAAATGTTCTCTTATACATTGTTTTTTTTTTTTAATACAAGTTAAGATAGAACGAACATGACATGCCTAATGAATGGGTATTATAAACGTTTTTAACATGCTATATTTGAACACTAATTTAACTATCCTAAACCAAAATGCACATATACTCAATAAGAATCAAAATACTACTTGTTTTAACTTATTTCTTTTAATGTTAATGAATTGCAAAAATGACATTTATCATTTCAAGGCCGGTGCAGGTGTCCGTAAACCTTAGCAACCGAGTCCAGACTTGAACGAAAAAATTCTTTCATTACTATATGCACTGCAGTATAAACCAACGTAATTCATAAGTGCATACAAATGAGTACTCCAACTATTATTCTAAACTTACGTAGTAGTTGTCCAGCCACCTCTCTAGTTTCTCTTGGAGCACAGTGAATGTACCGATATTCACAAGACGTCTCAAAGATTCCGCCATTTTCGACGCTCTTTCTTGGATCCGGGTTTCGGTATATCTGCTCATGCGCAAAACTCTAATTATAAATTGTAGACGGCACGATAATTCCGGATGATGTTTTAGTATCATTTTTCCAAAATCTTAAGATTAACTTTAATATGAGTTAAATGTCCATTATCGACACAACCCAACTGATTTACTATTCCACATCAACTTGATATATCCATAAGATTAATTATTTCTTGATCATGTCATTCATAATTTATTTGTAGCAAAATTTTGTAGACAATAGGATATGAAAAAAAATATATATATAAAGAAAAAAAGAGTACTGCCCGTGGGCATTTGCCTTATCTCTAAAACTATTTTTAGGATTTAATTGTATCCAGTATGAAGTGTAAAAATAATAATAATAAATTAAATAATTAAATAAATAAATTTTAAATAAAGAAATGAGGTATTAGGAAGGAAGCATTAAAAAACACTTGATTTATGTGGAAGAAAATCTAAACATGTTTTAAGACTCTTTATTTATTAAATAAAATGAGGATTGTAAAAGAAACAGAATGTACAAACTGAGTGATGAGAAATCATAACTGTCTTTGAAAGTCAAATTATATCACAGGCTTGATAAGCACCTAACACTTCAAATGATTATTGATAAAAATTAAAAATAATCTTAATTATGAATGAAGACATAGAAAAGTATTCAAGATTCAATTTTATTTACAGTTATGTAAATATGACTTTTTTGATAGACTTGTTGAAGAATCCAATATATCAGATAATGCATTATAAAATATTGTATCATATCGTATCGAATTTTTTTGCTCAATACACAGCCCTAAATTTCATTCTCCATAATTTGTAATCTCCTGTAATCTCCTTTTGTTACACACATGCATATAATCTCCAAACAGTGATCTGTATTTCAATCTCTAACTTTCAAATTTATAAGTATCAAATCATTATCTCAAAGCATAATCATGTCTGGAACCCCCCCCCCCCCCCAAAAAAAAAATTCAAAGGGCCATAATTCTATAATTATTAGACAAAATTCCTTGAAATCAAAAAGGTGTTGTAAATCATTATTGAAGAGTCACATGCTAATTTTCAACTTTCACGACTATAAAACATCTGGAAACTAAATTTTCCATAGGTGGATGGCCTTAAACATGTACAAAAAGTGGAAGGAAGTATTTACAGTATTTATTCATTTTATTTCAATTCAGTCTGAAATGTAGTCTTCAAAAAGACAATATTCATACAAGGTCAAAACATCACATATCATCATAAGGAACATTTACACATGGACACAAAGTTTTCTGCTTTCATAACACTGCTTTTTAATGAAAAGTTAGGGGAAAAACATAACTTTTCCTGTATATTATGAAACAGCACGTGTCAACATTTTGTGCACAATTCTTCTTAAATATAAATTTTTCAATCTTGTCTCACATTTACTTGGGCAAATGGAAATATATTGTTTTAACAGTTGTTTAAATATTTCAAAATCATCTACAATAAAACCAGAGCATTTCAGCTGAATCTGATCCTTAAATGAACTCTCTTGGCTAAAAGTGACCTGTAGAACTCATCACAACTTCGGATATCTGGTCAAGTTTGCTTGAGAAGTTAGATGAATCCTAAAATGGTCTCCTAAGAGTAGATTTATACTGTCTGTTCCTGATGGTTTCACCTTACAATTGTTGAGAGTCCTTTGTTTCAATTGATAGCACGGAGATAACTGGATGAAAAGTCCCTCGTCAGACTTCTCAGTTCCTGTAATTTATAGTCTTCTGGCATTGGTAAATGTCCAATATGAGGGGCCATAAATCTGTCAATAATATATTTTAAGCTCAATTATATAATTGTTCTAGTATTCTTGTAAATTTCAATGCACATCAGTTTTCGCAAAAAAGTTTACACTGAAATAATTAACAGTAAAATTGTACACATAATAGAAATGGTCTTTCCATGAATTTGTTAATTGCTTAATCTTTACTTTGTTGATACTTTACCTTGCTGAAACATCATTTTCTCCTTGTAAACTTAGAATGGTGCGGAACAACACAGCCAACCTCTTAGAAATCTCAGACTGGCACAATCTTTAAACAGTTAAAAAAAAAAAAGAAGTTAATATTATGAATATACTCGAACACTAATCAAATCAACACGTTTAAAATTAATGCATAGTATTTTAAATAAAGAGCAAGAGCCACTTAGGGCCTTTTTTGGCCCTGTGAATTTCTGAAAATTCAAAACTGTATATTTTTAGTCAACAATGCAATAAATAATACCTGAGCACTTGGTGAATGAATATCTACTGAAAATGACGTAATTTTCTTTCTAGTCAATGCATTATGACGTCATGAATTGCGTCATTATTTACATATCATGAATATTTCTTCAAAAATGGCCAAAATATGATGACATTTTTTAATATTTCGTATACAGCACAACCTCCGATCCAAAATGTGTAAATATATTATAAAAGAACTATTAATGAAGATTATAAAACATATTTTAATTTTTGGATCGAGGGGTGTGCTCATATTTTAATTCTTTGCTGAAGGTTCTCAAAAACACTTGTTTTCTGCAAAATTCAATAACATTGCAATTTCACCCAACCTGTTTTTCAATACCTAGACTCTTCAAAGGAAATTCTATTATATAAACTGAAAGCACTAAGTCTCTACTTCATATTGATGTTGAAAATGGTGCACGGGGTAATAGTCAATAAATTGGTATATCTACAGGGCCATTTATGCATAAAGTGAACCTAGCTCTTTAGTAGTCTTGTTTTCACATTTTCAAACTGCAATTACTTTTAAGCAACTTTCATCATCGACAAATTCACACAAGGTCTTTGAAACTAAGAGTCACTTTAACTTATACATACTTTATGTACATGTAGCATATCCCACTCACCTGTCCCTAGACTGGTAACATGGAAGGTTAGAAATACGCTCACACAGGGAGGTGATATCAGACCTTAGGCTGTCTATATTTACTACACTCTCATGCTAAAACAAACACAGATGTATGAATGCCCAACAAAAAAAGACATATTAAAATAATATACACATATTCCATTACATGTATGTCCAATGGTTTCCAGAGATTTCATACAACAATTTACCAGATTTCCTTGCTCATTAATGAATATGGATTAATTGTATTTGTGCTTAATTGTACAGGTAATCAAAAAATTTACTGTATTTGCCCCAATAACCCCCAATAGTCTTGGAAAATTTGGAATAAGGGGTGGTTATTAGGCCATCTTTAAAAAATTGTTTGTTTGCCTTCTCCCAACCGACTTGCTAAAAAAATGGCCCAACTAAAAACTTTTTTTCAACCTCCAAGAAACGAAATATTTACTTTTCAATACTTTTCAATTTCATTTCAATATATTTTGAAATATCAGCATTAATATTGAAATTTTTTGAGGGGGAAAAAAATTTCCCACCTACTTACTGACCCAATTTTTTTACCCTGGGTAGGCAGAGGGCAAACAAATATTATTTTAAAGATGGCTTTATGTCCACCAATTATAAATTAGAATGTAACAAACATGGGGGGGGGGGGGGGTTTGAGGGCAGGACTTTGTGTTAGAGGGGTTGCTTTAATATGGCAAGGGGTCTTGGAACTGCTGAGGTCCCCAGCAGGTCAAGGACAGTGTTAGGTGGGGTCCTAGGGGTGAACCCCCAAAAGCTCCTGAGAATCGGAACCTTTTTTTTATTGTATTAATGACTGTAATTTTACCTTTATCCTATGAATGCTTTTTGTTTTTGAGAGCGCATGCGCCCAAATCTTCTCCTGGGGATGGGTTCAAATAAAACACAATATATTGTATATTTTGAAGAGAAAGTGTAAATTGTACAAGAGACCCAAATCTAATGGCAGAATTTGAGCTTCCTGTCACAAGTGAACTACAACTTTTAGACTATGAAACATACCCCATCCCTCTCCACTTCCAGTTTTAGCTGTTCCAGATTTTGGACAAGTGTTAAATAATCCAGTAACACCTGACCTCCTATAGACCAGTCTAGGATCTGTTTACACCTGTCAGGTGGTGCAAGCTCCACTAGGAACCCATAAAGGTAACTATTGTTCTCTGTATATGAAAAAATGTTCAATCTTAAGTTACATTTTGTATTTTGTCACATAGCAAAATCCCAGTAAGAAGAATTTATTACAAATCATACCGTTAATTATGGCATCAGATGACAAATGTCGCAGAATGACTTTATGACATTCATTCCACCTTCTGGACTTCAGCAAATGAACAGCTTCAGCGTGAGAATTCCTATTATACCGAGCCTTCAATGCCTGTTAGATAAAAAAGAATATCAAAGCAAATCATGCTTCAATTACAGACAAAACTAAACGAGTCTGATTTATTTCATTCTGTGCAGTACTTGCTTTAAAGTATTAGTACAAACCTTTGCATAATGAATCCACTCTACAGGAACATCAAGCTTTTCTCTCAGAAAAATTTCCTTTTCATTGAACTCTTCTTTTACCGACATATTTCTGCTCAACAGATCACGTGTTCTCCACTCTCGGCTATTGAAATAATCCAATCCAAAATTTTAAGCTTCCATCAAATGTAAAATATAAAAAATGAAAATGGACTTTTTCAAAACAATCAAATGGTCCGTTATGAAACGAGCAGCATAACCTTATTTTACAATGAAAATGAATATCAAAGTAGAAAAATTTTTCATAACTTTTTGTAAATGTATGTTAACAAATATTTACCTTCTTCTGTCCTCTAAGTGTAGTACCACAAATACTGCCCACTCCCACATCCCTATAGACTCAAGCTGTGCAGCAAAGCTAAGGTGTAGACAGGCGGTATGGTAGGCAGACAGATGACGGTACTGAGCTTCCACAGACTGGAGTACCTGCTGCAGGTGCCAACTGGAAGAGAAAATTAATTTTAATGGTTCAACTGAAATCAGTAAGAGATTTTTGAAAAATAATTTTAGTAAAAATTGTTAAAAGCAAAAAAAAAAAAAAAAAGAAAAAATCCCTGCAAAACGCATGAGTTTTTCCTCCCCAAACCTCTTACTGACTAATCTCTAAACTCACCTAAGCCTGTAGTCCATGTGATTCACTGTACATGACATGGGATTAAATAAGCTCTCTAATGGATAGGTACGTTGACAGTACAGTTTGAGTAAGTGGTAGGTAGTATCTTGGATGTTTTCTTTATCCTCCATTTCACTTTCCTCAAGATATGGGGGCAATGGAGGGCTACAATACATTCCTAGGGGTGAGTCTCCTCTAAATCCCATCTCGTATTCCTCCAGGGCTTTGTGAATCTGGGCTGGAGCAGTTGGGGGACACATGTACCTAAAATTCCAACACAACTTTTTCTTGTCAATAAAGACTCATTTAAAACAAGTTTAAGGTAGTGAATCTAATTGTAATACATCAGTTTATTTTCTGATCATCATTTAGACACTATAAAACAATAACCAACCATAAATGTAAAGCAAAAGCTCTCTTCCAGTCCAAATCCATACAGGTATTAACTGTTGTTTGAGGGGTCTGCCAAACCAAGCGGCCAGCAAGTAGAGCATACAGCTTCAGACGTAACTCCTCAATAAACTTAAAGGCCTATAAATAAATAATAACAAGAAATGTTTGAGGAACATATATGCCCCCATGTGGCAATATAACAAACTTGAATCTACACTTTTTGACCTGATCAATTAATGCAGATTTATCTATTATGCCCGAGTAAAAGTCACAGTAGAGGTCCATATTTAAATATACATACAGTAAACTTCTTTTATAATGTACTCGGTTATAAAGTATCTCCTTATGTAAAGTAGCCATTCCGTAGTCCTGGCAAAGTGTCTATATATTTCATAGGAAAAAAACACCACTTACAACGTATTTGTATATAACATGATATCGCTTATAAAGTATTAGAAATTTGGTCCTGTTACATAATTACACCTCTTATAGCGTATTCTGACACCTGGTTTCACATCTTTTTTATCAGTGACTGCGAATTAGTCACGGTTTGTTGACTTCATAGCTGCTCCGTAATGGGTGTTTTTCAAACAACTCGGAGGTTTCTTTGTTGTTTTAAGTAGATGTATGTATAATAAATTGTTTGAATAAAGTTCATCTTTGAGGCAGTAAAATTAATTTAAAATAGCATTATGACCAAAAATGATATTATAATTAAACAAGTGAAAGAAAAATACAGTGATTAAATATAAGTAGACCGCGACGACAGCGAGGACGACGAGGTCGTGCCTTACACGTGCATACCATCTACCCAGACGATCAAAGGACATAAGTCCAAAATTACAACTTAGATAAACTCGTCTGAAGGTGTGGACAACAGTGTTTTCTCCATTCTGGCAACTCTGGAATATTTTGTAAATAAATGTCGTCAGGCCAAACAGACAAACATATTATGGACTTTTTAAAAATGATTTCACGATCATCAAGATTGTACAGCACTTAGTGATTTTGAAATAATTTATAGTTTGTGAAATAAAATGTTATTGAATATTAATCTTTCTTAATATAAGAAATGAAACCAAATAACCTGTAAATCATTTATTTACATACTCTACATACTTTAAAATATTGAATAACACACTAGCGGTTTGAAATGTGTTTACAGTAAAAGTGTACTGAGTACTTCCGGCCTCCGTTTATAATGTACACCGGTTATAATGTAGCATTTATCACAGTCCCCCTGGGAAACGTTATAAACGATGTTTACTGTATCTCTTACTAATTATCCTCACTAATCTTTCACAAACAATGATCATTGTTTAATACATATTACAGCACTTGTCAGCAGTCAAAATCACGCTGACATTTGCAGGATTTTAAAACGAAAGCTGATTGTAAGTTAAATACTGATCCCAACTAAAAGAAGAAGAAAATCAGAAATAAAAAAAATTAGAGCGGGCATTAAAAATCAGTTGGGCAGAATGAGAATCTAGGGTAAATAATATTTTTTATTATGGCCTAATGAAGCTTTCACACAGATTTTATCTTTTCTGGCCCAGTGGTTATTGAGAAGATTTTTAAAAGATGTCATTAAATTTTCACTAATTCTTGACCTTGATCAAGATCTAAGAGTGTCCAGTGTCCGTCTGTCCCGTGTCACATGTACACTTTTCACATTTTGACCAGATCTTGATCTCCCCTTGAAAGATGGTGTGACCCTTCATTTGAACAAACTTAAGTCATCTTCACCCAAGGATGCCCAGTGGTTCTAGAGAAGTCAAAAATGTGAAAAGTTTACAGATGACACATGACAGACAGACACTGGACAAAAAAAGCTCACTTCAGCCTCCAGCTCAGGTGAGCTAATAAAGACAGATGAGGGACAAATTTCGATCAGAAATCTGAGCCTTTAGCTCAGGTGAGCTCATAAATTCATACCCTACAAGTCATAAACTCAGCTTTTTTAAACAATAAATGGCTGTAAAATTTCAGGGCAGCATTCAGAGAAAAGACAATTTATTGATCTTATTCTAAAGTACATGTATATTTTACTCTCTTCATAAGATTAAACACTCACTCCTAACTCTGCCCATTCATTGAGCTGCATGTCAAGAAGCTGTTTGGGAACATAACTGCCTATACACTGTGATAAAACCAAGGCCAGTCTTGTATCCCCACTCTTCTGGGACAGACTACAGGCCTCTGCTACCTGTCCACCTGTCAGATGAGCAAACAGAGCTGGTAGGTGATTCTTTCCCTGCAAGAAATACAAAACTCTGCACACTTGCATACCACTGAAAAACAAAGGTAATCAAAGATTACAAAGCTCACCTCCACAAATGTTATCTATAAGGCAAATCTCACACCAAATTTTTTTTAGTTAGTGTGCATCCTGAGATAAATATCCATGCAAGTTAAGTTTCAGTAGGTCTTATAGTTATTTGGAAATATATTACTCCAAAAACTTGACTCATCCAGAAAATGTAGGTCAGATCCAGCATTCATAGCAAGCTGGTAGTGTACATCCCTAGATGCATCATCCATGCAAGTTTGGTCAAGGTAGGGCTTACAGCTACTTGGGAATGGACAAGCTCCAAAAACTTTAACTAAGTCACTCATCAGGAAAATGTAGGTCAGATCCAGCATCTGAGGCAAGTCTGGTAGTGTTCAACCCTAGATACATCATCCATGGAAGTTGGGTATAAATAAGGATTATAGTTATTTGGGAAAGGAAATGCTCCAAAAACTTTAACCTGTTCAGATCCAGCATCCAAAACAAGTCATGCAAATTTTGCTAATAGTCACTCATTTGGAAAAAATAGGTCAGATCCAGCATCTGAAGCAGGTCGGGTAGTGTACATCCCTAATGCATCACCCATGCAAGTTGGATGTAAGTAAAGCTTAAAGTTAGTTGGGAAAGGATATGCTCCGAAAACTTTAACCTGTTCATATTCAGCATCCGAAGCAAATCTGGTAGTGTTCATCCCTAGATGTATCATCCATGCAAGTTTTGTCCAAGTAGGGCTAAATAGTCACTTATTTGGAAAACATAGGTCAGATCCAGCATCCAAAGCAAATCTGGTAGTGTCCATCCCTATATGCATCATTCATGCATGTTTGGTCCAGGTAGAGCTTACAGTTACTTGGGAATGGACATGCTCCTAAAACTTTAACAGGGATGCCGACTCTAACCCTGACCTTATAGTATAAGCTCATCTCGACTTTGTAGAGTTGAGCTAAAAATTGGCCATAAAAAACCTATTTAGTAAAATACTAAATGTTTGTTACATGTACAATTATCAGCTAAAATATTTTGCGATATAACACAAAACTGGCATTGGCACAAGCAAGCACTTTATCAAGTATGAAATCTTATGGTTGTTAAAGCGCACCTTACTATTTCTTTGGCATAACATTTTTGAATGATACACTTGAATTAAAGGCAAGTTACAAACCCTATACTTGGCTTCTTGAATCTCCTTTCTGATTTTATCACTGGCAGTGGAGGACAGCCATTTTGACACTGCCTCTCTTCTGGCATGTTGTACTTCATAATGATGCACAACATCATCTGAAATACAACTCAGTTTTGTATGTCTTATACTAAAGGCAAGCACACAGATAGACAAGGATATTAGCAAGAAAACTGACAGTCAGAAGGGCTTGTATTCTGCTGATAAGCTTTATATTAGCCTTTCACTTTTGACCAAGTGATCCAAAATCTGTTCATACTTTTCTTTATTCTATTCTGTAATTTAAAGGATTAATCAAAAAAGAATAAAGAGTGTTTGTGGAAAGATGAATGAAGTGACAGACGGACACAATAGTTACTATAGGGCACCTAAATGAACACTGTAAACTTCAAGGAGTAAATGACTACCTGGTAAATTCCCAAACAAAGCAGAACAAAGGTTCCACAGAGTCTCCGAGTAGCTGACACTGTCAAAGTCGGGGTGTCCTTCTGTAATACACATTATACAAATATTCAGGCATGTGTATACTGTATATACCAGTAAACATCAACTAACATGTATGTGTTTACAGTATTTATAAACCAGTAACCATAAATTCATGTGTATACAGTATATACCAGTAACCATAAATTTATATGTTTACAGTATACACCAGTAACCCTAAATTCATGTGTACATCAATTCAAGTGTTTTAAACTGATATATATATATATATATATACACATAGTTCAATAAATTTTTTACAATATTACTAATAATGATTGTAAATATGTGAATAAATGGAGAGTAAATTTCCCTGCAAGATTTATAGCTGAGATTACTTGTAACAATATCAGAAATTGTATTGTATATGTACCTGACAGAAAGGGTGTACCTATCTCACCTGAATTCTCCTTATCCTGCTTGATCTGGTCCACAATGTGCTGCAGGGCCATCTCCCCCTCCCTGGGGCCAAAGACAGGACATCCATCCTCCACCTCTCTCCTGGAGTGTTCTAACTGTATGGACAGCAACTCTTCATGATTTCGCTAAAAATCAACATAATATATACAGACAGGCACTAAGAAAAGGAAGGGAATTATGGCAAAAACTTTTTATCATATTCATCCTAGCAGTATGACAAAGTCTTCTAAAATAAATTATCATCTTCTGGATTTCTTTAAAACAAGAAAATTGGTGATAAAAAAAATGCTACTAGATTTTACCACAACAACTGGGTCCTCAGGTTGGAAGTAAGGTGTCACATCTAACTTTTCTACAGCGACATTCCAGCTAGTGGGACCAACTTTCTTTTTTCTTGAGCTTGATAAGACCGAGAAAGATGTTTCTTCTGCACCTGGAACATATAATATAAAAGTTTATCAATCTGGAAACAAAATTCACAATGCAACAGACTAAACTACATTTTTAAAATTTTTTTCTAACCAGTGACTTGTTGCGTAACGGTTAATCCAGCATGTGCAAATGTCCATCCTGGCCCCCAGCCTACACGGAAAGACCGACCATGGAACAAGGCCGCATCAACTATAACATCCTGCTTATCATACATTGTAGAGTCCTGAAATTCTGGAATAGATCTTGGTATTCTAGCCCCTACAATCCGACGAGGCAGGTCATCCGACTTCATCCCAGTCGGAAGTGGCAAGTGCTCATCCACTGGAGGCATGTGGAATTTGGATTTGGCTGGCCGGATTGGTTCCGGAGTAACAATTCTTGGTGGGAAGGCACCTAAAAAGGAAACTTCCTTTACATTGCTTTGTCCTTAGATTGAAATTTCAAGGATAGATATTGTCCAGCATATGTGTACAAATACTTGATTATTGGCTAAACTTCAAAATTATGATATGGAATCTACAGAATAAATTATTTTTAAGCACAAAATTTTCCCAAAACTTATGGTCTGACAGAGAAAGAAATGCAAATATACCTCTCTCAATGTTAACATTCTTAGGGACTCCCGAGAGCTTGACAGGGGACATCAAGGAATTCTTGTAGGCATCACTAAACATACTAGCTTCCTTCTTTCCACTCAGGCGAGAAGAACTTAATATGTCTGTGTAACAAAACATCCTTAGATAAAAAACATGCATAAATTGAACAAGTTAGTAAGAACCACAGAGAGATTATTGAACAGGTATTTCCTGAGATTTACACAAGGCATCAATCATAAATATTGAAACAATTGTTAAACAAATCCAAATGGATATATGTGATACTCTTAAAGTCTTGTGATGGCATATTCCACATTCATTTTCCTTTATTTCAAGAACTAATTTCCCAAATTCCCATATCCCCAGAAATATGCAAATATAATTTGAAGTCTTTATCATACATTGACTTTCGTTGTAAATTTAAGAAGATTGGACTATTTTATTTCTCACTTTCCATACAACCAACACCTGATAATCTTAGTCTCATAACTGATTGATGTTATATAAGTGGAATTTTTAGCGACACACAATTTTAGAGATTTAAGCCAAAAAAAAACAGTATATATTTTTAGCAAGAAGTAATTTTAGCGATTTTATAATGTCAAGAAAGATAGCTATAACAACTGATATGATATAAATTGTTAGTGGTATTCAATTTTAGCGATCTCAAAACCTTCGCTAATAGTGTCAAAATTGGACCATTACTAAAAATTCTGCCTATACGGTATAATAAGTTTGCAGTCTTGATATCACAACATGAATTTACATTAAAATCCAGAATCAACTTTATATGTTCCATCTTTCAGGAACTCTTAAAATAAATGTGTAAAAATGCTATTAGTAGTGAAGCTCAGGAGCAATGTAAGGAACATTAACTCAATCAACTCAATTAAGTCAGTACATCCCCTCCTCTATCTACAAACATGTCAAAGACCAAAACATTGAATATTCTTAATTTATAAGAGTAAAGCAAACTGATTAATTGTACAATGAATGTACTAAGTCATCTTACCCTGCTGTGGTGGAGCTTCATCTTCCTGGAAGAATGATGCCTTCATGACCTGCATGTTCTGAGCACTAACCCCCATACTCTGAGCCAAGCGATGGGAGGAGGGCTGCTCATCCATCTCATCCTCATATCCCTCACCTATGATAACAAGTATAGTTATAATTTCATGCAACCTAGTGGAATCTGATTGATTCAGAGACATTTGAAAAAAAAATTACATTGTTTCCCTACTAGGTGTATAAACCACAACCTCTAAGGTGACAATTCATAACAATGGGATTAGTTACCAAATCACCCGTTTTTGTCAGGTTATACCTGATTTTTCACCCAGAACCCAATTATTTTTTATGAATGTTGAGACCAGATTTTTTACTTTCCAAAGAAGGTCATAACCCTCTTTTTACAGGTAGGAGGTTGGCAAGTGTGGCAACAGGTTATATGGTTACAATGGCATGACCAAGCAACATAAAAATTTTAATTTCACAGAAAGTTTGTGTGTAATGTTCATTAAGGACCCTCTATACACTGCATACAAGAGTTTTAATTCCACGGTATTTTTATACAGTTAGAGAGATGATGATCAGTGATCTGACTTTAGATCTAAAACATAAGAAATTTAAATCTACAACATATTACTCTATTTGTGATCTTTTTGAACATTGGTGTATCTATCTGATTATAAGGCCATCCTACTGAATTCACGTTACTGTCTCGGAATTTGATGTATTTGCATCATAAATAACAGATACAATAGTAAGTCATACTAAAAATATTAGCTACAAAATTTGCGGTATAAAGCTGACATCAAACTTTGATCAAATAATCTTCTATGGGTATTTTGACAACATTTGAGGAATTTTTTGAAAGTTTTTGATCACTGGAAATTAAAACTGCAAACTAATTTACAAACTAAATTTGAAATCAAGAGATTAAGGGGTTCAGCAAAAATCAGGTGAAAAACATGACCCTCTGTGTCATAAAAAAATAATTGGGATACTGGTAGAAAAATTGGATGTAACTCTACAAAATCGGGTGAGTTAGCAACTATGCTTCTCAGGCTCCATTGCATCTGAGAAATATGTGCTGCATTGCACCTTTTTAATCCTCAGAATAATCCTAACCATCATTTTTATAAGCAGAATGATTTTACCTTTCATAAAATGCATTTGAAACTTTCAAGACTTATACTGGAGAAGATGATTCTAAAAAATTCATTTCATTTGTCCGATACTGGTAAAGTCAAATTGGAATGATTCCATGCATGATTTGAACAATCAAGAATTATTAAACATTTATTACCAATGCTGTAACCATTTACTTATTATTATTTTTACATCTTTCAGTCAAGGCTGGACAAACTAGTACTGCATATTGAGTATTTGAGTATCTGAAATAGTACTATGGGACATATTAAAGTCCTCAAATATATGGCCCCCATAGTGGTCAATGTTTGACTATTTGCCTGCTTAATTCACTTCTACAAATTTTAGTCTGAGAATTTGAAGGTCAATTTTTTTTTTTATGGCCTCACTGAGTCTCTTCCCCATCATATGATAGTGCCCCTCTTACCTGTATATTCCTCTGCCATGCTGTCTGGAGCGGTCTCCTGGGTGATATCTGTAAGGGCGTCGTCCTCTGTCATAGGTACCTCCGTGTCTGGAGGAGGGGGAGGTGGTACTTCACTCATCAAGGACATCTTTGGAGTCGTCTTCTTCTCTCCCATTGCTGGAGGCACAGGTTTTCCATTCACTTGAACTTTCTAAGGAATTAAAAAATAAAGCCCTTTCAATTAAAAACCTGACAGTAACTACCATGTACTACTGTACTCAAGTATATTCAACTTGCCACATTAACTAGCATTATATGCTTTAACCACCATTAATACTACAGAATCATTTTACTTCATGGGGGGTCACTATTCATGAATTACATTAAACTAACATGTTCACAGGGATGCAATTTCGTGGGCATATGTCTCGTTATAAAAGATATCACCTACATTTTTATAATCATTGAGATTGTACATTTATGGGTACAGGGTGACCACAAAATCCATTAATACTGAACCATCATAAAATATAATGACTCCACAATTTTTTTTTAAAAAATATCCTCGTCTTAATTATGAACAAATTTAGCCCCTCCATACATGCATCTAGGGTTGAGGCCAACCTTGGCTCTGGTTTGTAACTTCTAAAACTCCTGCTAGAACACAATTTTAATACCAAAATAGACCTTTTTGGTTTTTTTCTTCAATAGTACAACATATTTACCCACAGATTTCTTTGGCAGTATCATAGCAACAGTCATTTTAAATACATTTTTTTCTACTCTCTATACACATAACTCACTCCATCTCTACACATATGTACACTGACTACATGTAGGCAGATCATCTTGAAATCTTTCCAAATGGAGAGATTCAAATATAAGTAGAGTACTGTGAAATCACTTATTTTTGTGGGGGTTAATTTTCATTGATTTCAAGGTGTGAAGAGACCCACAAATTCTTGTCCACCACAAAATGTAAAATGTCACACACATAGCTACTCAACAATTCTTCATCCACAAAATCAAATCCCATAAACCCATAGTTTTTCCACAAACCATGAAAATATGACCCCACAAAAATATGTGATTTTACAGTAATCTGGTGCCCCATATTTCATCCTCTATCAGGTTGGCAATGTGGTTGCTATTATCCTCAATCATCTATCAACACCCATGTCCTTGAAAGACTGACTTCAAAAGGAACACATACCTTGTTAAACATTTTATAATTTAATTTTAATGTACAAAATCAAACAAGCAAGATATACACCTTTATTCTATCCTCTGCCTGCTTTCTAGGTTTGCATAAATATGGATAGCAAAGAATTTCATGTTGCATATGTTATAGTATACAACTCAAGAAGAATTGTCTCTAAGCTAAGAAATCTGACTTCAAAATTAATAACTTTAATAAATAACTAATGTTACAGGTAATTTCTGTGGTCCTTCTTTTTTGCCACTTGATCCATTAAATAAAACATTCAAATTTCTGCAGTAACAATACCATTCAGCATCAATACACCAGATGAGGGATTGGAATGTTTTGTGATTTTATTTTTACTGGATTTTCACTGATCTGCAAAATTGCTCGTAAAGCCAATCAGAAATTACTTGTTGCTGGCAGAGGATAAAGATACATGTGTATTCATAAAAAATAATGACTTGTGTACAGTAGTTTTATCAATCAATTTTGATTTTTTTATACAATAAAACAATAATGATCTCAGTCACTGCAATAAAATAATAAAAATGTAATAAAATAATAATAAATTAATCACAAAATTATTAAATACATGTACATTAAGAACAAAAGAGAAGGGAAAATGAAATTTAAAATTGATAAAACTACCATGATCATAAATAAAAAGATAAACACAAACTACAACAAGCATTTTTTTTTTTACAATTCAAAATGAAATACATATTGTTTACACAGCCTTGTTAGTCTTCTATTGTGGGAAAGAAAGAAATATACATGTAAAAGGATATTTACATAAAATAATCAAATTAGATGTCTGTTCATACAATTGGATGCATATTTGTCATCAATAAAGTTTATACAGTTTACTAATAAGTGACTTAAAATATTAATGAAAGCTATAATGATTTTAATGTAGTTTAAAATCTACTATGAAAACATTACAATAAAAGAATGTACATATACATGCATGTAAATCTTTTAGAAACATCAATAATTTCATAAACTCATTGCACATTTGTAAATTTACCAATCAATCACAGCTCATATTTGCAATACAATCTAGTTAAGCTGCACACCCTTGCACAATTAAAAAATAAACCATATTCACAGAATACAATTAAAAGAAAAATGTATGTTAGCTTATCTACATTTACATGTATTTACAAAACAGCAAAAAAGGGCAAAAATATTCCAATAGATACAATATTTCTCTTTCCATAATGAGTATATACATGTACATATGTGTGCTATGTTACCTATATGTATTTACAAATTAAAAGTAAGCACAGATAAACATCCCATTTAAAAAAAATGTATTCACAATGCTGTTTTCAGTTTCTGTCCTTAAACATATTATTTCCCCAAGATCCAGAGATGACCATCCATTGTGGGTGGATCCACTGGTCCAGTGGGGTGTGGAACTCTCTAGTATGAGGAAGTACTAACCTGGCTCGTTTTCTTCATTTGAGCAAGGGCAGACAAGTCTTCCTCATCACTATCTTCCAGTCCATACTTGGTAAAATGCTTCACCTTAAAAAAAAAATTAGTTAAAAAATACTGAGAACAAATTTACCTTGATAAAATGCATGCTTAAAAAATCATTCTTGAATCTTAGAGAAACTTTTCTTATTGCAAAAATAATAATTATACCTAAAATCAACAATGATGAACAAGCATTCAATTTACATTTAATGAATTTAAGATTTACCTCAAATACCCATGAGCCTGTCTCTGGACGGTAGTCCAGAAATCGACCTCCAATGCGTGCTGTAATTTCTTCCATCTTCTCATGGTAGCCCAGGGCTTTTAATCTCTCTGGATCCTACAAAACAATCACAATATAACTACGAAGAAATTTTATGGAATACTTCTGTTTTTACAGGGTACAATGTACTTCAATCTACCACTATATAAGAGAGGGTGTGAATAAATAGCTAAGTCATTGAGGAAACTGACCTTGATGTAAGATCGAGTTGTTTTATCTGTTGGCCATACACAATCCAGTGTAATTTCTGCCTTCCTGTTCAATTCTTCCCCTTCTGACGGCTTGTTATCGTCATCAGGGTAAACAATCACTTCCTTCCGGCGAATGTGCACTATAAACACACACACAAATCATAATGCAAACAATTAAAACTTGCTATCAACACAAAGCAAATGAAAATTTTATAAAAAGAAGAAGCAGGTCATGTTTGTTAAAGATAAAATGACAGCTATTTTTATCCAGAGTAAACAAAACTCAAATACTTTCAGTGCAGACAAATTCGTACCAATATCATCCAGATTCAGGTTGGCAACATTGAGAGGTCCATGAAAGTATATACTTCCATATCCCTCCCTTCCCACTGTCAAACCTTCCACAAAACAGTCCCCATTCTCATCCACAAGTTCACACAGCTCTTCTATAGAGGGAATTGTGTAATACCCAGGTCGTGTCAGGATTATACCAGCAAGGTTAGGTGGAGGGGGTGTGGTCTGCAAAGTAAGGAGAAATTCTACATGCACAGTATATAATCATACAGTCATTATCTTAACTTCTACATGTATCCAAGCTGACGATTTAAAAAATATAAACATGTGCACTCTACAGTCTTAAAGACTTCTCATGAAATGTTACAATGACCCCAAAATTCAGAAATTCAAAAGAGAAAGAAGGATGTTGACTTACTGGTCTCTCAATGCTCTCATCAACCGTTTGATTCAGACTGAGATCAGTGTCATCCGGCGATTTGGAAGTTATTGGCACACGTATCTGTTGTACATTAAGCTGAGATATTGTATCATCAAAATTTTCCGAGACTGGCTTCTGTGAAAGGTGAACCTCTGGGGCTTTTGGTTCTTTTTCCAGTCGGTCATGTAAGCTACTGAAAACAAAATTAATATGAAACTGTATGAAAACATGCACATTTCAACTGTCATGTAAACTAGTTAATAAAAAGAATAAAGAAAACATTACCTTACACATCACAATGTTAAATAAATGTTTAACAGTGTATCTAAGGAAACCTCTGTAATATGAGAAAGAGGAATAATATTATTTGTACAACTGACTTACAACGAGTTTCCATTCTGGGTGACCTCTGGCTCATTGATGCTCTGATTTTCTGACTCCCCTAACACAGACGAGGCACGACTAGGAGAAGTAGAACTGGAGCTTCCTTTCCGGATAACAAGCTTCTTGATGCTTTTCTTTGGCATGAAGCTTTCAGTTCCTCCACTGAAATCATCATCTTCCAGGCCCTCAAACATGTGTGTCTTCAAGATATTGAAAAAGTGTTATGCAGAATTAAACTATTTGATACAGATTTTTTCTTTAAATACATTTTGATTCTGATGAAATCCATACAAATAAATCATAGGAAATAAGGATGAAATAAGGATTTGATGTTTACCTTTGATCCATTCAGCATGTTGTGGAGAGATTTGGGTTTAATTTTGGCTGTGGGTCGTGCGCTCACTTTGTACTGATTGGACAGAACAGCTTTCTGTGCTGAAGGGTTCGTTGGTTTCAGGATCTCTTCTCTTTTCTTATCACTCTGAAATCACAGTGAACAACAAATACATAAAGAACATTGACAGTTTTTATCCCTGAAGAAATAAAGTAAATAAAAATCTTTCAAGCTTATATCAGAGCTTAAATACTGACCGGTTTCAGATTCCAGAATAAAGGAGAATCACCATACGGTGAACTGGCCAGTGCCATTAACTGCTGTTTGATCTGGACTTCATTTGGAACAGGAGCTGTCTGTGGTGCTGCCCTGAAAATAAAATAATTTATTGTCAAAACTCAACATCTTGTACTTGTAGATTATCTCATTGTTTTCTAACTGTAGTATAAAAGATATGACGATTTTTTGACTTGTCTACTGGTAATGACTTACGTGCTTAAAGTTGTTGACGCTCCTCCTTGAGGAAATCCAGTACCTACACCAAAACCTGAAACGTCGATAGTGAAATACAGTAAATCACGCTTAGCAAAAGCCTCACCTATTCTTAAAAAGTGTACATGTGTACTACATATACATGATACATAAAGTACAATAAAAGTATATTTCTTATCAATATATGAAGAGAGATTCACTGTCCTTAGAAAAGTGTGTCTACCTGTAGTTGTACCAAATCCAGTCATCCCTGTGCTGGTACCAAACGGTTTATTCAGGTTGAAAGCTGAGGTCTGACCCAGATTAAATGTACTGGTGTTTCCAAAAGTTGTGGGTTTGGCTCCAAACACTCCAGTACTTGTTCCTGAAAAAAAATATCAAGAGCTGTTATGTAGATTAATTTTCAAATCATCCTTATCTATGTAGAAAAACCTCATATACATGTAGATTATACAATTTTATGAGGAAATTCTTTCTCGATCTTCTATTAAATGGGATCAAAAGATGTACAACTACGTACAATCACTAGAAAAAATCTTAATGCAATAGAAATCTAAATGAAAAACCCTTGAGATAAAACTCTGTTCATAATATGGAAGACTCTATTGAAATATAATAAATATCAGGCCTCTAAATGACCTCTAAAAGTTAGGCGCCAGCTTGCTCCTTATCAAAACAATTTAGTCACCAATGCAAATTTTTCTTAGACACCTACTTTATAAGCTGATATTAGTCAAAGGGGTAGTCACGGGTGGGGTAAGACTATTGCAATTGTTAAGAAAAAATCAACAAGAAATATAAGCCAGCTAAATGCCAAAAGGTCTTAACTTAAGCATGCATGTAAAACTCCATTGTCTCAAGCCACTGTCCCAAGTCCGCACATACATGTAGCTCTCTCCTACTGGCCAGAATGGGAGAGGATCGTACATTTTAGTTGTGGTTAGGGATGATGGTAAAACACTTCCCGGTATATTCAAAAAGTTTTTATTTTTTCTTTTTAAGAAACTTGGATCTCATGAAATATTCTTTGAAACTATAATAATTATATCAAGGATTGTTTACACAATTTACATTTTATGCTCGTCCGTACAATTACGACCTAACATTAATGTCTAGACACTATCTCTAATGAGTGAGAATTTAATTTACAAACAATTGACCACATCAATCGTCCAATTTACTTCATTTCACAGTTGTCAATTTTCTGGAGCCAAAAATGACCTGGGGTGTCATATTGTCTTATCTGGTCTACATGAGTGCTGTGTGCACTGACAAGACGCGAAATTTCGTTCACATGTGCGCGACTAAAAAAAAAAATCAAAGTGACGAAGAAAACACAAGACATGTCAATTGCTAACATTTAAACTTCTCTTCTCCTCTTTCAAAAAAAAAAAAAAATTATAGTTCTGGAATTTGACGAACGCCAAGTATATTTAAAATGGTCGAGAAATTTTGGGCACCAATGAAATATTTTAGGAAGCATGGTGACTAAATTAGTCGCCATTTAGAGCCCTGAATATCATGCTGTACCTATACCAGGTGTGGTGCCAAAAGAAAATCCCCCGGAGGTGCCAAAGGTGGAGGGTTGTGAAGTGGTACCAAACAGACTGGGTCCTGTGGCTGGCTTGGCAAACAAATTACTGCCTGGTGTTCCAAAACCACTTGCAGTAGTGGCAGTAGTTCCAAAAGCTGGTTTGGAGTTGAATAGACTGGTACCCTATAAAATAAAACAAATACATGTATCTCTGCAAGTAAAATATCAAAAATACAGTTTTTTTCAATCTTAAATTAATTACAATTAACCCTAGTAGGGCCAGTCATTAATAAAATGAAACCCAGATAACATTATCACAGTGATGGATGTTGATAACATGAGGTCAGCCATGTTTTCCGTTCAGTGCCGGTCATCAGCAACTTTACACACGACATTTTCTTTGTATTTTAACCAAGGAAATCCATTCATTTCAATGTTATTTACTAAAATTAGATTTTCCAGCAGTTTAATATGATTGGACTTATGATGGGGAATTCCTTTAATCTTACAAAATGAAACTTGTTGATCTTTGTGCTTCGTTAGAAGAGTGTGAAAACAAGGTGGGGGTTGTGGAGGATATACTGAAGAAAGTGCAAATTAACAGATGTCAATAAAAGACTTATAGCAATGAAAATCTGAAGTTTAAAAGATATAAAACTGTAGCCAGTTTCAGCATGACAGACTTCTACAATATTCATGTACTAATGTAAAAAATATAAAATGAAATAAATAATGATATCAAAATATCTATAATTCAGATAGTTTTAAAGTTTTCTATGTTAATTTTTAGTTTATAACTTTTGTAGTTTTTTTTTAAACAGCTAAAATATTTTTTAAAAAATTCTGAACAATTTTCTTCTTGTTCTTTCTAAAAAAAAAAGTTGTCCAGATTGTTATCAGAAAAAGTGATTAGAAAATGGGGATAAAAGATAATCTGTAGCATATGTAATATGAGAGAAATTTACAAATCAGCCCAACAAAGTCAGAGGTTGGAGCTCCTTATCAGCTCGGCACATACAGTTGCGGTTTTCTATAGCATCCCTAGTACTTCAGGGTTAAATAACAGTGTTCCAGCTAGGATCTGAAAATGGAGGGGTGCAAGAGAAGGGCACTTTTTTGCGACTTACCGTTGTCGCAAGCTTTTGTTACATAGTCCTATCTCATTACTTCACCCTCATGATAATAAACTCCTACAAATATCATTTATTTATTTTACTTTGTTACTGAACTCCTTCAAATATTATTAATTAATTTATTAACCTTATTGATTTGAAAGATACAGAAACACATACTAATTTTAGCTAGTATGTAAACATATAAAAAAGAATTTTAAAGATCATCTTAGGATAAATGTTACTTTTCTTTCTCTTTTTACATCATCTTCTATTCTTGATTCCTATTTTCAATAATAGCACCATAATTCATATAAACTAGCTGGTGTCTCATATTATTGCACTACATGTAGGTCTATACATGTACATGTACTATAGCTAAATGAGTATGCATGTTTCTGGCAAATGTATTAAATAGATTCAGTATTTGTAGGTTATATTCCTTGTTTAATTTTTCATATTGATCAGGTTGGTGGCAGATAATTAATTAAATTAATTTTAATATTATCTGTAATCTTTTAAAATTCCCTTCAGAGTGTCAAAAAACCTAATTAAGAAAATAATACTTGTTTCTGTGCTATTTAGATATTAAATTCCTTCATTTTTCAGAAAAACATCAACAATTTATAATTAGTATTAAAGGTCAATGTTAATGCTACTTTCACTTTCATGATTATTTTTAGAACGCCAAAAGACTCTTGTTTTATATTAAAACAGATAGCTTGGACATTCTCAAAGTATTTCAGCTTTTAACCCCTATTCAGACTGCCAAGTGATCAAAGTAATTACCTAATCACCTGTAATTGAAAAAGGGCACATGTATAATACATGGTACATAATGCGAGTTTCATTACGCAATCACCCAATTGGCAGGAGGTGTGAATTGCTGATTGTCCCTAGGTAATCTGCTTTAGAACACACTAATTATTCTAATGACGGAAAAGGACAGTCAGAATGATACAGGGCACTAATAGGGGACACAGGGGCGCTTATGGGGGGCAGAGGGGCGCACGGATTTAAGGGCGGGGCGCGGCGCCCCTCCATTTCACCCTAGCTGGAACACTGAATAATGAGGGACTTTTAGCATTATAATTCATAAGTTCTTTTTCTATCCTCTATTCATTCGACATACCATGGGTAGTTGAAACTTACTGGAGTACTGGTTTGTCCAAAGCCTGTACTGGTTCCCCCAAAGCCACCAAAGCCTGTACTAGTTCCTCCAAAACCTGAGGCCTGTGTGGATGGTGTGGCTCCAAAGAGAGGCTGGAATAATGAATGTCATGTTTAAAGCCAATTCAACAACACTTTTGCAATAGAGTTGAAACAATTAAAATTAATTGTTATGCAATTCCAATTATGAATTTAATGCTTACCTTGTTTTGAGTTGGCTGGCCAAACAAACTGGATGTAGATGTTGTGGTTCCAAAGCCAGAAAACCCAGATGTTCCGGTAGCAGTTGAGGCCCCAAATAGGGGTTTATTCTGTCCAAATAAACTGCTGGTTTGTTGTGGTTGTTGTCCAAACAAAGAAGTTCCTGTTGATGCTGGAGTTGGGTTAAAAGCTGCAATTGAACAAAAATTTTTTTGTCAGTTTTTTTCAATAATTTCTACACTCACTCATGTAGATACTTTCAAAAAGAAAAGAATAACAATTGTAACTTGTAACATACATGTACGTGGTATTTGCATACAATAAAATGAGTCAATGCATTAAAAAAAATCCTTACTGCTAAATGAAATGACAAGTTATTTGTAGAAAGCAGGAGAATATGCATAATACTGTATGAATGGGGTTTCCAATCCTACAAATATGCCTCAATTCCCAAAAGAAAAGTATAAACTGCAATATGCTACCAGAATTCAAAATGCATGATGAAATGTAAAACATGTTTAGTCTGCCACTTGCTTTCCCTCTTAAAAGCATCTATTCTTAAATCTATTGATTTAATATCATCCCAAATTTCTAAAATATGATGATGTTTTGTTTTTGTTGCTGGGTCTGACATGATAAAAGCTGAGTGATAACTGAAGCATGATGAGTTGACATGATATGAAAGGCATTCAAAGGAACATGTCAACAAACAGCTTGCAGCTACAAACCCATGTTTGAGTTCTGTAGTAAAGAGAATCCACCTGATGCTGACGGAGTAGCAAATGCTGTGGCAGTTTGTTTTCCTTTGCGATTTGCTAAATAATCTTCCACTCGGAGCTCCTCCAGACTTTTGCTTTGATACTCCTTCATGGCTGTAATACATTGGTGCCGTGTATTGATGTTAGTGCTGACCCCATTCTTCACCATTGTGTCTTGGCTTGTTGGAGGGTTAAATTTTAGAGTGGTTCCATTTATGGCTGCTGATTGACCAAAGCCTGTAAAATTCAAAGAGCACTTTCATTTAAAGAAACAAAAAACTTTTTCTCCAAGAAATTTTGCTGATCTCACTAGACACCATGAGATCACCACAAATCTTAAATAGCAAATACACAGTTATTTATATGGCATGGAAATTTCTCAAGTTTCTCTGCTTCCTGTTTATATTACCTGTACTACCACTTGGGTTGCCAAATAAGGAGGTGGTCTGCTGAGTGTTTCCAAACAACCCTCCAGCTGTTGATGTGCTCGTTCCAAAACCTTTGAGTAAACATGAAATGAAATACTTTTTTCCTTTTTGCAAATTTTTTAATTGATGTCAAGTGTCCTAAAAGAAAGGGTGCAACACCAAAGAACTCCTACCTCCAAAACCTGGGGTCTTAGCACCAAAACTGGTGCTGGAGACTGGTGATGCAAACAATCCACCAGTCTGTGCTGTGCTTTGCTGGCCAAAGAGACTGCTTCCAGGGTTGGTGGCAGGTGTAGCACCAAATGCTGAAATATAAAATTGTATTTTACAATCGACAAATATGCAGCTTTTCAGACTTTGTTTTACAAAAATATCTTTTTAATTCAAACTGTAACTATACCACCTCAACATAGTTTTAAGTTAGAAACTTCTTTCTTAAATGAAGTATTCTTTAAAGAATGGGGAGAGGACTACCTAAGTTTTTGGAACCTGTGTCCAATCTCACTGACATAATGTCAATAAAATATGTTCAAAACAAACAAACAATTCTTTAAAGAAATTTGAAATAAACTGTACCTGTACATAAATTGACAAATTAAAAATTTAGCAAAATCACTGGGTATGGAGTGGTTGGTGTAATCATGAATTAGCACTCATTGTTTTGTATTCATTAATGATTTCTTAATGGTATTCCATGCCAATGCTGTTAAAATATGAAGCCCACTTTTTTTAACTACGCATATAGTTTACTTGTACACAAATATCCACATACTAAATCCTGTTGACTGGGCAGTGCCACCAAAAGCTCCTGGGTTCTGTTGTCCAAACAGACCTGTCCCCTGAGACGTGCTCTGCTGACCAAATAAACCTGTTCCTCCTGTACTTGGAGTCTGGGATCCAAATGCTGGTGTTCCTCCAAATGTTTTATTAGCTGCATTTCCAAATGTTGATGTGTTCCCTGTAAAATCATTTCCATGATAATATGAGTTTCCAGTTGATTAGAATTCTTATGTTTGTCTATGATATTAATGAATAGTTCTACAAATCTTACCTGCACCAAAAGGGGTTGATGTACCACCACCAAATGTAGCTAAAAAGAAACCAAAAATGAATACTCAATAGTGAACATCTTAAAATTCCCATGAACCATGACATACAAACTTTATGCTGCATGCTTTATATGAATTTCTTACCATTTCCAGTTCCAAAAGAAAAAGATGGCTTTGCACCAAACATTATTCCTTAATTTTTCTCCTCAGATATCTGAAAACAAAAAGATGAATCAGAATACTTGTCTGTTAATAGGGCTAGTCATACACTACAGCATTTTCCCCCCCTTATATAACTGATACCAATAAACGGTACCATTCCCATGCCAAAAAACGTTAATTTTTTTCCCAGTTTTGAGACTAAAAATTTCCAATTCCACTGCCATGCAACAGACTACATTGACATCATATTTCTTTTTAAATGAAACATTGTACAAGTTCACTAACTGTTTCACTTTTGCTTAAATCAAAAGTAGAGATTAGTTGTAATATGGCAGGTGGTGTAGACAGCGTAGTCTCATACATTTTGACAAATTGAAAGCATGAAAATGCGAAAAACAAGGGACATTGATATGAAAAACAATAAATACTTGTTGTTTATTCTTTAAAACACGAAGTAATAGGTAATGAGATTGGAATAAACGCTAAATACATTTCATTTGTTTAAATGACAGAAAATACTCCTTTGTTCAACTTCGATGCTCGCTACACTATATGAGAGCAAAAAAATTAACTTGTCAGTGTCTTGTGTTCTTAAAACTAGAAGACCTTTAAATCCCTTCACTTCAACTGATCAAAGTTTTTTTCTACACTGAGTTTAGCTTAAGGAATGAAATTGTTATTAAAAGGTTACAAGATATTTAAATGCGGTCTAGGCTTCAAACTTAAAGCTTGCATACAAATATGTCTACTTTCGAATTCATTTCACACTAAGATTCTTCCTAGACTATTAATCATTATACTATATTACAGCATCTTTTACTAAAATTCAACAGATTTTTATGAAATTGTTACCTAAATTTAAACAGATATACACTGAGGAGACTTTGGACGTATAGACTTTATGTGTGTCTTTGTAGTCACAGAGAAAATGGTATATCAAACATTACAACAATCTTCGACTGTACAGTCATTAATAACGGTGTTGTTACCCCTATATATAGTGTTTACAATCATCTTACATCAAGATAATTCAGGATTATTCCAGTTTCATTTCGAAGTGATATCACATTCTAAGTTTACAATATGGCGTCATCGCTTAGCGCGGAAAAGACTGCACTAAAATTCAAACGATTCAAGGCTGTTTTCCGGAAACGCGCATTGGGTGACAATATTCGCTCCTCTACTCTTTTTCGGTCAACGGAGAAATGAGAAGCAAAGCTTCTAGCAAAAATGGGTTGATTTTCCTTTTTTTTCTTGTCAAAATACTCCGAGTCTGAGATGTTGAATCCCCCATCCCCGGGAAAAATACTAATTAAGAATTTTAATAAGTAACAGAAAATGACTTTGGGCCCTACGACCAGTTAAAAAAAAGTAATATGTTCTGCTCTATATGAAGCGCTTTTCAATGAGAAGTACACAAAAAAATTCAATACATGCGAGAACCTAGAGTGGGGGGGGGGGGTGTCGGGAGACTCTAGGAAAAAAGATTTTTAAATGTGTAAAATATTTTCAGTGTTAAACCAACTTAGTCCTTCTCTGATGCCAGACGCTTCTACCAAGGTGTATGGATTTCAGAAATTTTGTTGAAGGCTAATTGCTCATTATACCTATGCATATACTTTGCCTGTTTTTTACCAAGAGGGGAGAAAAATATTTCAAATTTGACATGAATTTTTAATACGTGGCTAGCAAAGCCCAAAGCTGGTTCTGCCTATATCCTGGATTTTCAAAAGTATAGTGTTGACTTCTCTTAATATGCATGCAAAATGCAAACAACTGTCTGCGAGATGTGCAGGAATATAGAAAATACTATAATTTATAATATAATTTATAATATTAAAACTATAATCTAAATATTGCATAAATAAAGATGGCTTTGGTTCAATCTTTCATATATTTACTATTTTAAAATAACGCCTTTCCATTTTTGGATACAACTCCTTTTCAAACAGGCCGGTAGTACGAATGTGAGTGGGGGGGGGGGGGTCCCCCACCCCACTTTTTGGGAGAATAGTCTTGCTATAGTTTAAATATAAAAAAATCATTAATTGATTGCTTGGTCCCTTAACATTTTGTTGCAGTATGGTTAAACTCGGGCAAGTCATTGCATTTAAAAAAAGTTCTACCGAAAAATTAGAAAAAGTTTCCCCTCAAGTTTAGGCAGTTTATTTTTTTTTCGGGGGGGGGGGGGGAGGTGTTCTTGTTTTTTTTGTTTGCTTGTCAATTTTATGGGGACCCCCCCCCCAACTTAAAAAGCACGGGCCTGTCAAAACATAATAATGGCCCTTCAAAAGGCATAATAACGCCTTTTTGAAAGGCGTATTAATGCCTTTTAAAAAGGCGTAATAACGCCTTTTGGAAAGGCGTAATAACGCCTTTTGGAAAGGCGTAATAACGCCTTTTGGAAAGGCGTAATAACGCCTTTTGAAAGGTGTAATAACGCCTTTTTTCGCGTTATAACGCCTTTTGGAAAGGCGTAATTACGCCTTTATTTGCGTTATTATGCCTTTTTCCGTGTTATAACGCCTTTTCAAAAGGCGTTATAACGCCTTTTAATTTTTTTTTTACCGTAGTTTGATCCTAATAGGCTTTCGTAATATACACCCACGAAAAAGGGAAATAATTGAAATGATTGAACGGAAAACAGATATGAAAGGGGGATAAATCAGATATTTAAAGTGACTACATGTTGAATAAGAGCTATAATTCTAATAAAGCAAATAGTCGCCCGCTTGGCGTAGTGTTCTAGAGTCGCGGTGCAAGGAGTTTATCCTTACGTCGCGGGTTCAAATCCACTGCGGGACGTGGGTTCAAATCCACTGTGGGACGTGGAGACCGGTCTTGCGGATGAGACCTTTCAAACCGAGGTCCCGTGTCGCAGTAGGTGTTGACACGAAAGAGATCTCTCACTGCTCAATGGCCCTAAGTGGCGAGTATGGGTATAAATTTGCAGCCCTCCACCGGCAAATATGTATCTCCATATGAGTGAAAAATCTCGAGAGGGACGTTAAGGTCAAGATCTAGTAAATGAAAGGAGCCTACAGGTTTCTCAAATTTGAGAAATAAATTCCTTTAAAGATGCTTTTTAAGTATAGCTTGGTCATATAAGGTGTATCGGGGCATATTTTGTAGGTAAACAAGATGAAAAATCATATTTTAAACTGTCTTTTTTTATGAAAAATTAATAAAATCAGTCATGAATATGGGAGTTTTTTCCTTATCGGACAAAAGAAATGTATCCAGATTGCCTACATTCTCTCAGAAAACGGTAATTTGTTTGTTCTTATCCTCTTCTTTGAATTAATATCAAATTGAATATAGGTTTCGGGATTAATTTTCATGTGATTTCAAATTGAATTCCATGAAAAAACTTTATTTTCTACATAATTCTATTAGAGCCGTAAAGTACGGGAAAAAGAAAGTTTAAATTGATTATGACGTCATAATGGATCTAGCACCAAAAAGACAGTCTAAAGTCATTTACTAGATCTTGACCTTAAAACAAACAAACAAATACAAAGAAACTATACGTGAGGATTTTAAGGTATGTCACTTATGACATTAGTTATATCAAAATAACAATAATAAAATAATCTTTATTTACCTAAAATAATTTGAATAATATTTATCGTTGAACAAATCATGCAAATTAATGTGCATTAATTATTGTGTGACCTTTTTTGCACCAAAACAAAAAAATAAACAAATACAAAGTAACTATCATAAATTAAATTACTTGAGAATTTTAAAATCAATCAACCAATTAAGTCTCTGTATATACTTTATATATAACAGAATATTAAGCTAAAATCTGAATGAATATCAAACACACATTGTTTCTCAGCAGAGCTTTGCAAGGCATGCATGACAAAAAATGATTCGAACACAACTACATCGAAACATTTCTTCCAATAAACCCTGATTAACAAATATACATATAGGTTTCTGCTGGAATTAATAAAAAAAAAAATAGTACTCGTTTATTTGGGAAGTTGGTATACATTCGTACAATATATCCTGCATATGAATTTTACACGACCACCCCCACCCCCAACATATGCATTGAAAAAAAATCCCATAAAATTAGACAAATAGAGACAGGCTAAAGAAAAGAAACTATAAACTTACTAGTCCGAAATATCTGACGTTTTCCAGGCTTTTTTTACGATTTTGATATTTTACGTGCCTTTTTTCCACGATTTTGATATTTTACGTGCCAGGAAAACATCTGACGTTTTCCAGGCTTTTTTCACGATTTTGATATTTTACGTGCCAGGAAAACCGGTGTCGTTTCCCTGGCACGTAAAATATAAAAATAGTAAAAAAGCCAGAAAAACGTCAGATATATCGGACTATAAACTTACTCTTACCTGCAATTTGTCCATATATTATGAAAAACGCACTATATTCATTCAGTTTATATAATTTTTTCCCCAGACAAGCTATATCTATATTTAGAAAAGGGGGTTTTGAGAGAAAGAGAGAGCATTCGAAGAGATTCGAACAGATGGTGTAATTTCTGAATTTACTAAACAAGAGGATGTAAATACAAATAATTAAATGCAATTATCTCCATATTATATACTTATAGATAATAATATATTGGAAACTATTTATTTATATATAGATCTATATAATTATATGTACCAATGTTTAACGGATAATAACAGCTGAATAATGACCGCGGCATCACGTTGAACTTTGCGATCACATTTCTTATAGATCTGGATTTTGTCTGCCACTTCTCATAAATAGATTATCGATATTGTCCAGTTAGTCCATCCGGAAAAATCTAGTGAAAACTGCAATACGTCCGGAGATATATTCTATTTATAGAACTGGGGAATTCCAAAATGTAAATGAAATTCTAACATGAGCATTAAGAAATTTTACTACATGTCATCTTAATAAAACATCGCAACAAAACAATGGATATATCTTTATTTCTTTCGAATTCTCATAGTCAGTGGTATTTATGTGCTAAGAGAAATACATATAGGGGGTCTAATGTTCGGAACCCTTCACAAGGGAACTTGACTAGTATAAATGTACTTCGATATCCGGTCAATGCAGACCGTATGATGAAGGTAAAGTTATTTTAATTTTTTCTTAAAGTAATGCGAATTCAGTCTTGTGTTTATCCATGAATAGAAGACTTTTAGCATGATACGTTGATATAGAAGTAGATCTACAACTTGTAGCTGTGCCATTCATAAATAATACTTGTTCTACGGCTTCAGCCTTAAAGGTTACGCCCCCTCCTTTCGAAAACACCCACCAAATGCAAATCGGTGTAACATTTTCATTTACTTTCCTTCCGAAATTTCTATTAGTTGTTGTTCTGGATTGATCAGGGTGCTTGGAAAAAAAAGTCTAATCAATGTCAACACACTCTTGCTCATACCCAATAGTATTCCCAGAAATTATTGAGAAATTTTTGGTGGTATAGTTTTTAAAAATATTTTTAAAATAAAGCATTTATAGTATGAAATCATTTTTTTTAACCAAAGGACAATACTTGCTCCTTTCTTATGTTATGTGCCATTTTCATGAATAACTTACATCCTGTCAATTGCTAGTGTTCAAAATGACAGAAAGCCTATTCGTAGATTTGTATTATCAAAGAATGGAAAAAGTGGTTATACTTCTAAAACACAGAGTATTCCTCTGTGTACTTTGGTTTCTCATGTGACAAAAGTTGAAAAAGGAATTCATCAGAGGGAAAGAGCTTGTAGGTTAGAAAAGTAATCCCATTTTTCTACAGTTAGATTACTTAGTCCAAAATGTCTAACGTTTTCCAGGCATTTCTCACGATTTTGATTATTGACATGTCGGTTTTCTTGGCGTGTCTAATATTCAAATTGTGAAAAACATCTGGAAAACAAACTAAACAGGAGGTCATCCATGAAAATTGCATGTATAATAAAAAAGTAGGGGGTATTGTCATTAAATAAAATACTAACTTCAACGTTTCGTAAGTTCTGTGGTTGATACAATGACCTTGTCAGCAAATACAATCTTTCATTAATTCAAATGCTGACTGACTTTTTTAATACTAATTGTTAGGCCATTATTTACACTCTGAATTGTCAACGGATTTTTCTGTTATTTCCTGATCTTGACAAGGAGCATACAGCGGGTGTTACCAGTCTGCAGGGGATGCTCACTCCTCCATGGCACCTGATCCCACCTCTGAGGTCCGTGTTTTCTCTGCTCCTATTTTGTATTTTTTAATGGACTTTTGAGCTCAAATACTGTTCATTATCCCCACATATTTAAACAATAACTTAATATATGTTATTAATCCAATATTTTAGATAGAAGTATTACAAAGTATTACATTTTGCATAGAAATATTAGAAAAAATTCTCAATAATTTCTGGGAACACTAAATCATTTCAACAGGTTGGAACCAATTGCCCAAATGAGATATACATTAAAATGCGCTTATAATGAAGTGCCAGGGATGGATGGTATTGTGTCTTTATAAACGATTTGATTTGGGAATATTTCAAATGGGATATAAATTTACAGTGCCAAAATAGATTTTCCATTTAGATAAATCTGCATCAATATGTCTTTTTTCACTTCTGATCAATATACCAGGTACTTAAAATGCAATAAACTTATATTCCATTTGGAATATTATATCCCAAATGGGCTATCATCAGGGACCTATATACTAGTATATAGGTCCCTGCTATTATAGCCCATTTGGACAATAAGTCCCAGCCTATTCAATTTATTAGTGAACTGGAGTCCATTTATACAACTTCAAAAGAATTTTTATTTATGATTCACCTTTTACAAGTGATTGTATGATTTTGAAATTATTGATAAATTCACAGGAACCAGAGACTGATTCGATTCAAGAAGTTTCTTCCTCAGTATCTTCAGACCTGACACAAACCAAGGAACATGATTATAATGGCATATCTGAGGATTCAGGCTTGTCCAGTTCTCCCACCCATGGTCCATTCCAACCACTTTACTCTGTCAAAGTACCTAATGCTGTAAAAAATGGGGAGGCTTTACAGTTTACCATCTGTGTATCAAAGGTAACAAGAACATCAATGTTAAATGAATCTACAAAAGATTTGTAATGGTTTGGGCCTCAGATATTGGCCTGGGTAGCTCAGTCAGTAGAGCACCTGACTAGTGATGCAGTGGTCCTGGGTTCGATTCCTGGTCCAGTCATACATTTTCTCCTTTCCTGTTACAGATTTTAGTAGTTTAAGTATTTACAACTTGGGCAGATCTTACAAACAATGGTGGATTATAATACCATGAATTAACTCCTTAAGGGAAAAAGAGATCTAGTGGGGAGTCTAGGGAGGGTGGAGGGGGGCAAGACCCTTTCTGTAGAATTGTTGTTAGTATATTTTATACAAGGTACAGTAGACCAACAATTCTTTGGAAACATCTCCCATAGAATAGAAAAAGCATCTTAGTGTACTGGTGAACACCCTTAAATGGACCATATGAGATCATTTTTGGATTTAACACCCCCACCCCACCTCCAATAAAAAAAAGTTCCTGCTGATTGTCAGAAAATGTTTGAGCTGGATTTTGAAATCCCAATTTAGGACCCAGCTTTTTGAATGGTGCTCTGTTGTCATAGAGCAGAGGCTTAAAATCTTCAATTTTATTATATTTCCTTCCTCATAACCCTGCACTTCAATTACATATACAAAATGTATATGCATCTAAATTTTGTAAAACTTGTGTGTTTTCAATATACACAGAATTTGCTTTTTTGAAACTTTTTTTTTTTTTTTTTTTATAAATTTGTGGAATGTTGTATAGTAGGTTTTTTTTCATACATTAGACATGATCTTCTTCTTATGAACCACAGGGCAGATTATCACCAATCTTACACATATAGATGAGGATACAATGTAGATTAAAAATTGTTCAAGGTATTACCCTAAGGCAAAGGTTGTAATCACTTAAAAATTGACCTAAAATGATATTTTATTAAAACCTTGATATTTTGCACACTATGAGGACTAGGATCATCAAATCTTGCGGGTTGATGCCATGATGCCTTAAACCTCATGTTATGTTGACTCAACACGAGTCACGGTGACCTCCTTTTTGAATTTCGCAGGTATTCATTTTCAAATTGATTTTGATGCATATCTTGGACACTTTGAAGCCTATGATCATCAGATCCTGTCAGTTGATGCATCATGGGGCCATTGAGAGTGTCAACCAAAAAGTAGGTCACCATGACCTACTTTCTAAATTATATGCCTAATCATTTAAAAAAAAATAAGTTCATTATTTTGTTACCGAGAAGCTTAAAATCACCAAACCTTGTTAGCTGATGCATCTTGGGGTCCTGAGACATATGAAAACGTAGGTCACAGCCACTTTTAGGATTTTGCATGTACTCATTTTCAAATTGTTTTAGATATATATTTTAGACACTGTGAAGCCTAAGATCATCAAACTCTGTCAGTGGATGCATTCTAGGCCTAAGGCCTTAAAGTTTATCAACCAAAAAGTAGGTTACAGTGACCTACGTTTGGAAATTTATGGCTACATTTAAATAGTTCAGATAATAAGTAGCTTAGAATGATCAAACTTCATCAGTTGATGCATCTTGGGTCTTCAGAGTTTGTCATCCAAAAAGTAGGTCATAGTGACCTACTTTTGAAATTTCAAGAGTTTATATAAATATTTAGGATACTAATAGGCTTAGAATAAAAGTGACAGGGTTGTACAATTCTTAAGAAGAGCTATTCTGGGCCCTTGTTGGGACTCTTGTTTTATACAGTTTTAGCTACAGCATATCTAATATCTAAAGATATTCTCAAAATGACATTATAAACTCCCTGACCTGTTAAATTTTTGCATTTGCCTCAAGCTTATAATGAATTTTTACCTCTACTGGTCAGAGCTTAAGCTTATGCAAAAGTAAGGTGTATGCTGTCCATCTGTCTGTATGTGTGCAAACAATTTTTCAAAATGCTACTTCTCCTACAGTTTTGGTCTGATTTCAATATAATTTGGCACAGAAGTAGATTACAATAAGATACATGATTCTGTATATTGATTTTTTATTTCAATGAACAGTATTGCCATGGTTACTAAAAATAGAAATTTCTGTGAAATACTTTCAAAACACTACTCCTCCTACAGTTTTGGTCTGGTTTCAATATAACTTGGCACACAAGTAGACTACACTAAGATACATAATTCTGTGTATCAGTTTTTAATTTGGATGAATGGTGTTGCCAGGGTTACTAAAAATAGAAATTTCTGTGAAAAATGTTCAAAACACTACTCCTCCTACAGTTTTATACTGATTTTATTATAACTTGGCACACTTGGTATACTAAACTAAGATTCATAATTCTGTTTATGGTTTTAATGATTTTGATAAACGATGTCAACAATGTTGCCATGGTTACTAAGATTTTCTGTGAAATACTTTCAACACACTACCCCTACTACAGTTTGGTCTCATTTTAATATATTTGGCATGCAAGTGACAACACTCAGATATATAATTGTCTTTATTGTTTTGATGAGTGATGTTGCCCTCATTACTAAAAATAGAAAATTCTATAAAATTCTTCCAAAAGGCTACTCCTCCTACAGTTTTAGTCTGATTGCAATAAATCTTGCCAAAAGAGACTTAACCAAGGATCAATATTCTATTTAATGCAGTTGCAAAGTTTCAAGTCAAGTGCTACTTTGCTCTTCCTTTGCTTTAAGTATAAACCTGTAGAGCTACAGTCTCATCAGAGACTTCTGGTTGTTTTTAAATATAGTTGGGTAGTGAGGAGTCTGAGGAAGTAGTTCGTGAGTATGAGGACTTAGAATGGCTACAGCATTGCTTAATGACTGAAGATGGAGTTGTTGGCTGCATTGTAAGTATTAAAACATGTTTATCAAAAAATTGACATTCTTTTACTAAAATCCTGCAAATCTTGATATGGTCTCTTCATAACACATCCATAACTCTGAATAATGCATTTAAATATTTCCTGCTATCACTTTACATTCTTCCTCTTATAGGATTAAAAGGCTAGCAACTAAGGAAGTTATACTTTTTTATCTCAAGTTACTTGTGACTCTGAGCTTTTATGTGACAAACTGATTTATTAAATCCACTCCTTTTAGATCCCTCCCCTTCCTGCAAAGCCAGAATATGATGCCAAGGCTGCCGAGTCCAAAACAAAGAAGCAGCTAGGCAGTGATGCCAATATCATCATGGCTGATGAGTTTCACAAAGACTGTAGGAATGTAGAAAGGTTTGTTAGAAAGAGATGTTTGATTATCAGATCTTAAAATTCACATCTTTGCTTCATTACTCACTATCTCCATAGCAAAGCATAAATGACTATTGTATAGGGCAGGAGTTTAAAGAAAAGACCATTTTCATTTCTGTTGTTTTATCTATTTCATTGATGAGACATTTATCTTTTTAAAAAAAAAAAAAACTCTTTTTACTTGAAAAAGGGATTTTTTAGAAGCTGTAGCTATACTTTTTCAGATACTTGAAAATGGTGATTTCCCATGAAAAGTTTGGAAAAAGTGAATTACTGAAGAATTTTCTTTGTGAGAAAGAGGTATGTTTTACTTCTGAGAACTGTACATGTACTGTTTAGCGTATTTATATTTTAGTGCAAGTGTAGGTCAAGCAATTTAAGAGATTTTGGTGCTATCAGTGTTATTAAATGTGATATGCCTTAGAGTTTAATGCCCTGTTCACATGGTGAGTTTAATTCGAATTAGGGTGAATTAAAAAAAAATGACCAAACGCATATTTATCAACCCACACTAAAAATACAGGCAATGAAAATAGATTTCTATGTCTCAGCATATGTCTTTAGATAGTGTCTAAATACCTGCCAAATATCTCGTTGATATCTCGATTAACAAAAAAGTTATGCCCAAAAAAGATGCTAAAATTGTCAGGAGTGCAACACCTTTTTGTGACATTTTGAAATTTCAATATTTTTTGGAGATCTGTGAAATAAAAAATAATGCTTCATGTTGAAAATAAAGACTTTCCTGATAATATTCAAAGTATTGAGCTTTAAATGTGGACTGTTGAAACTTTTGTTTAATCAAGTTGTGGTCATGGCTGATGTTTAAAAAAATGTTATACCATGTCAGGAGTGCAACAGAAAAAATGTAGTGTTGCCAAAAAAACATCGATTGTAAAATTCTGATAGAAAATTAAGACAAAAAAGAATTTTGGAAGTGTAAAATAATAACTGATATACATTTTAAAACTTAAAAATGTTATATAAATCACAAGCAGCATTAATGAGAGTCAAGTATATGTGCATACCCAAAAATGTCAGGAGTGCAACATTTGATGTTTTGCTTCCAAGCATGAAAAAACTATTATCATTATATGATTTTCTGATTTTTATTTTGGAAAATAAAGACACAAAGAACATTTTTACCAAATAGATTTATCAATTACAGGATCTGTCTGTGCTTCAGATCCATATTTCTATGGTCAGGAGTGCAACACATTTTTTTAAAGATTCAAGTTCTGTGACGAAAAGACTTCTATTCATGCTTAGAAGTATTCATTATTTCATAATGATCTTTTTGTATAATTTAATGCTATATTATTGACAGTTTTATTATCAAAATCCTTCCTTTTTCAATTTTATCAATTCAGATGTGTTTTTATCTTTTTTGTGATTTTTTTAATGAACGTTAAAAATAAACACACTAAAACATTGTCATAAAATTCAAGTAATTCCTCCTCAACTTCATGAAACAACAGAACAAGTTCTTATGTAATTTTCACTTCACAATTCTACTTTAAAGGCCCCAATGCTTTTGGTCAGGAGTGCAACAAATATGTTAGAATTATAAATCATCCAATAAGAATAAAAATAAAGAAAAAATGATGAGTAGAATTTTTCTGGTGGGTTACTGTGTTTGTCTTCTAAAGGAAAATATGTTTTAAAATATATTTTATCTTCTAAATTTACATTTAAGCTAGTTTTTTTATATAAAATATTGTATAATTCCAGATAAAATGCGAATTTTAAATACGTTCATCTGTTTTAATTATGAAGTATTGGCGTATAAGTATTGCACAACTTCATTACCACTTGATGTTGCCAACACTTTATGAATTTTTGTGTTCTATGGTTTTAATTTTAAACTTTACTGCAGTCAGGAGTGCAACAAAACTGCTTCATAATTACCGATGCTTTTTAACTATCTTTTCTAAAAAATAAGTTGAAAAAAAAATGCTTGATGCTATTTGATGTTCAAAACACTATGTCTATCAACAAATTACAGAAAGTTTACAGTCAATTCAGGGAACAGTTTTCATCATATCACATATATTTTAAATACAATTTATATATATATTACACTTTGCAAATAGTCTTGTTTTAAGGTCTTCAAAATATGAAAAACTTGCTGTAAACGATGAAAAATATCAACACGACAAATTGATTTACAAAGCAAGAATGGGTTATTGTGTGTTATAATTTTTAAAACAATGTTAAATAAAATACATATCAGATGTCAGGAGTGCAACACAATAATGTAACATAGGGTGACTTCAAAATCTAGTATTTTTTGTAAGAGAACTCATATATAACATTCTTTTTTGGCTTAGATTTAAAGAATTGACTTGAACGGACAAAAAAGTGAATTTTGGGGAATTTTATTGCTTCATATTTTTTTCATATTAAAACTTTTCAAACCAGAATTCAAAAAATAATGTAAAATAACAATCAAAAAGCCAATTTTTTGTCACATGTACAAGAGAAGATACTCATTCAAGGTCTAGATTTAATCATTTATACCCCTTTTACCATTTTGAAGCATAAAAAACTATAATTTCTTGTGATACTGTATTTTAGAAAGTCTTTTAAGGTGTAATGATATTTTCTTTTTTCAAAAGAAATTTTACTAATAAAAATTCTGAAACTTTTTAATCCAATTGTCTATTCTATTGCCACTTCAGGATTTTAAACTAGAATGCATTTGCAATATGATGATATAAGTGAAAAATATGTTATAAGTAGTCAATGAATTTTGCCAAAAAAATTCAGTTTGGTGGTCATTTTTTTTTAATTCACCCATTAAACGTAAGTTACTGTGAATTGAATTTGATCTGCATTCACACAGAGAATTTAATGCGAATTAGTTTAATTCGAATTAGTTTACTGCGCATTAAATTACTTCGCATTAGCATCGTGTGAACGCTAAGCAAAGCTAATTCGAATCAAATTTTGACACGTGCGTAAGGGCAGAATTAAGTCACAGGCCACATGTTGATGGTCAAATATAGGTAGTTGTGCTATTTTATAGTGGAAAACAAAGGAAAATTATGTTAATCACTAAAATGTGTACAGACACTATGACATTATGTCAAATGTATCTGCTCTGCACAATATGAGGTGATTTGTAAATGACGTCATAATAGCCTCACTGAATAGCCATGTTGTGGAAATAAAATTATAATTCGCATTAGTTTACTTCACATAAGCTGTCGTGTGAACGCAATTTAATTCATATTAGTTTAATTCGCATCATTTTACTTCACATTAATTTACTGCGAATTAAACTCTCCGTGTGAACAGGGCATTATAATTTGGGTGGTGACAAAGTATGCTTTCTGTTTATAATAAAGCACAAATACTATACCAGCACTTACAATTTTAAACAAGAGGCCCAAGGGCCTTAACGGTCACCTGAGTATAATACAACAATTTAGAGAATCCATAGAGTATAAAATGAACTGAAAAGTGAAGCTTTGTTGCCCAAAAGCAAGAAAAATAGGGTGATCAGGTTCAACAAAATAATTAGTCTAGTGTTCATTAACAGTTCATAAATTAGGTTCTAATCTGTTCCCCATTTATCACTATCACCATACAGTATATTAACAAACTATCAATGCTTCTGTACTATTTTAATTCCTTGTTGAAATCTCTTACATTGGACTCTCTTGGTCTTTGATGAACATTGAATAAGACAAGTTATTTTTGTCTCATTTTTATTTATCTATTACTTACAAGTCTACCTGATCATTAAAACTATGAAAGTACTTTTTGTATTATACAATAAAAAATCTTGCAAAATTCTCTTATTCTATTAACCTTTCAAGTACATTATTTACAGTGACTAATTATAAATAGTAAATGGCAAAGGGGAATAACTCCCCTCAGTAGAATACAAATTAATAGAGCCCTGGCCAGGACCAGAACACTTGACAAAATGGCCCAGATGTTCAAAAATATTTATTAAAACTTTTACTCTTTTTGCCTCTGATATGCCCAGGTGCAGAGAAGATTTTCAAAGAAATAATGCAGTTTTTACTACAGATTCACTACAATATCAATAGAGCCCCCCCCCCCCCCCCCCACCTCCCATCCCCACCGAGAAACACCAGAGTCTCTGACCCTGGGACCAGAAGTTTATTCATCATACATGTAAGTAATCACTTTGTTTATCTGATTAACACTAAGGAGCAGACAGGAATATTTAACACAATTAATGCATTTTCAATACATTATCAAGAGCCCCACCCTTACACCAGCACATCTGACCCAGGGGTCATGCAATTCACTACTCTGGAAGAAGTAATCATGCTCATCATAACTATACACTTAGCTTCTTTGCTTTTTAACCAGAAGCAGAAAAGAATATTTTCAGAGAAATTTTGCTTTTTCACTATATAATCAATAGAGCCCCCCCCCCTTTTCACCAGAACCCTTGACCCTGGGGCCATGAAATTCACAATTTTGGAAGGGGCATACTTGCGTATCATAACAATGTACTAATAGTTTGTTTAAATAATACCCAGGCGCAGAGAAGAAGATTTTTAAAGAAATAATTCACCTTCACTATAGGATATACATGGCCCCGCCCTAGCACCAGAACCCCTGTACCTGGGGCCATGAATTTCATAATTTTGAAAGAAGCATCCTTGCTTATCATAACAATGTACTTAATTTGTTTAAATAATACCCAGGAGTAGAGAAGATTTTTAAAGCATTAATGCATTTTCACTATATAATAAATAGAGCCCCACCCTAACACCAGAACCCCTGATCCAGGGTCCATGAAATTCACAATTTTGGAAGAGGCATCCTTGCTTATCATAACTATGTATTTAATTTGTTTAAATAATACCCAGGAGTAGAGAAGAAGATTTTTAAAGCATTAATGCATTTTCACTATATGATTTATATAGCCCAGCCCTAGCACCAGAACTCTTGACCCTGGGGCCATGAATTTCACAATTTTGGTAGAGTCACCCTTGCTTATCATAACTATGTATTCAATTTGTTTCAATAATACCCAGGAGTAGAGAAGAAGATTTTCAAAGAAATAATGCACTTTCACTATATGATTTATATAGCCCCGCCCTAACACCAGAACCCCTGCCCCTGGGGCTATGAATTTCACAATTTTGGTAGAGTCACTCTTGCTTATCATAACTATGTATTCAATTTGTTTAAATGATACCCAGGGGTAGAGAAGAAGATTTTCAAAGAAATAATGCACTTTCACTATATGACCTATATAGCCCCGCCCTAGCACCAGAACCCCTGACCCTGGGGCAATGAATTTCACAATTTTGGTAGAGTCACTCTTGCTTATCATAACTATGTATTCAATTTGTTTCAATAATACCCAGGAGTAGAGAAGAAGATTTTCAAAGAAATAATGCACTTTCACTATATGATTTATATAGCCCCGCCCTAACACCAGAACCCCTGACCCTGGGGCCATGAATTTCACAATTTTGGTAAAGTCACTCTTGCTTATCATAACTATGTATTCAATTTGTTTCAATAATACCCAGGGGTAGAGAAGAAGATTTTCAAAGAAATAATGCACTTTCACTATATGATCTATATAGCCCCGCCCTAGCACCAGAACCCCTGACCCTGGGGCCATGAATTTCACAATTTTGGTAGAGGGCTCAATGCTTATTACAATCATGTCAACAGTTTGACTGCTTGATGTCCAGGAGTAAAGAAGAAGATTTTTAAAGATTGCATTAATTTTGGTGGTTTTAGCCCCACCCCTCAGGCCCCAGGGGGGCAGGGACCATGAAATTCACAATTTTTGTCCCCCTTCACCCATAGATGCTATATGCCAAAATAAGCTGAAATTGGTTGAGCGGTTTCAGAGAAGAAGCTGAAAATGTTTAAATGTTAACGCACGACGCACGACGGACGACGGACGACGCACGACGACGGACAAAAACGGATAGCAATAGGTCACCTGAGTGACTCAGGTGACCTAAAAATGGACTGAAGCATCAACTTAAGGTATTTTAAATATGGAAAGCATGAGTATATTGACAGACATGAATGGTGACAGATTATTTCTAGGCAGCAGTGAGGACAAAACTGAAGAAGAGTTTGTTTATGCGAGTCTCCCAGGCAGTGGATGAGGCGAGGAAAGGCCAACATAAGGCAAGTCATGAACATTAATAACATATAAACAATGTCATCTGATGAAAGAAAATGGAACTGTTAGTACCTAGTATGAAGATAAATTAACTGTTTGTTCTATAGGATGTAGATGAATACTTCCAGACACAGCGGGATTGGGCCACTAAATATGCAGCTTGTATAAAAGAGTCTTCTCTGGTAAAATAATGTGTTAGAATTATATTCCATTTCATCACTATGTTGTACTCAATTAGTGTTGCATGTACTTCTAATATATAATATGTGATGTATACAAGACATTTTTAATGAAATTTTTCTTTTAATAGAATTTCAACAAGATGTTGTTTGCACAGATGAGTGAGTATATGAACATATCTTCAAATAAATGTATCAGTGTGCGTAAAAAATCAGTAATCTATGGGTTACAAGAGAATTTCAATCTGAATTATTAGTATCTTAAAAATCCTGATTTTTCTAGGATTAGCCAACTGTTATGGTCACTTAACAACAGTACTCAAGGAGACCATTCCGTTTACAGATGACTCTCAAAAAGAGATGAACAGGTTACATTTGTTTTCTCATTTTATACACAAATGGCATATAATATAAAATATTTCCTGTTACACAGTAAGACACATCTGTGATAGCATTTGAATTTTGATTTCCAGATACCAGTTGATTCTTGGTGAGGGTGCAGAAAATGTCAAGGTGATTAATTTGCTTTTTTTGAAAAAGCATGTTACTTTATTAGCATGGTCTTTAAGAAAAATTAGTACACTACACAATCATGGCTGATATTCCCCTATTGTGAAATTTCTTTTTAAATATGACAGAAAATATATAATTAACTTGAAATTGCATTTTGGGGTATATACATATATGAGGTTCAGTTTCTAGCATCTCCTTACAGTTACCTTGAACACAAAAACAAGTAAATGTAGGATGGATTTGTTCTCATTTCTTCTCATTTCATTTGCAGCATCCCTCCATCCCCCCTTTCACACCTATCTCATAGTATATGGTGCTTTCATCTTGAATATAGATTTGAGAATTTTTCCTGTAAATAGATAGTTTCCTTATAGCCATGTTTTCTTCTATATTTCAGCATGGCCTAGAAGTTATGTCTAGAAATGATGAAAAAAGCTTGGGAGTTCATCTTGATCTGTATGCCAAGTACATGGAAAGTGTGAAGGTGCATGTAGTTTAGAAACAGCAGATTTTTTTGACCTTCCCCTTCATGAAATCAAATCAAAGGTGACCTAAAAACCAAATCATAAGAATAAATACCCCTTTGGTTACGACAGTCCTCTCTATCCTGTTTTGTAGGAGATGTTATTTAGGAGGACTTGTTTGCTGGTGACATATGAAGATGCCAACAAGTCTCTAGAGAAAGCCAAGCCAAACAAAAGAACAGCAGTGAGCATGATTAAGTTTAATTAAAAATAACAGGTATTACTGAGACTAATTCTCACATTTTCAGAGAATTTTATTTGCATTTTTGTGTATATTTTTAGGCAGAGGAGGTCAAACTTACCACTGAGAAATCATTTGAAGAATGCTCAGACACTGCCAGACGGGAGGTAAATTAAGATCTCAAGTTTTACAATGTTATGTAAATCAAGAGGCTGCAAAAAGGGAAATCGTTTATTTCTTAAATTCAGATTTGGATAAAGGATGACTGCACTTAACGCCTGTTTTTGGGTCCTTTTCGGTTGCTTCTGTTGCTTTTATATCTAAACCTTATTTCACTTTTGTATGTTTATGAAAGAATCCTGTCAATTTGGAACCAAATTTAAATCTTAAAATGGTTTTAGACTGTGATACAATAAAATGATTCAATGTTTTTTGTCCTTACTGCTTTCCAAATATAGTGAATTTACACTTACCTGCCCTTGATTGAACATTAGATATGCAAGAGAGGTGGAGCTAACATTGTAAGAATGGGTCTAAAATTAGACTTGATAAATAACAATGACATGTTTGGAAAAAAGAACGTGATCACTCTTTCCAATCTCCCTCTCCATTCTGTATGGCACAAATATACTTCTGACAAAGGTTTCAAAACGAAATTAACAATATGAGCACGTTAATGTGATTAAAGCAGATTTTATATCAATGCCAGATGACTTAACGTGTTCGAACACAATGTCCTAGTTAGCACAAAACATGCTACCTTACAAGTCACTTGACGGAATCTAGTATTCACAAAGTTACCTGAGGTAAGAAATCACGTGGTGAATTATAATATTCAACAAGTCACAATCCTTGGTTACAACACAGAGAACGATTGTAAGAAGAAGCAGTTTTTTCTCTTTTTAACCATGAGCGCATATTTGTCTACTAATCTCCTTTTGACACATTATTATTTATGCAAATATACAACTACTGTTAAACGTAGAACAATAGACAAACATGCGCTGACTATGTATAAAGTCAGTAAAAAAGTGGGCGTCCTCATTATCGAACGGAGATTCAAGAAATTGTGATGACCCCTGCCTTTGAAAACAGATTCAAACTTCGTAAATACACACTTTTATTAAACGTAATTACATAAAGTTGTAGATTGGATGTTGACCATTCTTGCAATGAAAAGAAAAATGCTTGTTTTGAAAGTTTATTTTGTCGCAAATTTCGCATGTCCTTAAGTGCAGTCATCCTTTAACAGATTTGTGTGTGTTTACAATTTGGATAATTTTGGTTGGATTACTTGATTGATAAAAAGTAACCAGTAGTATCTGGTACATGTATAGATATGTATCACAACAGATATTTAATCCTATTAATGCTTTTTTTCCCTCTGCTTCAAAACATTTAACACTAGAATAGTGTCCATTCAATTCTGTTGTAGTTGAAGTCCTTCAGGCAACAGAGACTTTTGGCCTTTGGGGAGGCATTGTCTACGTTTGTCGAGGCTCAGATTAAAACATCTAGAGACAGCATCACTCTCCTGCTCCGGACTCTCAAGTCAATTAAGTGTCCAGATGATAGCAAGGCCACCACAGAATGATTTGTCAAGGATCTAGTTCTATTTATTAAGAGAAAATATGATTCTCCAAAATTCCTTGTCGCCAAATTCTTGTGCCTTCTGCTCGCCTGCATCAGTTGAGCACTTTTTAATGGTGAGGCCATGTCTATAGATACATGTAACAATCAGTAGCCAAAAAAAATTTTTTTGTTGTTCAATTATTAATAATTTTGAGAAAAGGAAATTTTATGTAATATACAAATTGTATTTTGAGTTGTTACAATTTTGAAGATGTTTTTGATGTACTATCTAGATTTTTAAAAATATTTTCTTTAGAATTGAACTTTGAAGGTAAACGTAAAAAATAATACACAATTTCTGTGATAGCCGTTTATTTTACTTGATAGTTGACAATGTATCATTTTTATAAGAAATGTATGCCATTTACATTCCATTTAGTCACATTTGTCAATTCGGCACACATACTAAGCCTTACTGATGTTACTAATTACCCTATGTGTATATTTTTTTCTGTAGCTATAAAGTACACATTGTGTTCAGTGATTTTTTTATGTATATGATTGTGATGCCTAAGGATATTAATACATTTACATTCCTGCAAAAATGTTTAGTCAAATAATGTGCAATAATAAATTTTCTAATGATTGTTTATTATATGTTATAGCAATGTAAAATATTTGCATGGGAAATATTAAAAAATCATACATTTTATCTACATAGTCCTATATCTATAGCATGAAAAAGATCTGACAGTTGATGTATGAAAAACTGTCACTTCCACTGAGAATTACTGAATATAAACAGTCATAGAATTAGATTTCAGACTTTAACAGGAAACGTCTAGAAAACATATACATGTTGTTACTTTTTCATGATCAGCTTTTTGCTTCAATTTACCAATATCTACTGTGGAATAATTTTAATTCAGAGAGGTCACGGTTTGTGGGCAACCGAAATTTTACTGATTCAAAAGGACAATTTCGTTGGTGAGCTGTTTATACAGAAGACTCAATGAACCAATGTATTGACAAATGTTATAGTTCTGTGGACATTAAAACGTGGGTAAGGGTGACCCATGAAATCCATAAAGATTAATTGGTCCCCCTTTGCAGAGGTTCCTTAGCATGACCTCTCCAACTATAAAAATAAGGTGACTGATGCTAACTGGCTTCATCATGGCAACCTCCCCCTGATCAATGGCTGCTGTCAATGACTGCTTTTCTAAAAACTTTTATCACAAAGGAAATTGACCTTAATAAAAGGGTAATAATTAAGGAGTTGAAATAGACACACTCCGCTTTTTGGCTCCAAATTGTTATCATTTTTAAAAAAAATCTAATTACAACCATTTGCCAAATAAATATTTAATATGTAAATGCATATTCAAAATTTGGATTACGTAAGATTTACCATTACCAGAATGATTAGTCCTGAAGCTGTAAAATGAAGGTCATCAAGCAAAATCTGAAACATGATGTATGTATTCTCCAATCTTTGCAAGTTTGGCTATTGTTGGATTTGTATTCACTTTGGGATGGATCTCGTTATAAAAATAGCACCATTATTAATCCCAAAAACCAACATCCAAAGCATCATTACTGATTATGCATCCCCAGATGCATAATTTTACATAAAAAAGTCACAATGCAGATTTTCTTTAGTTATTTCTCTACCGTTTGTATGTCTGGATTCTTTAAAATGTGCATTTTAAAACTAAAATTTATTGTTTGCATGTCGCTCCACCAGCTAAGGGCTGCATCGTTGGAATGGTTTAATAATATTTGTAAAAGATAAATGCACTGAAGAACTCCATTCAGAGTAGAATCAAGGCTGTGAAAGATAAGCGAGGGAGGCATAGGAGATTTTGATTTTCACTTTAGGGGGGCAATTGACATAAAATCTGAAAGTCCGAAAATCTCTCAGGCCATATTATTCTATAAACCAAAAATGTAATTTACATCACAGGGGCATTACGGCGTGACGCCCTCCATCCACATAAATTAGTTCTCCTGTGATCGATGATGATTGGTCCGAGGCTAGAAACAGGATCACCTTGGCAACCTCTTCCGGTTCAACAGCTCCCGTCAGAGGCTGCAGTTCCTTCTGCTTTTCTATGTACTGCAACATACAATAAAATTGTTTATTATCGACGATGATAACATATTTATGCAATATATGACACTCAGTAAACTAAACAAAGATTTAAACATCTTTGCGCATCGAGTCAAATTAAAAAAAATGACTCGGCCCCATTACTTTTAAGGATGTTTCAGGATGAAGTATTCAGTGTATTGTGTATTTTTTTTAAGTCTGTCTGATATAGACCGGAACTGACCCATAAAATAATTTTCGAAAAGAAGCGTTTTGTGTATAAAAAAAAAGTTTTATATTTTGAAATACAAAATGTGATGTGCTGTAGATGTGCAAAAAGATTTTGAAATTTTCATTTTCACCCTGGGGCTTATAAGGATTTGATAAGCGACGTTTTTTCTACAAATTCTTAAACTTCTCTTTTTTTTTTACGCTCCGTGATTGGAAGGTCGTGGGTTCAAACCCGGCTGCGGCTGACTTAAGTCGGAAGCAACTCTACCTTTGCCACATCCGGAACACCTAGAGGTGTTCCGGATGCCTTTGCCAAGCACTCGGCACTTTCAAGTGAAAGTTGCTGGTCTTTCTGATGAGACCTTATTTAAAAATCGAGGCACCGTGGTCACGACAGGGGTTGCCACGATAAAGAACCCTCACTGCTCAATGGCCCTAAGTGCCGAGTAAAGATCTAAATTTGAAACCCTTCACCGGTATATGGTGACGTCTCTATATGAGTGAAATTCTCGAACGAGACGTAAAACAAGATACAATCAATCTTTTTTTTGAAGCAATAGGCAAATCATCTTTTGGAATGTGATTGGCGACGTCCTGTAGATGTGCTATAAGAGTTTGGAATTACCATTTTCACCTTGGGACCAATGGGGAATCCAAAAATCCCCCCCCAAGAAAAAATGGTTCCCAAAACTCCTCTTACATTTTATGCTATAGCCAAATCAGCTTTTGATCTGTGATTGGTAGTTTTCTGTAGATGTGCAATAAGATTTCAGAATTTTTGCTTTCAAAGGGGAGGAAAATTGGGGTACAAACCACAACAATGTTTTTTTTCCTACAAAAACTATATGTTCCTCTGAACTCATGATTTCCTCCTACATTTTATGAAGTAGCCAAATCTACTTTTAGAATATGATTGATTGTGTCTTGTTGATATGTTATAAGGTTTCGTAATTCGCATTTTCGTCCAGGAGCTAAATTCAGGGTAAAAATATGCAATATTTTCTATCCAAAACTCGTTTTAAATAGAATTTATGCTTCATTAAGGTCGATAGGCCCCATGTTCATCTGCGCATTTTATGCTGAAATTGATACAAGTATTGTTGCTTCTTGACTAGTTACCCAGGTACGAAGGAAAACAAAAATTATGAGACAAACTTACTCTCTCTTATGACATCATCTAGTTTTTTTTATTTTTATTTATTTAATGAATTAATTTTTGTTTTGATACTATATGCATACTTGGTTGTAGATTTGCTCCGTCATTCCTGCTCTCTTCTGAAATTCAAAACTCTTGATAACCCCAGGGCTGAAAAGATAAATGAAAATTAGCTTGAACTAGATTCTACAAAACTTATTTAACTCCAATTTGAAATAATTCTCTCCTCTTTATTACTTACTTAACTGAATTAACCCGAACATTTTCTTTGGCTAAATCTATTAAATAAAGGAGAATTCTACATAATGAAATAAAATAAAAACCTATAGGAAGCATTAAGAGAAATATTTATACAAAATAACTGACCAATAGCGAGAGTCCTGGTAAACTGGTCCATTGCTGCTTTACTCATACCGTACACCATCGCAATCGGAAACTGTGGAAGCAAAGTAGTGTTTTTATAAATTGCTAGGATTGAAATTGTACATACAGCAGAATGTGCAACCAGTATATGCATAACAGTCTAAAATATGCTACTTTCCTTTTTATATTCATACAAAAACACTTTTAAATGTAAAATTGGTTTAACTTACAGTACGTTGTCCTGCAAGGCTTGACACATTTACCACACATCCTATAAAAATAGCAAACTCCGTATTGCAACCTTTATTTTAAATATTGTGACTTGCAATTGAATTTCAGCTTCGATTTTTACCTTTAGTTTTCTGCAAGTGAGTAGTACACATCTTGGTGAGAAAAAAAGGGGCGCGGATGTTGAGGTTAAAGGTAGTATCGAACACATCCCTTGTTGTTTCAAGATAATTGACGTATCGACCACTCCCTGCATTGTTCACCTAAATTTTTAAAATAATATGACGATTTTTTTTTCTGTTCCCCAACAGGAAAAGGTAACTAATTTAGAATAAAAAGTTTTTTGAATCAAAACTCGAGACAGGAATCCATAATTCAAAATATAACAAATGAATCAAAATAAATCTTAACCAAGGTTCGTGTATGCCATAACAGTTTGCCAAGTTGGAATAATGATATTTCAGTTTTTTAACCAATATAAAATATTTGACTGATTTGTAATTATTTCCATCCCTGAACAACAATCTATGGTTCTTTATCATATTTGATGCCTTTTTATAGTTGATGACTTAAATGAAAAATATCTGTTATATTAAATATCATTTCATTATTTGTTATCGTTTTTAATTCATATTTTAACAAATCCTTTCTTTTTTTCTTTTTCCTTCTTGTACCAACTTTATATGAAATTAATAGAAAATCTTTTAATGATGGATATATACTTTTTAATAACAGATCTGTGCATTTATTAACTAAAAACAGATTTGGGTAAATATGTTCATTTAACCTTAGCTTATAAATCAAATACTGGAGGGTTTGAGTACAAAAATACATGTTATACCCACCCACCCCACCCCCGCCCCCGAAACAGCTTACCAGTACGTCGATTTGTCCGTATTTCTCTAGAGTCGATCCAACCAAACCTTTCAAATTTTCTTCATTCGTGACATCACATCCTTTGACTAACACCTATGCCCATTATCAAGAGGAAAAAAAAATGAAAAGGGATGGACTCATTATTTTCAAACTTTTTAAAAATTTTATTTGTGATGTGCCACTATTTCTTACCCCAAAGGGCAGTCTTTTTAAAGATCTTTTTATGCAATTTGAGTTAGATTTTTAAAAAACATTGTTCACTCAAAGGTGAATGTCTATCAGGAATTACCACCACTTTCTACTTTAAACGAGACTGATTCTCTGTACCTTTGGTTCAAGAACGCAGCCAAAGCAGCCTACTAAAATGTATACATACTTGCTGAGTTACGATATACTTGCCTTTTCTTGTGGTAGTCCCTTAGCCGAGCATTCATTAGCTACATTGTTTAGTTTCTCCAGATTCCGTGCCGCTAAAACTAACCTTGCACCAGCTTTGGCGAATGCAAGTGCAGTTGCAGCTCCTATTCCAGAATTAGCACCTGTTATCAAATATCCAAATTTAACAAAAATCAAGAAAGTCAATATCTGAATTTGAATATGTTGATTGTATGCTGTTTTTAAGGATGAGATCAAAACATAACACAACTGTGGAAACATATGACAACATTACGGATATACGACTCCCTTGCTCTAATGTTTACTGGACACTGTTCCATTGCTTCAATATGGTAAGACAAACTAGTTTTCCATTCCATTTGCTTGAACCTTTACAGGGAGGCTCATTTACGTCACATCGAAAAAAGGGGATATTATAAATACATGTATTACATGCAATGACTAAAAACAAATAAATTGCTAAAGTTTTTTTAACATCAGAAAATTTATAACCATAGAATAAGTGAAAAAACTTACCTGTTATAATTATGACTTTGTTAAAAAGGGAAGCCATCATCCTAAATGCATAAACAACGTAATTCAACAGGTTCCTTACCGCCTGCGTAACTAGGCAACTCGATTTAATGAGAAAAGATTTAGCTTAATTTTGTTTATCAATTACATATATCTACTGCAGGCATCACTAACATTCATAAATATGACAGCAACTACTGTTTGCTGAGTCAATTAACGCACTTGGATGTAATTTGTAAAGTCAATTATGAGGCATAATTTTGTTCCTCAGTCGTAGTATGGGAAAAGTTTTTTTTAACCGTTTTTTTTTCTCTAGCATCAAATACTTTTTGACCGCCAGTGTTTGCAGTCACTACTCAACCGGTTGTGATGAAACCTTTGTAGTGGGTTGTTAGGCAGATGCGTGAAACGATGTTCATCTTGGTCAAATAGCCACACTTCCAAGTTTTTGAATGAAGTGATCTGTAATCAAATATTTCTGGTAATCTATTTGGATAATTGAAGTCGATCATTTGAGATTTTTCGAGCAAATATACACAGAGAAAAACTCTGATAGACAGACAGTTTTAGTCTGATTGCAATAAATCTTGCCAAAAGAGACTTAACCAAGGATCATTATTCTATTTAATGCAGTTGCAAAGTTTCAAGCCAAGTCCTACTTTGCTTTTCCTTTGCTTTAAGTACAAACCAGTAGAGCTACAGTCTCATCAGAGACTTCTGGTTGTTTTTAAATATAGTTGGGTAGTGAGGAGTCTGAAGAAGTAGTCCGCGAGTATGAAGACTTAGAATGGCTACAGCATTGCTTAATGACTGAAGATGGAGTTGTGGGCTGCATTGTAAGTGTTAAAACATGTTTATGAAAAATTGACATTCTTTTACTAAAATTTTGCAAATCTTGATATGGTCTCATCACAACACATCCGTATCTCTGAATGATACATTTAAATATTTCCTTGCTATCACTTTACATTCTTCCTCTTATAGGATTAAAAGGCTAGCAACAAAGGAAGTTACACTTATTTATCTCAAGTTACTTGTGACTCTGAGCCTTTATGTGACAAACTGATTTATTAAATTCACCTCTTTTAGATCCCTCCCCTTCCTGCAAAGGCAGAATATGATGCCAAGGCTGCCGAGTCCAAAACAAAGAAGCAGCTAGGCAGTGATGCCAATATCATCATGGCTGATGAGTTTCACAAAGACTGTAGGAATGTAGAAAGGTTTGATAGAAAAAGATATTATATAATCAGACCTTAAAATTCACGTCTTTGCTTCGTTACTCACTATCTCCATAGCAAAGCTAAAATGATTGTTGTATAGAGCATGGGTTCAAAGTTCATAGATTTTAAAGAAAAGACAATTTTCATTTCTGTTGTTATTGTATCTATTTCATTGATAAAACATTTATCTTTTTAAAAAAAAACTCTTTTTACTTGAAAAGGGGATTTTTTAGAACCCGTAGCTATACTTTTTTCAGATACCTGAAAATGGTGATTTCCCATGAAAAGTTTGGAAAAAGTGAATTACTGAAGAAGTTTCTTTGTGAGAAAGAGGTATGTTTTACTTCTGAGAACTGTAAATGTACTGTTTAGTGTATTCCAAAATTAGGGCAAGCATAGGTCATGCACTTTTAGAGCTATTGGTGCTATCAGTGTTATTAAATGTGACATGCCTTAGAGTTTATAATTTGGGTGGTGCCAAAGTATGAATTCTGTAAATAATGAAGCACAAATACTATTCCAGCATTTACATTTTTTAAAAAAATGGACTGATGCATCAACTTTAGGTATTTTAATTATGGAAGCATGAGTATATTGACAGATTATTTTTAGGCAGCAGTGAGGACCAAACTGAAGAAGAGTTTGTTTATGCGAGTCTCCCAGGCAGTGGATGAGGCAAGGAAAGGCCAACACAGGGCAAGTCACGATCATTAATAACGTATAAATAATGTCATCTGCATGAAAGAAAACAGAAGTGTTAGTACCTAGTATGAAGATAAATAAACTGTTTGTTCTATAGGATGTAGATGAATACTTCCAGACACAGCGGGATTGGGCCACTAAATATGCAGCTTGTATGAAAGAGTCTTCTCTGGTAAAATAATGTGTTAGAATTATATATGGTCATTTCATCACTATGTTGTACTCAATTTAATGTTGCATGTACTTCTAATATAATATTCAATGTGTGCAAGACATTTTTAATGGATTTTTTTAAAATGGAATTTCAACAAGATGTTGTTTGCACAAATGAGTGGGTATATGAACATATCTTCAAATAAATGTATCAATGTGCCATAAATCAGTAATCTTTGGCTTACAAGAGAATTGCAATCTGAAATATTATTATCTTAAAAATCCTGATTTTTCTAGGATTAGCCAACTGTTATGGTCACTTAACAACGGTACTCAAGGAGACCATTCCGTTTACAGATGACTCTCAAAAAGAGATGAACAGGTTACATTTGTTTTCTCTCATTTTATACCCAAATGGCATTTAGTGTAAAATATTTCTTGTTACAAAATATGACACATCTGTGATAGCATTTGAAATTTTGATTTCCAGATACCAGTTGATTCTTGGTGAAGGTGCAGAAAATGTCAAGGTGATTAATTCACTTCTTTTAAAAAAGCATGTTACTTTATTTATTTAGCATCTTTAAGAAAAATTAATACCTACACAATCATGGCTGATATTCCCCTATTGTGAAATTTCTTTTTAAATATGACAGAAAATATATAATTAACTTGAAATTGACTTCTGGGGTATATACATATATTTTTATAAGACAATATGAGGTTCAGTTTCTAGCATCTCCTTACATTTACCTTGAACACAAAAACAACTAAATGTAGGATGGATTTGTTTTCATTTCTTCTCATTTCATTTGCAGCATCCCTCCCACCTCCCTCCCTTTCACACCTATCTCCTAGTATATGGTGCTTTCATCTTGAATATAGATTTGAGAATTTTTGTTGTAAATAGATGGCTGCCTTATAGCCATGTTTTCTTCTATATTTCAGCATGGCCTGGAAGTTATGTCTAGAAATGATGAAAAAAGCTTGGGAGTTCATCTTGATCTGTATGCCAAGTAGTTGGAAAGTGTGAAGGTGCATGTAGTTTAGAAACAGCAGATTTTTTTGACCTTCCCCTTCATGAAATCAAATCAAAGGTGACCTAAAAACCAAATCATAAGAATAAATACCCCTTTGGTTACGACAGTCCTCTCTATCCTGTTTTGTAGGAGATGTTATTTAGGAGGACTTGTTTGCTGGTGACATATGAAGATGCCAACAAGTCTCTAGAGAAAGCCAAGCCAAACAAAAGAACAGCAGTGAGCATGATTAAGTTTAAATAAAAATAATAGGTATAACTGAGACTAATTCTCACATTTTCAGAGAATTTTATTTGCATTTTTGTGTATATTTTTAGGCAGAGGAGGTCAAACTTACCACTGAGAAATCATTTGAAGAATGCTCAGACACTGCCCGACAGGAGGTAAATTAAGATCTCAAGTTTTACAATGTTTTGTAAATCAAGAGGCTGCAAAAAAGGAAATCGTTTATTTCTTAAATTCAAATTTGGATAAATTTAACAACAGATTTTCATGTGTTTACAATTTGGATAATTTTGGTTGGATTACTTGATTGATAAAAAGTAATCAGTAGTATCTGGTACATGTATAGATATGTATCACAACATATATTTAATCCTATTTATGCTTTTTTTCCCTCTGCTTCAAAACATTTGACACTAGAATGAATAGTGTCCATTCAATTCTGTTGTAGTTGAAGTCCTTCAGGCAACAGAGACTTTTGGCCTTTGGGGAGGCATTGTCTACGTTTGTCGAGGCTCAGATTAAAACATCTAGAGACAGTATCACTCTCCTGCTCCGGACTCTTAAGTCAATTAAGTGTCCAGATGATAGCAAGGCAACCACAGAATGATTCGTCAAGGATTTAGTTCTATTTATTATTAAGAGAAAAAATGATTCTCCAAAATTCCTTGTCGCCAAATTCTTGTGCCTTCTGCTCGCCTGCATCAGTTGAGCACTTTTTAATGGTGAGGCCATGTCTATAGATACATGTAACAATCAGCAGCCAAAAAAAATTTTTGTTGTTCAATTATTAATAATTTTGAGAAAAGGAAATTTTATGTAACATACAAATTGTATTTTTAGTTGTTACAATTTTGAAGATGTTTTTGATGTACTATCTAGATTTTTAAAAATATTTTCTTCTTTAGAATTGAGCCTTGAAGGTAAACGTAAAAAATAATACACAATTTCTGTGATAACCATTTATTTTACTTGATATTTGACAATGTATCATTTCTATAAGAAATGTATGCCATTTACATTCCATTTAGTCACATTTCAATTCAGCACACATACTAAGCCTTACTGATGTTACTAATTACCCTATGTGTATATTTTTTTTCTGTAGCTATAAAGTACACATTGTGTTCAGTGATTTTTTTTGTATGTGATTGTGATGCCTAAGGATATTAATACATTTACATTCCTGCAAAAATGTTTAGTCAAATAATGTGCAATAATAAATTTTCTACTGATTGTTTATTATATGTTATAGCGTATACAATGTAAAATATTTGCATGGGAAATATTAAAAAATCATACATTTTATCTACATAGTCCTATATCTATAGCATGAAAAAGATCTGACAGTTGATGTATGAAAAACTGTCACTTCCACTGAGAATTACTGAATATAAACAGTCATAGAATTAGATTTCAGACTTTAACAGGAAACGTCTAGAAAACATATACATGTTGTTACTTTTTCATGATCAGCTTTTTGCTTCAATTTACCAATATCTACTGTGGAATAATTTTAATTCATAGAGGTCACGGTTTGTGGGCAACCGAAATTTTACTGATTCAAAAGGACAATTTCGTTGGTGAGCTGTTTATACAGAAGACTCAATGAACCAATATATTGACAACGTTATAGTTCTGTGGACATTAATTCGTGGGTAAGGGTGACCCACGAAATCCATAAAGATTAATTGGTCCCCCACGAACAGTGATGATTCCACAGTATTCCTTTGCAGAGGTTCCTTAGCATGTCCTCTCCAACTATAAAAATAGGTTACTGGTGACTGATGCTAACTGGCTTCATCATGGCAACCCCCCCCCCCCCCCCGGTCAATGGCTGCTGTCAATGACTGCTTTTCTAAAAACTTTTATCACAAAGGAAATTGACCTTAATAAAAGGGTAATAATTAAGGAGTTGAAACAGACAAACTCCGCTTTTTGGCTCCAAATTGATATCATTTTTTAAAAAAATCTAATTACAACCATTTGGCAAATAAATATTTCATATGTAAATGCATATTCAAAATTTGGATTACGTGAGATTTACCATTACCAGAATGATTAATCCTGAAGCTGTGAAATGAAGGTCATCAAGCAAAATCTGAAACATGATGTATGTATTCTCCAATGCAACGTCTTTGCAAGATTGGCTATTGTTGGATTTGTATTCACTTTGGGATGGATCTCGTTATAAAAATAGCACCATTATTAATCCCAGAAACCAACATCCAAAGCATTATTATTGATTATGCATCCCCAGATGCATAATTTTACATAAAAAAGTCACAATGCAGATTTTCTTTAGTTATTTCTCTACCGTTTGTATGTCTGGATTCTTTAAAATGTGCATTTTAAAACTAAAATTTATTGTTTGCATGTCGCTCCACCAGCTAAGGGCTGCATCGTTGGAATGGTTTAATAATATTTGTAAAAGATAAATGCACTGAAGAACTCCATTCAGAGTAGAATCAAGGCTGTGAAAGATAAGCGAGGGAGGCATAGATTTTGATTTTCACTTTAGGGGGGCAATTGACATAAAATCTGAAAGTCCGAAAATCTCTCAGGCCATATTATTCTATAAACCAAAAATGTAATTTACATCACAGGGGCATTAAGACGTGACGCCCTCCATCCACATAAATTAGTTCTCCTGTGATCGATGATGATTGGTCCGAGGCTAGAAACAGGATCACCTTGGCAACCTCTTCCGGTTCAACGGCTCCCGTCAGAGGCTGCAGTTCCTTCTGCTTTTCTATTAACTGCAACATACAATAGAATTGTTTATTATCGACGATGATAACATATTTATGCAATATATGACACTCAGTAAACTAAACAAAGATTTAAACAGTCTGTCTGATATAGACCGGAACTAACCCATAAAATAATTTTCGAAAAGAAGCCTTCTGTGTATAAAAAAAAAGTTTTATATTTTGAAATACAAAATGTGATGTGCTGTAGATGTGCAAAAAGATTTTGAAATTTTCATTTTCACCCTGGGGCTTATAAGGATTTGATAAGCGACGTTTTTTCTACAAATTCTTCTTCCTTAAACTTCTCTTTTTTTTACGCTCCGTGATTGGAAGGTCGTGGGTTCAAACCCCGGCTGCGGCAGACCTAAGCCGGAAGCAACTCTACCTTTGCCACATCCGGAACACCTCGGGCCTTTCTGTGAAAGGCCCGAGGTGTTCCGGATGCCTTTGCCAAGCACTCGGCACTTTCAAGTGAAAGTTGCTGATCTTTCTGATGAGACCTTATTTAAAAACCGAGGCACCGTGCTCACGACAGGGGTTGCCATGATAAAGAACCCTCACTGCTCAATGGCCCTAAGTGCCGAGTAAAGATCTAAATTTGAAACCCTTCACCGGTATATGGTGACGTCTCTATATGGGTGAAATTCTCGAACGAGACGTAAAACAACATACAATCAATCTTTTTTTGAAGCAATTTTGGCAAATCATCTTTTGGAATGTGATTGGCGACGTCCTGTAGATGTGCTATAAAAGTTTGGAATTACCATTTTCACCTTGGGACCAATGGGGAATCTAAAAATCCCCCCCCCCCCAAGAAAAAATGGTTCCCAGAACTCCTCTTACATTTTATGCTATAGCCAAATCAGCTTTTGATCTGTGATTGGTAGTTTTCTGTAGATGTGCAATAAGATTTCAGAATTTTTGCTTTCAAAGGGGAGGAAAATTGGGGTACAAACCACAACAATGTTTTTTTTTCCCCTACAAAAACTATATGTTCCTCTGAACTCATGATTTCCTCCTACATTTTATGAAGTAGCCAAATCTACTTTTAGAATATGATTGATTGTGTCTTGTTGATATGTTATAAGGTTTCGTAATTCGGATGTTCGTCCAGGAGCTAAATTCAGGGCAAAAATATGCAAAATTTTCTATCCAAAACTCGTTTTAAACAGAATTTATGCTTCATTAAGGTCGATAGGCCCCATGTTCATCTGCGCATTTTATGCTGAAATTGATACAAGTATTGTTGCTTCTTGACTAGTTACCCAGGTACGAAGGAAAAAAAATTATGAGACAAACTTACTCTCTCTTATGACATCATCTAGTTTTTTTTATTTTTATTTATTTAATGAATTAATTTTTGTTTTGATACTATATGCATACTTGGTTGTAGATTTGCTCCGTCATTCCTGCTCTCTTCTGAAATTCCAGACTCTTGATATACCCAGGGCTGAAAAGATAAATGAAAATTAGCTTGAACTAGATTCTACAAAACTTATTTAACTCGAATTTGAAATAATTCTCTCCTCTTTATTACTTACTTAACTGAATTAACCCGAACATTTTCTTTGGCCAAATCTATTAAATAAAGGAGAATTCTACATAATGAAATGAAATAAAAACCTATAGGAAGCATTAAGAGAAATATTTATACAAAATAACTGACCAATAGCCAGATTCTTGGTAAACTGGTCCATTGCTGCTTTACTCATACCGTACACCATCGCAATCGGAAACTGGGGAAGCAAAGTAGTGTATTTATAAAATACTAGGATTGAAATTGTACATACAGCAGAATGTGCAACCAGTATATGCATAACAGTCTAAAATATGCTACTTTCCTTTTTATATTCATACAAAAACACTTTTAAACGTAAAATTGGTTTAACTTACAGTACGTTGTCCTGCAAGGCTTGACACATTTACCACACATCCTATAAAAATAGCAAACTCCGTATTGCAACCTTTATTTTATATATTGTGACTTGCAATTGCATTTCAGCTTCGAGTTTTACCTTTAGTTTTCTGCAAGTGAGTAGTACACATCTGGGTGAGAAAAAAAGGGGCGCGGATGTTGAGGTTAAAGGTAGTATCGAACACATCCCTTGTTGTTTCAAGATAATTGACGTATCGAGCACTCCCTGCATTGTTCACCTGAATTTTTAAAATAATATGACGATTTTTTTTCTGTTCCCCAACAGGAAAAGGTAACTAATTTAGAATAAAAAGTTTTTCGAATCAAAACTCGAGACAGGAATCCATAATTCAAAATATAACAAATGAATCAAAATAAATCTTAACCAAGGTTCGTGTATGCCATAACAGTTTGCCAAGTTGAAATAATGACATTTAATTTCTTTAACCAACATAAGATATTTGACTGATTTGTGATTATTTCCATCCCTGAACAAAAATCTATGGTTCTTTATTATATTTGATGCTTTTTTATAGTTGGTAACTTAAGAACCCTCTCTGCACCAGTGCAAAATATTTTTTGGACAATGAGAAAAATATATTGTATAGAGGTGTTAATATTGAGCTTTTCTATTTAATTTTCATTATATGGTACGTGGATTGTCCCCCAGGAAAAAATGTTCAAACAAACACAGTATCAGTGAATAGAAACCACTGTTGTTTACCCCCATAGAGAAAATACATGTAAAAAACATGTTCAATTAATTTATCTTGGCCTTTTAAAATGTTAAGAATACTTGAATTGATTACAAATTGAGTAATATACTGTAAATTTCAATTTATTACAATTTAAATCTAAGGGCAGATCACTCTAATTGCAGAAAAATACCATAGAATCAGAACTCTTTAGTGTTCAGTGTAGAGAGGGTTCTTAAATGAAAAATATCTGCTAAATTAAATATCATTTCATTATTTGTTATCGTTTTTAATTCATATTTTAACAAATTCTTTCTTTTTTCTTTTTCCTTCTTGTACCAACTTTATATGAAATTAATAGAAAATCTTTTAATTATGGATATATACTTTTTAATAACAGATCTGTGCATTTATTAACTAAAAACAGATTTGGGTAAATATGTTCATTTAACCTTAGCTTATAAATTAAATACTGGAGAGTTTGAGTACAAAATACATGTAATACCCACCCCCACCCCCGCCCCCGAAACAGCTTACCAGTACGTCGATTTGTCCGTATTTCTCTAGAGTCGATCCAACCAAACCTTTCAAATTTTCTTCATTCGTGACATCACATCCTTTGACTAATACCTATGCCCATTATCAAGAGGAAAAAAAATGAAAAGGGATGAACTCATTATTTTCAAACTTTTTAAATATTTTATTGATGATGTGCCACTATTTCTTACCCCAAAGGACAGTCTTTTTAAAGATCTTTTTATGCAATTTCAATTAGATTTTTAAAAACATTTTTCACTCAAAGGTGAATGTCTATCAGGAATTACCACCACTTTCTACATTCTACAGACTGATTCTCTGTACCTTTGGTTCAAGAACGCAGCCAAAGCAGCCTACTAAAATCTATACTTAGAAATTAATAAATTTTGCAAATAAACTCCGAAACGGGTGCACCAGAGTTCTTACTTACTCCTCTAACAATACACTAGATACAAGATGATGTCCGTAAACTATATTTAGATTTCACTCGCAAAGTAGGTTTCGTACATTATATTAAAAGTCTACTTTTATTTTCTTTTAACAGCCATGAAATAGCAAAAACGTGAGTACGGTGGCGTTTCCGGTTGGCGGATCTAAGTTGCTCGCAATTTTTAATGAAACTGACAACAAGCAATCGTTTATTTATTTCATAAAACGTCATCACTGAATTATTCATTCAAAACTTGATTTAAATGATATAAAAGAAATAAGTTGTGATAACCGATTAAAAAGGGAAATTTGTAAATTATTTTCGTCATTCACCGATCTTAATATTGAAGGAAGCTTCTAGAACATCATATAGCATCGAGCCCGATGTTTAAAAAAACGAGGTGCTGCATAACATAAAAAAAGGCTTTTGTGTGATTGGTCATTGAAATAATGGTAAATCATTGATAACACTATAAGTTGTGAATATATTTATATATCGAAAGACTATTACCTATATATATATATATATATATATATATACATGTATGTAGTAGGTTTTCCTTATAAATTTATCGGTAAAATTTGTAACATGAAACATTTTTTGAAACATTTTATATATTCCTTACTGAGAGCATCGTGGCAACGAACCCGAAGTACAATTTGTACTTCGTAATAAACTTGCTTACATGTAAAGAGAAAATTAATGAATAAGGAATTGTTCAAAACAATTAAAGATGTAAAATTTTGTGCTTTAATCAATACATTTCATTTTTTTCTGAAAACAGTCTTTTGTATCAAATACTCGGCCTATTCATAGGGCGTTAAAAGCTAATTTTACACAGGTATTTGAGTCTTGGTGCATAAATATGTATGTACCTTATTGATATGTAAAAAAAAGTTAAGTACATTATTTACATATCAGCAAGGTGCAAACATATTTATAAACAAAGACCCAAGTACCTGTGAATTTTGACCCCCCCTCCCCCCAAATCAATTTATCAGTAAAATGTGCATATTCACTGCTTTTATTCTTGACGGAAATGAAATAAGAGCATCTGAAGTACAATATCCATAACATAGTATAAGAGGTTTCACAATAAACGTCAATTAATGAAATTGTTAATTTTAAAGTTTTTACAAGGGGGGGGGGGGGGGACGTACATCTACTTCATGCGGGAATTTGAACAAAGTATTTCTCCCTGCTATAATCCTGTAGGTTGTCAGTAGAAACTACAAAATATTTTCTGTCGGTAGTAACTAGTATGAATTCAATTCCCCGCGCTTGCGCGGGATTTCATCTAGTGTATGCATACTTCCTGCGTTACGATATACTTGCCTTTTCTTGTGGTAGTCCCTTTGCCGAGCATTCATTAGCTACATTGTTTAGTTTCTCCAGATTCCGTGCCGCTAAAACTAACCTTGCACCAGCTTTGGCAAATGCAAGTGCAGTTGCAGCTCCTATTCCAGAATTAGCACCTGTTATCAAATATCCAAATTTAACAAAAATCAAGAAAGTCAATATTTGAATCTGAGTATGTTGATTGTATGCTGTTTTTAAGGATGAGATCCAAACATAGCACAACTGTCGAAATATATGACAACGGATACACGACTCTCTTGCTCTAATGTTTACTGGACACTGTTCCATTGCTTCAATATGGTAAGACTTAAGGTTTTGCCAAAGTTCAATATGTCCAAAATTTTATTTGTACAGTAGCTCCAAAACTATGTGATTTATAAAGTTAAAACTTTTACAGTTTATAAATATATCATTAATGAACAGATAGAAAGTATCACTTGATAACAAAAACTTTAAAAAAATATTTATCGAGAAAAATTCTTTTTAAAAAAATGCATATATTTAAAAGAAATACACCTAATTAATTCCGTACTTTTAGTGAAAGCCATCATTGCAGAAACAATATATGTTTATCAATGAAGGGCAAGTTGGACTTCTATAGCCTCTGAAAAGTTGTTTTCCCTGTTCATTTTGTCCAAATGTTAAGATTTGAAACCGAAAGTACATTGCAAATGACGGATTTTATAGGGGTCTTGTCTTTATACATGTCATGCTTTCAATGACAGCCTTTCAGAGACCATTCACGTCCAACTTGCCCTTCACTGATAAACATATATTATTTCTGCAATGATGGTTTTCACTAAAAGTACAGAATTAAGGAGGTGCATTTTTTTTTTAAAAATATGCAAATTTTTTTACTTTTTTCCCTCAAAAAATTTTTTTTTTAATATTTTTGTTTTCAAGTGATACTTTCTATCTGTTAATCAATGATATATTTATAAACTGTAAAAGTTTTAACATTATACCTCACATAGTTTTGGAGCTATTGTAAAAATAAATTTTTGGATATCTTGGCCTTTGGCAAAACCTTAAACTAGTTTTCCATTCCATTTGCTCGAACCTTTACAGGGAGGCTCATTTACGTCACATCGAAAACGGGGATATTATAAATATTACATGCAATGACTAAAAACAAATAAGTTGCTTAAGTTTTTTTAACATCAGAAAATTTATAACCATAGAATAAGTGAAAAAACTTACCTGTTATAATTACGACTTTGTTAAAAAGGGAAGCCATTATCCTAAATGCATAAAAATTCAACAGCTTAAATTCCTTACTATGGCACGCCGATTGCGTCAAAATTATTTTCTGCAGAACGATCATGATTTTATACACGAGCTTGATGAAAAATATACACGAGTAAAATAAAAATGCACTTATCGGTAAAAATTGCACATAGTTTGAAAGATTTTTACACAAACAGAACGAAAAATACACGAATTCCGAAATTTTTTACACGATTAAGGGGTATAAAAATCAAAAACTGCACGAGCAGAGGAAACTAAAAATTACACAAACAATTTTACTGCGCATACAGCTGCGCATATCATTATTATGCATATAGAATATTCATCGTGTTCTTGGTTTTCTGTACTCTTTATCTCTTCATGAATGTTGGACGTAATCGAGAGAAAATGGCGTTGACGATGATATGCATGTTTGTTTGCTTCTTTATTTCTTTGCTAGTCGCCCGCGTGGCGCAGTGGTTAGAGCGTCTGCTCTAGAGTCGCGGCGTAAGGAGTTGATCCTTACGTCGCGGGTTCGAATCCCACTGTGGGACGTGGAGACCGGTCCTTCGGATGAGACCGTATAAACCGAGGTCCCGTGTCGCAGTAGGTGCTGGCACGAAAAAGATCCCTCACTGCTCAATGGCCGTAAGTGCCGAGTATAGGACAAAATTTGCAGCTCTCCACCGGCAAGTGGTGGCGTCTCCATATGAGTGAAAAATTCTCGAGAGGGACGTTAAACAACATACAAACAAACAAACAATATTTCTTTGCTAAAACTCGGTCTGATTTCTAGCTGATGCCAATCGAACGAATGAAGTGTTTTCTTGTGAACTGTAAGAAAAAATTAAAAGTTGCTCGGAGATATCATATTTTCTTATATTGACCGAGATCCTAGCCAAAATATGGAGGTATTATATGATGCCGGACATAAATTGTGGCAAGAAAGGAATCGCATGTTTGTGTTAATGCGGGGGGAAAAAGTACCATTGCATATGATGCACTCGACTCCGAACTAAAAGTAATACATGTAGCAAACTCTAAATTCCTAACGATAAACATATCTTGCTTTTAAAAAAAAGATATAGAATTGTTTTTTTTTTAAATATATACTCTAAGGCCTTTTAAAAATCTCTAACTCATAGATACAACTTTAACGGAAAGTACTTGTATAAAATAAAATTAACACATGTATAATAAAACGATTAATAAAGTGGATTCTTCATGAAAATGATGGCAGAATTATTTCTGATTATAATTTATTTTGGTACTTCTCATTTGTTCTAATTATGAATTAATTTGGGAAGATTTTTTTTTTCATTTAGGAGTAGAAAATTATTCAGTATTTTTTTTTTATTTTCAAAAAGATTAAAAAGTGGAGATTACCTGAACATAGAAAATATTTTATTTCTAATTATACATGTATTTTTACTAGGGATGGCAACGAATATTCGAACATTCGAATATTCATTCGATGAGTTGATATTCGAATATGAATTTAAGATTCGAATATTCGGTGTTTTTCAGATTTCATAAAAAGAAGTACTATGGTTAATAAATTTTGATTAGAATGGAATTATCCCTGTTTAATTTACTAGCGATAAATTTCGATCACCTGATTTCTTTTACTGCTTTCTTATCTTATAGATATACTGAATTACATTTATTTTGTTTTGAGTAAGGTGTTAATTAAAGAATTGTAAATTAATGCTTTATGTATAATACAAAACGTACTTTCATAGTTTTTATTAGTTAGATACGATCGGATCTAGAACGGAGGACAACAAAATGAAAACCTTCTTAGAATGTCTAAAAGACGTGAAGAGTATACTTATCAAAATAAATTTAATTGATCATTGAATGAATGTCCGATAGAATTAGTCTGTAATTAACATTATAAAGGGCTCAATTTCAGAATAAATGTGTAAATTACTTGATTATCTCGGGTTGTACATAATCCTGAATTATATTATAGTGTAGGCTGATATCCTCATATTGTATAAGTAAAAATTTTTTACTTATACAATATGAGGATATCAGCCTACACTATTATGAATTCCTTCCGTGATATCGCATATTTTCAGTCATAAACTACTCAATAAAAAACAAGACATTCCTGAGGGTATAAGAGTTACCCTCATTCGTAATGGCGATTACTTGATAAATGCTTTCACTTTTAATAAAAAGGATCAGATAATTAAAGGGAAATATATATATACTCTATGTGCTGTAGTACATGTGGTTTTGTGTTTTGATACTTAAAAATAACAAAACTCTACTCAAATGATCCTGGCACTGGTAAAACATATCATCAGTGGCGGATCTGGTTCGTGGATTGATTGGAGTCGCAAAATCTGAATCTATGTATTTATTAAAGTTTCAAATCGTTGGACCATAATGACACATCAGAAATTTTAAAAATATAGTGAATTACTAAATACATCTACGTACAGTGTTACAAATAAGAAAATGGAAATGGATATTAGAATAAATAGAAAGAACATAGAATGTGTTTTATCACTCTTGAATAATGCAAATAAATTATGTTCTTTATGGAGCTCGAGGTTTGACAAATATTTTCCAAGATAACAATTTATCTTTACATTTCGAATTTGTATGCATAAAATTTTAATTATTTTCCGAACACTCAGTTTTTGTAATAACACTTTTTTACCCAAATCTATAGTCGTTATAAAAAAAGAACATGACTGTATAATTATAAAATGAAAATAATCTTCAATAACATTAAAGGAACATATTTTATACAAGATTCTTTTTTTAAAAGATTATTCATGTGCACATCTAACGTTTTTGAAAATTCAGATTATGAGTTAAAAAGCCTAATCTATGCAATTTGTATTTTGTACGTATACATGTACAAGTAATTAAAAGTTTGCTTTATAACAATATTGTACATGTGTATCAATGGCATCAACCAGGTCTTGTTTTACTTCGAGCATGACTACGAATAAATATAAGAAAACATGTGATGAATATAAACCTCAAGAAATCTTTGTTTTATTACCGTGTGAAAATTTATTATTGTCAAAATCTGCATTGAAAATAAATATGCATGTGTAGCCAAGTCCCAGCTAATTAAGTTCATCTTGTATGTCTTCCTGAATTTGGTCTTACAATATCGTTACAGTTCAGTTGAATTTCACTACTTCCGTACACTATTATATGTACCCTTAAATTCTTAGAAAATATTTCAGGCACGTAGCATCAGTAGGGGCTTGCCCCCCCCCCCCTTTTTTTCCAAACATAACCTACTTCTTTTGTAAATGTCCACTGAAAATCTGGTCCCCCCTTTGCTGTAGGACAGTTTAAATCAAAGTAATTTGGTATTATAATGTGTTTCGAAAAGAAAGTGGAAGGCCCCCCTCCCCCCTCCCCCCCCCCCCCACACACACACACACGAAATAGGATTTTTGACTTTGGCAGGTAGGTTGTCAAAAAAAAAAAATTCTGGCTGCCCCCACCACTTTCAAAAATGATACTACGTGCCTGTATTTTATAATTTTAAATTTTCTTAACTCTTTTATATGCATTTTGACTATTCAAAATAGACTACCGCAGGTACATTAAAAACAACATAAATTAAGCTTTAATTCACATAAGTAAAACGACTGTATAATTTTTCTACATTTTATGAAATCACCACACGTTGCTCAAAAGTTAAGACCATGTACTACATGTACTTTATTACATACATATATCAAAAAGTGAGATATGCATTTCAATATTAAAATTTAAGTTGCACAATTATTTGCTCGAGTTTCTTTACTGTTGACTCCCAAAAAGTTTTCGGTCAAATTCCACAACCCAGATGATCGCAACATTGCTTCAAAATCTTTGTATGAATTGCTAGTAATATAATTTTTAATCAAAAGGTATTATTGGTGTGTCAAATATCTATAAATCGATTAGCGTACAGTTGTCTTTCGTTCCAGAACCAGCAGGGAGGGATCTCTGTATGAAAAGGTCACGCATGTACATCCTTGATTATTACCAAAAGTATACTCAGTGGGTGGTGGAGGAGAGAAGAGTTTGATTTGTTGTTAACTCTCCTGTATTATATCACATGTTGTTTTTATTTATTTTTATTTAGGCCTATATGTCATTGTTTTAAACTTTCAAAAGAAATTGCTATACAGAGGAATGACATACTTTAAAAAATCCAACAATTAAACACACAACTGGTAATATGCAACCCCCCTTTTTACGTTATTTATACATGTTTTCTGTGTAGAATGTTTTTTATTCAGGGGTGTTCATATACTACAAGTTTAAGATTATGTGCCAGTCAATTTATCTACATAATATACGTTGTACATGTTCTTGAGAGTCTAGCGGAATTTCAAAAGAATCTTTTTTAAAAAGATTACTTACACGTTACTTCTCCTTATGTATTTATAATATGTTTCAAGCATCCAAGCCACATTGAGCTGCTCTCTAATGAATATTAATGACATGTGCGCAATGAGGATGCGTAGCATATTATGTCGATGTTGTATTCTCATAATAATAGGTATAACTGAGACTAATTCTCACATTTTCAGAAAATTTTATTTGCATTTTTGTGTATATTTTTAGGCAGAGGAGGTCAAACTTACCACTGAGAAATCATTTGAAGAATGCTCAGACACTGCCCGACAGGAGGTAAATTAAGATCTCAAGTTTTACAATGTTTTGTAAATCAAGAGGCTGCAAAAAAGGAAATCGTTTATTTCTTAAATTCAAATTTGGATAAATTTAACAACAGATTTTCATGTGTTTACAATTTGGATAATTTTGGTTGGATTACTTGATTGATAAAAAGTAATCAGTAGTATCTGGTACATGTATAGATATGTATCACAACATATATTTAATCCTATTTATGCTTTTTTCCCTCTGCTTCAAAACATTTGACACTAGAATGAATAGTGTCCATTCAATTCTGTTGTAGTTGAAGTCCTTCAGGCAACAGAGACTTTTGGCCTTTGGGGAGGCATTGTCTACGTTTGTCGAGGCTCAGATTAAAACATCTAGAGACAGCATCACTCTCCTGCTCCGGACTCTCAAGTCAATTAAGTGTCAGATGATAGCAAGGCAACCACAGAATGATTCGTCAAGGATTTAGTTCTATTTATTATTAAGAGAAAAGATGATT